GAGAGGGAAATGGCCAATAGCTAATCAGCAATTTAAAAAGTAATCACAGTTCATACACGCTCGATAGTATAGACGTGGATTTTAGCTGCCACACTATGGCGAGTGGATAGTGCCACGGATAACCGAACGAAGGAGACAGTCGTGTACTGGCCATACCACACACACACAAAAACACACACACACCTCCGGATGACAACGCTCCCGCTTCCGCCCGCACCCGCCAGGTTTTAGCCTGAGAACCCGCTCCGTTTTCTGCCCGCCGCGCCCGGTCCCGCTAGAGCGGAGAACACAACCAAAAATCCCCCAGTATACAGTCCAGACAGCCAAGCTGTCGTTCGTTCGTTCGTTCGCTCTCTCTCTCTCTCTCTCTCTCTCTCTCTCTCTCTCTCTCTCTCTCTCTCTCTCTCTCTCTCTCTCTCTCATACGCGCGCGTGCGCACTAACACACACACACACAAGCACCACGCAGACTCTCTCTTTCTAATTCACATAGCAATATCCGTGATATTGCTAGACAGCCCGCTCCCGTCCCAAATTAAACCCGTTACCGACCGCTCCCGCGATTTATTCGGAAATTTATTCCCGCGGCTGTCCCCGCGCCAGATTTCTGCGGCGCGGGAATAAATTTCCGAATAAATCGCGGGAGCAGAACTCTAGCACGGAGCTCCATAAACAAACAGCACGCGTCGCGTTTTTAACGTGACTTTGCACGCGATAAGATCAAATATCCAGTTAACCTGATACAGTACACGCGGTTACAAGTAACAAATCACAACTAAATACATTTGCAAGCAAGAGTAAACGAGGCAACAACTTTAACCGCACGTACTTACACTTGAGAAATGGAAGAAACCCATCCTGACGTCCATCAGTTACTCTTTACTGATCCTTCCTTTAACAAACTCAGATGAAGTATTCTTTGTAGCATGTAGCTTCCAGAAGTTTCCAACTGCTTGGTTATAATGCTGAGGTTTCATCTTTGGGTAGAGACTCAATATATCCATCTGCAGTGTGACTTCAATCGACCGGCATGTTTGTGTGCGTGTGTTTGTGGGTGTGCGTGTGTTTGTGGGTGTGTGTCTGGGTTTCTGCGTCAGAGGGCGGGGCCTCAGGTTTGAAATCTCCCGGGTTTGCGCGTGCACGTGAATAACTTGGTTTCGTTCGTACGTCATGGCGAAACACCTAATGAGTCGGTATCAAGGCGACTCGTTTGAAGCACTATGAGTCGACTCTTTTATAGATGAATCAACCGTTTTAAACACTGTATTCTTACAGATTTAAGCCTTAGCTGGATACTTCGCTTCACTTAGAGCTGTGTTACACACTACATGGAGGGGAATTTTCAAAAACCCATAATATGGGCTCTTTAAAAAAGAAAAAGGGGGGCTAATAATTCTTCAACTGTATATATATATGTTTTATTTATTAAAATGATTTTTTTGTGTGAGTTTGCTCTGTTTTTGTTAGTTTTATTCTTAGAATTCTTACAATCCTGATTTTATTCAAATTGTGAGTTTATTCAGATGTTTTGATATCTTGCATTTCCTTTGAATTTTACACAATAGAACAAAATGTAGCATAATATTAGAAATAAATAATTATTTAAAAATAATAATTATTATATTACTGTTGTATTAATTATTATCTATATATTGTTTTGTGCCATCTGTAATTATTACAGTTCTGATTTTATTAAAATGAAGTGATTATTCAGATTTTTTGATATGTTGAAATTCTGTTTTTTCTCAGAATTTTTACAAATAAATAAATCATATAAAAAATTGTAGCACCTTGATATTAGTTCAATAAAAATAATAAGAATGTATTTTTGAATATATGGATGGAAGGTGTTTTTTATTTTTATTATTTTTTATTATTAATTTATTTTCTACTGCTGTACCATTTGCATATATGCATTTATATATTTGGAATATATATATATATATATATATATATATATATATATATATATATATATATATATATATATATATGTATGTGTGGGTGTGTGTGTGTGTGTGTGTGTGTGTGTGTGTGTGTGTTATTTTTTCTGTCTTATTATTATTATTATTTTCTTTTTCTTTTTTTGCAAGAATATGGAATTGTATTACTTTATTTAGAGAGAAAGGAAATGTGAGCATATTGTGTTCTGCTGCTACTTTGGAGCAGTTGATGTCTAGTAATGGTCTAGTAAAAGTGTGGCTCTCTGATTAATATCTTTTAATAAAAAAACTGAGTTAAACTAATATTAAAACTATTAAAACTAATATTAATATATCTGCCACAGCGTGTCATGTTGTATAACATACCTGTCTAAATAAATGAAATAAATAAATAAATGTAATATGATTGCACATTGAGTCCTGGTTGACCCCAACAGATGTTTTTTTTGTGTGTGTGTACACAGGTACGGTCATTATGTAGAGGGCACGGGCTCCGTCCTGCAGTCATGTATGGATGTGGATCTGGAGACGGTGTTTAAGAATCTGGATCAGCTTTCAGAGGAAGACAAACTCAAGCAGCTCCTCAGGCTCAAGCTCAGATACTTCACTCCCAGAGAAATCAGCAGACTCATGGGCTTCCCGGATCATTTCAGTAAGACGTTTACACATTCACAACCACAGCATGTAACAGAAAAGAAAACACTTTTGAAAAGTTTTTATTTGTGCTGATATGTGTGCATCGATGTCATTTCAGAATCATAAGCTTTAAAGTCCATTTTGTCATTCCACTGAAGTGTGAATTGGTTAATGGATAACTGCATATTACTGACTTTTATGAATATGATGAGCCGTTTCAAGATTAATTTCAGACAGTTGCACACACTACCTGAACAATGTCTTGTCGCCTTTTCCAAGTTTAAGGAACAAATAATAACTTGACTTCTAGTTGATCATTTGGGATGTGGCTTATATGAAAGACAAAGAACTCTAGATTACGCTTATTTTACCAAAATAAAATATGATCATGCCTTGATTGTTCATTATTTAATTAGAATAGTAAGGTCTGACTTTGCTGAGACAAAAGTCTTGTCACTTAACAGAAATAATGTACAGTATAGAATATAAAGTCATGGTGCAGTGGAAAAAGCATTAATATAGTGTATGACTCCCATGAGCTTGGAGGACTGCATCCATACATCTCTGCAATGACTCAAATCACTTATTAATAAAGTCATCTGGAATGGCAAAGAAAACGTTCTTGCAGAACTCCCAGAGTTCTTCCAGATTCTTTGGATTCATCTTCAATGCCTCCTTCATCTTACCCCAGACATGCTCAATAATGTTCAATATCTGGTGACTGGGCTGGCCAATCCTGGAGCATCTTATTTGCTCTTACAACTGGGATTGACAGCAAGACTTTTGTCAGGCAGTGTATAATTACTATGATCAGTTCATAATCCTTGGCTTTTTACCATACATAGACGATGCTTTAAAGTCAATATTTTAGAGAATAGTGTGTTTTTTTATGGGGCTACTGAATATTTACGGTAAAACATCACTTGGTCATCGTTACTCATGTTTTTCTGTTTCAATTAATTATTGTTTTATAAATATTTCTTTGTGTTTTTCAGCATTTCCAAAGCACATTTCCTTCAAACAGCAGTACCGTGTGTTGGGGAACAGCCTGAACGTCCACGTAGTTTCACATCTTATACGTCTAATGCTCTCAAAATAGTTGTATATGTTATAGATAAATGTGATATACATTGTTGTATTTTGTTTTTATTTTCTGTAAATGTGTATATATATTAATAAATAATTTGTTGATGTTTTTACATAATGCTTGATTGATTGATTATGGTTGTTTTATTATTTGTTAACATGATTTTTGCAGGTATTAAAAATGTGTAATAATGTAAAAAAACATCTCATTTTAAAATGGTAAAATAATTATAATAATAATAATAATAATAATGATAATAGTAATAATAATAATAATAATAATAACAATATAAAAATAAAATAATAATATAATAAAATAGAGTAAAATAATAATGAAAATAATAATAATAATAATTTAATAAAAGAAATAACAATAATATAAAATAATAAAATAATAATTAAATGGTGTAAAATAATAATTGAATAAAAAATAATAATATAAAAAAATTAATTGACAATTAAAATAATAATAATAATAATAATAAGAGTAATATAATAATTGAAGAAAATAAATAATAATTGATTAAAATGAAAAATAATGAAATAAGTAGTAAAATAATAACAATAATTGTATTGTAATGTATTTTGTAAATTGTATTGTATAAAAGTAAATAATAATGATAAAATATTCGAATAAAATAAATAATTATTATTATTATTAATATTATTTTAGCATTTTGTAAAATAAGTCCTTAAATTTTGAAATGGCAAAATAATAATAATAATATAATAAAATACTAAAATTACATAATGTATTATAATTGTTCATATTATTAATATTATATAATTAAATAGAGTACAGTGAAAATAATAAAATAATAATTCTAATAAAAATAATAAATATTACTATTATTTTACCACTTCATAAAATAAAAGACCTTAAAACATCTTAAATAAAAGCAGAAAGTCTTTAGTTCCTAAAATAATGACATTGTTGAAAAAAAGACTGTTAGCATATCTATTTCTGTTTTATGCATTCTTCTACTTTATTAGAAGCATATATTCAAAGCATTTTTGTTTCAGATTTCAGTTTTACTTTTTTAAGGGGTGGTTGGTATTAATAAGATAATAACAAACAAATTATGAAGACTGATAAGAGGTTGTGCTCCAATTATATAGATTATATATACATTACAATGCAATAAATAGCCTATTATATGAGCCTCAATGCTGAAAGTGATTTTCTTCACAGCTGTTCTTTAAGGAAAATGAACCGTAAGCTTTAACTTTGGTTACTGATCTCCAAAACTCATGTGACGCCTCCTGACTCTCCACCAATAAAGTCCCGTTTTTTACATGCAACCGAGTTAAATGCCTCCTTACGTGTTTCTTTATGAGAGATTTTAGGAAATTGTGGAGTCTTCAGGCCAAAGTGCACCTGTGGCCGGTTGAGTTTTTAGCCAGATCTTGGTGTGAAGTTGCAGGAAAGTGTCTGATGAGCGTCCCGGGACGAGCTCTGTGATCATGGCTCAAACTCTGAGCTTCTCCTGGATCTTCATCTTTCTGCTCTTCTTCGCTGGACTTCAGGGTGATCGTGGTGGGCAAAACCACAGCAGGCAAAAAAGAGCAATCAGTAGCGAGCAGTAAGTCATTATCCATCAATTATTCTTGATTTTTTTTTATAGCTTGTGTTCTTGTTGCATTATTATTGTTTTGTAAAATAAATATCGTAATTGACAAGAATAAGTGAAAAATTGCAAAAATAGCATCACACGGTAATGCTTCTATTATGTATTATATGTCAATTGTATTTTTGCTCATAATTGCATTTTTCTAAGCATTATTAAATATATGGCAAATAATGAATTTACAATGGGCAGTAAGTTTTTATTTATTACTTTTTTTTTAATTTATTTAAATGCACTGTGAAACCCCAAAAGTTAAGGTAACTCAAACCATTTGAGGAAACTGATTTCGAACAAACCATTTACGTTATAAAACAAATCCTAATAAGTACTGTGAACTTAATCCATCTGAGTTCACAAAGCAATTTGAGCACATTAAAACTCAATAAATGAAGAGAACTTAAAGCAACTGAGAACTGTCAAACCTAATAAGTTAAGGCAACTCAAAACGTTTGAGGAAACTGATTGCAACAAACCATTTGAGTTAAGAAACTCTATAAGTACTGTGAACTTACTCCATTTAAGTTGAAGTAATGAGGTATTTAATGAATTCATTACATTCAACATTGAGTTCAAAACTCTTTTCAAATGAGCAGAATTAGCTTTCAGTCAGTTTTGAGTTACAGTAACTACACTTATTTTATTTGATAAAGTTGACTGTTGGGTTTTGCAGTTTATTTAAACCTCTGGAGATTTGTAATCTCTTTTTCAAGAGTTTTCTGGATTTATTAATTAAGATGAATTAGAGTAGATATTTAAGATGCATTTTAGAGTTTAAATCTTCAGTTTATTGTATTTATTTTTACTTTTTTTGTTTTATTATCAAGAGACAGTGAAGATTAATAAGCAATTTTGTCTACCAGAATTAGCCAAAGGCTATTTTACTTCTGTAATTCCCGGACAGAATGTTAAAAGTCATCCTAACGAAAATGTAAATAAAATACACTTTAAACAACTTTACAATTACAAATCACAGTCCATTAAAAATAATAAAACATACAAAGTTATTTGAAAAATAGAAAAATAAGGAAAAAAAATATTCAAATTAGTGCTATTAAGTGATTATTCGTGATTAATCGCATCCAAAATAAAAATTTTTTATTTACATAATGTGTGTATACTCACTGTGAATAAATATTGTGTATGAATAAAACATTTGTATTTATATTAATATATATATATATGCACCAAAATAAATATGAAGAGACGTATTTGTTATGCAAATACAAGCTTTTATTCGGATGTGATTCATCTTTTGACAGCATCAATTCAAATGTGTTTTTCCTGCTGTGACTTTTTTTTTTTTTTTTTTTGTTAAGATTGAACAGTCCATGTAGAATTTTTTTTACACACTTGTCAGTCATAGGTTTTTGGGCTTTTTAAGCTTTCCAGTGTGTCTTTTTTTTCTAATTGAAAGAAAACATCTAAAACGCACTATTAAGTGTTTCTTTTGTGGCACTTTTGCATAATTATTTATTTATTTATTTTTTTTAACCCTAATCTGCCTAGTTAACCTAATTAACCTGATTAAGCCTTTAAATGTCACTTTAAACTGTATAGAAGTGTCTTGAAAAATATCTAGTCAAATATTGTTTACTGTCATCATGGCAAAAATAAAATAAATCAATTATTAGAAATGAGTTATTAAAATTAACTGGGCTAATAATTCAGAGAGGCTAATAATTCGGACTTCAACTGTATATATGGCTGTTTACTGTATACTTTCTGAATTGAAAAGAGATTCTTAAAAGCTTCTCTTATACATAAAACAAAACAAAATAAATTTAGACCTTTTTTGTGCTAGAAATAAATGCAGATCATCATGTTTGATAATAATAATGCCTCATTTGCATATTTAAACAGCATTGTAGAAATCTTGTAAAGCAAAAAAGGTTTGCAAATTTTACCGTAATCACTCAACTGGGGAGCCAAGGTTAGTAATGCTTTCAGTAAAACTTACTGTCTTACCTTAATTATAGAATAATTATGCTTTGTTTTGTTCGGGACGTCAACCAAGTTATTTTTCCATAACACAGCTCTCTTCTTCCCTTGTTTTATGCTCTTTTTTAACCTGACATGGCTGATGTTATTGAGCAGTAACGGTTGTTTTAAGCAATAATTGTACAATGGGTTATAAATTAAACGAGGACGTGCTGATGATTGATTTGCAGGCCTCGTATGATTTCTGAAAACGGTCACCTCACTTTCTCTGCTGGTTACAACAAAGACATTCGCTTCACTACCTCAGGAACAGGAAGTCTGAAAGTGGGCGCAGAAGACCTCATCCTGCAGATAAACCAGGTCAGTTCTAGTAGAAATATTAATCTTATTGGAAATAACGAACTGAGAGATGTTTATGCAAGTATTTCTGTTGGTCGAACATATTCAACTTTTGTTTAACTGCTTGTTTTGTATTTATTTGGTTTTAGATTATTTTTGTGTATTACTTTTTTTAAGATTCTATGGGCTCTATGCACAGCTAGAGTTTTAGTCAACAATAAACTTCCGGTGAAAGCTTAATGTGACTATTTTCAATTTCACAAGGTTGTTTTTTACTGCAACGATATTGTATTGTAATTGTATTGTATTGTGATGTAATTACAATACACTCAGATTAATAGACTTAAGCATTCATTTAGTTATTCAAGAGGAAAACGAGATGATAGACTGTTGTAAACACTAGTGCCGTCAGTAACAACAGGCTATCCAGAAACTCCATTAAAAATACTGGGGTAAAATAAACTCATATATAAAGTATAAAAACAAATAAATAAAATAGTCATATTTTAAAGACATGATGGTCTTTAAGAAATGCACTTTAATGCAGTGCTTTTTGTCTGATCTGAGACCCACTTCATATCGTATATCTAGGGCCGGACGGAATCTGCAGACGTTTTTTGCTATTTCTGCTGAGAGTTTTGGAAAAAGTCTGTGGATTTCTGTGGAATTATTTTGGGAGTATCATAACTAAAACTTTAATATATGAAATAAATCATAATGGGCTCTATTTTGACGGTCCAAAACGCAGGGCGCAAACGCTTCCAGGGCCTTTGTTTTGCGCCGTGGCGCATGCTAAAAGGGTTGAGTTTATTTTCTTAATGAGTTGTAGGTGTGTTTTGAGAATAAACCAATCAGAGTCTCATCTCCCATTTTCTTTAAGAGCCAGCTGTGTCGCGCCAAGAGCGCATTCGCTATTTACAGGACGTAAAGTAAGTCTAAGTGGAAAAACTGAGCATTTCACAAGCAAACAGTTCACAGTTTTTTATTTTTTAACAGAAAACTGTTAAACAGAGCATCTACTGCGTGAGAATGTTAGATAATGGATCTACTTTCACTTTCGCTCTTGGATAGGGAATACTTTAAGCACAGACATCAATTAGTCTATAAATAAATTATTTTGTTTGTTAAGCGCAAATATTTGTTTCAAAACTATTTCTATATTCAGTTCTAATTTCCAGCAAACGAATAAATGAACAATAATAACAAAATGTGCTCAAAAACCTGAATTTTATCCTAAAACACATGCTGTGCCCCATATGGTCTAAAACCTGACAGGTGGGCAAATCTAAGCTTGTTTTTAATAAAACAAATATAAATATGGAGATAATAAATAATACTGCTAATAATAATAACATTATACAAAAGCAAATTGTTATGAATGAACTGAAAAAGCCTCCCGAGATGAAGAAGACATAAAAGCAGTGATTTTTCATATTTATGTAGGCTAGAAAATAAAATGTTTTGTAATATTGAATCCTTTATATTTCTATCCTATATCTATTCTTATTATATCCTAAATATATCCTTAATATTAAAATTTTTGCGTATATAAAGATATTTGCCTATTGCTCTGTTGTGCGTATTAAGCAGTGCGTAAGTGAGGCGCAACTCTGCGCTGGAGTTTAGACCGGGTTAGTTTTGGTCTAATGAAAAATATATTTTAGTTTCTCAAAATAGCAACGCGCCAGCCGTGCGCCTCAGAACGCCTTCCTTTTTAGACCAGAACGCCTATGGGCGCACATATGAGCGCTAATGCATTTGCTATTTAAACAGCATAGCGCAACGCCTCAAAACGACTCTTGCAACAAGCTGAAACTTGCAAAAGACTATTTCGCCACGTCTTGCGCCACATTGCGCTGGGTGTATGATAGGGCCCTATATCTTTTTAACTTTTATTTAATGTTTAAAATGCAAATCCAATTAGAATCAATAAAATTGGTAAATAAAGCAGGTTTGCCATATAATATATTTAGTAAAAGACAGAAAATAATACTGTACAAACTGCATTGTACATAAATCAGATGAACATTTTCATGTTAGTCAATAATTTTACTGAAATTAATAAAAAAAACTGAATATATATAAATTTACACACATTTACACAAGTAAATAAACAGAATTAATAATGGGCTAAAAATCTATGGAAATCTGTGGAAAATCTGTGTGCGCAGATTCCGGGTGGGCTTACGTATATCTAACAGGCAGTGAAGATCGCTGATTTTTAAAGAAATCAGATCTTAAACGTTACAATTTTGTAATGGAAAGACAGCTCACCGGAAGCTCTTGGGCTGCCTGGCTGAAAATGAAAAGTCCGTGTGCATGTAGCCTATTATTTGCTGCATTTTTTTTCTTTTCTGATGTTTCTTTATCTGTTAAGACAATTTTTTTTATCACATTATTAATGAATCCTTATATTTCAAAACCCTTTTAAATCTTAAAGAATGTGTTGTTTTTTTCAGAAACTTTGTAAAGTTTCATAAACTAATTTCGAGAGGAGCACGTGATATGATTGTGCATCGCTGGCCACTCATCCATAATCAGTAATAATCCAATCAGAATGATCCTAGCTTAATATAAATGGATCACTTTCTCCTTTTTGCCCTATCTTCTTTTTGGAAGAATCCCCTCTTCCACCCCATCTCCTCCTTTTTCTCCCCTTCTAAAGGGGGAGCGATCGAGACCTACCTGATCTCGGTTCTCCTGATATGCTTCTAGACCGGGCGGGAGCCCTGGGCTCAAATATCTCCGAGCTCAGGGTTCTCTCCCGGGACAGCATGCCAAACCTGCTATAAATGCCAAGCATATCTAAGTGGGAACTCTTGAAATATTTTTTGAAGGAAAAAGCAATGTGAGGAAAGCTTTGTTATAGTGCACTGGACAAGTCTCTACTGGTTCGACCGACGCATGTACGAGGCAGGAAGTTCTGTACAATTACCTAATATCGCCTTAAAGATATCAGCATAATTTTGTTATAGGACCGATAATGATAACATTAAAAATAGCATTTATTGGTCGATAACGATATGGCTGTCGCTATACATGGGGCATCCCTACTTTTCCTTGTGTCTTCTTTTATTGTTAAATTTTTCTTCAGTTTTTTTAAATTTATTTAATTGTGTATTTTTTATTGCATTAAATTTTCAATTTCAATAGAAAATTATTTCAATTTATTTTATTTCAAATATTTTATTTATTTTTTTCAATATTTTATTTAAAACCAGCACGTTTTTTTATTATACTTTTTTTGTTATTACACTTCATTCATGCACCAGTACAGACCAAGCTCTTTATAAAGTACATGTTATCAAACCAATTTGCATAAAGCTCAATCATTTTAAACTGTGTTCCAGATCAAAAAGAACAAAGAGGACATCGACACCATCAAAAACAGCGGCCCGTCTGAGGATATCAAAAACCAGCTTCATCTGCTTGACACCAGAGTCACCACACTGGAGTCAAAAGTCCAGAGCATTGAACAGGTATCACCGTAATCTCACTCAAATGATCATATGAACACCTTTATGACTCAATTGACCTTTTATGATCTTCTGCTTGCTCTCCACAGACTGTCCAGCGAAAGACGTGCAGCAGTAACCCATGCCAGAACACAGGAACCTGCTTGAACCTGCTGGATGCTTTTCATTGCCTCTGTCCTGACAACTGGCAGGTCAGTCATGGAAACAGACGTCTGTGTGTTTTGATGTCTTCATGTGTGAATCTGACCTGCTGCAACACTCTTTCCTCTTTATTTTGTGCTTAAATTTGAAGAAAAACTCTTTTTTTATTTACCTTTTTAGCTTTTTTATCTTCTTTCAGTCTAATGTAAACAAAATATAGGAAAATATATATTCTTTTGTCTCACTTTATGATTTTGTGTCTAGACTTCAATTACAGTGCAAATTTCTTTAATCTGTTTTCTCAAAATTATATTTTGAGAGTTAAAAAAATCATGTTTTTGAGATTTAAAAAAAAAGAAAACATCCAATATACAATTTTAAGTCTTTCTTTTATCTCGCTATTTTTTTATCTATACATTTGTGTCTGTATGTTTCAATTATTTAATCTGTTTTTTTTTTTTTTTGAGAAAAAAAAAATATATTTGATTTTTTTTAAGAAAACATCTAATATACAGTTTTAAATGTTTATTTTATCTCTCTTTATACATTTGTGTCTGTATATTTCAATTACAATGCACAATTCTTTAATCTGTTTTCTCAAAACATTTTTGAAAGTACAAAAAATAGTTTTTTGAATTTTTTTTAAGGAGAAAACATCCAAACTACACATTTTCTTTGTCACTTTATTCATTTTTGTCTGTAGATTTCATTTACATTGCATACTACTTTTTTCTGTTTTCTCAATTATTACAAAATTACAGTTCAAAAAATATTTTTTGACAATTAAAAAAAATCATGCAATATACACTTTTAAGAGTTTCTTTTATCTCGCTCCATGCATTTATGTCTGTAGAGTTTAATTACAATGCATAAGTCTTAAATCTTTCATCTCAAAATGACTGCAGCTCTGCACAAGACCTTTGGCCAGCGGAGAAATTAAAATGGTCGTGCCCAACTGAGTCTGGTTTCTCTCAAGGTTTTTTTTTCTTCACTCGCCTCGGTCAAGTTTTTTTTCCCTCTCCGCTGTTGCCACTAACTTGCATGGTTTGGGATCGGTAGAGCTAACCATCGATGAATTTGCTTTTCAGTATTTAAACTCTCAGTAATGATTTTAAACCACACTGAACTGAGCTAAACTGAACTGAACTTAAACACTAAAAACTGAACTACCCTGATCCAGTACTATGACCATTTATGTGAAGCTGCTTTGACACAATCTACATTTTAAAAGCGCTATACAAATAAAGCTGAATTGAATAGAATTTTTGAGAGTATTAAATAATGTTTTTTTGTGAATATTTTTAAAAGAAAACATCCAATATATACTTTTAAGAGTTTATTTTATTGCACTTCACACATTTGTTTCTGTATATTTTAGTTATGATTATTTTCCTTATCTGTTTTCTCCAAACATTTTTATTTTAAAATGAAAACATCCAATATACATTGTTAAGTGTTTACTTCATCCCTCTTTATACATTTATGTCTGAGGATTTCAATTAATTCCTTGAATCTGTTTTTTCAATGTGTTTTTTTTATCTCACTTTATACATTTGTGTATGTAGATATATATATATATATATATATATATATATATATATATATATATATATATATATATATATATATATATATATATATATATATATTTTATTTTTTTATCCCAGCTGTTTTCAATATTTTCTGATTTATGATCATTTGTAATAAAGTAATTATATTATAGTGATAAAAGAGATTCCCAAAATTCTCTCTTTAAAAATGTTGCATCAAATGTGTCAAAAAAACAAAAACAATTTTGACTTCATTCAATGTTTAGATTTTTGTGCAGAAAAAATCTTTAACAATACCTAATTTGTGCATTCAAAACATACAGTTAACAAAAATAAATACAAAACAAAATGTTTGCAATTCTTAATGTGGTCAAACAACTGGGAAATGATGATAAACTATTAGTATTTTTTAACTCTGTTCACCTGCAGTGCCTTGAGACCCCAGTTTTCACTTGATCAAAAAAGTTTGTCCTGCTGCTGTTTTCTCTGTACTATGTGCTTCAGTTCATACATTTTGACCTGAACTAAATTTCTTGGTCTTTCTGAAGGGTCCTACATGTGCTGTGGATGTGAATGAGTGTCAGGTGTTGGCAGGAACTCCACTCGGATGTCAGAATGGAGCCACATGTAACAACACTCCTGGATCCTACACGTAATCCTGCATTATTTTTCTTCTGATCTGAGTTTTAGTGACATATAAGCCTTTAAATGTATACTTTACTGGTGTTTGTCAGGTGTACCTGTACTCCAGAATGGTACGGTCCACACTGTACATCTCGCTATGATGACTGTGCTGGTGGAAGTCAAGATCTGTGTGTTCACGGCCTCTGCATTGATTCTGACAGAGTCAATCCCAATGAGGTGATTTTATTAATTCACATTTCACTCTCCCTCCCTTCTCAATCTATCAACCATTTATACTACAGGGTTGTTGAGTGCTTGATTCTAATTGGCTGGTGAAAATTCTAATGTAGATAAACACACAGTAGAAGTTGTTCCAGGCAGGTTTTGACCACATTACAGTTCCATATCACTACGCCCAGTGACTTCAGTTGTTGTGTCTTAATGCGCATACTTGTACTACATTCCAGAAGTATGTACTTTTTTTTTTTTTTAGAAGAAAAGTACATACTTTTGAGTTTGTAACAGAAGAGCATGCAAGCTTTGGGATATACTAATTCCTCATTAACAGACAGTTATGTTGCTTATTTACATGCCCTGCTATCATCTTGCCCTGCTCTTGCCCTGCTATTGATCTGCTTAATCCAGCATAGAACCAGCTTAAACCAGCATGCAAACAGCAAAGAACCAGTTTAATCTAGCAACAAAAAAAAAAATCATAAACCAACAGGTAACCAGCAAAGAAGCAGTTTAAACAGGCAAAAACTGCTCAAACCAGCACAAGACTAGCAAAGAACCAGATTAAACCAGCAAAGAACAAGCTTAAACCAGCAAAAAAAGCTTAAACCAGCACATGACCAGCAAAGAACCAGCTTAAACCAGTAAAGAACAATCTTAAACCAGCAAAGAAGCAGTTTAAACCAGCAAACATCTGCTTAAACCAGCAAAGAACCAGCTTAGACCAGCAAAGAACCAGTTTAAACCAGCAAAGAACTGCATAAGCCAGCACATGGCCAGCAAAGAACCAGCTTAAACCAGTAAAGAACAAGCTTAAAGCAGCAAAGAAGCAGTTTAAACCAGCAAAAATCTGCTTAAACCAGCAAAGAACCAGCTTAAACCAGCAAAGAACCAGTTTAAACCAGCAAAGAACTGCTTAAACCAGCACATGACCAGCAAAGAACCAGATTAAACCAGCAAAGAGGCAGTTTAAACCAGCAAAATACTGCTTAAACCAGCACATGACCAGCAAAGAACCATCTTAAACCAGCAAAGATCCAGTTTAAACCAGCATAAAACAGCTAAAACCAGCAAAGTGTATTTTCCTGTGAATTATTACTAAATAATGCAACATTATATAATAATTCAGTGGCCTGTCATTAGTTATTTCTTGCATAGTCTAGTCTTACAGAATATTCTTAAAGCACTCTTAATATTTAGCTCAAGCATGACCATTCATTTCTCCATTGGAAATGTCAAATGTTTTTTTTTTTTTATTCTTTGCAAAACAACACAAAAAGTGTGCCTTTTTAATTCCTGATTTCAGCCCAAGTATAAGTGTATCTGTGATGCTGGCTGGACGTCTCCACCCGGAGTGGCTGCGTGCACCGCCGATATTGATGAGTGCAGTCTTCCCACCAAACCCTGCTCCACAAACCCTCCCGTGGAGTGTTTCAACACGCTGGGTTCCTTTTACTGCGGGGCCTGTCCTTCAGGTCAGATCTCTCAATCCAGCTGAGACATGCCAGATTACATTATTGTCATCTTGTCACTAGTTCATGGGCACATTTATAATTGAAGGCATGTAGCAAGAATATGTGCTAATGCTTTAGTTTAAGGACCAGTTGTTACTATTGAGCAGTGGCTATTTTTAAGATATGAGCTTAGTATTAGTTTATTTCTACTTATAGAAATCGAATAGTACCCACTACATAAACCCGACTTCTACCTTTATAACTATTAATAAGCTGCAAATATTGAGGCAAATGTAGTAGTTAAAGGTGCAATAGGTTATTCTATGTTTTGATGATGATTAATTTGTTATGATAATGTTGATGATGAAGACTATATTTGTCACATACACTTTTACATGTAGTGAAATTGGACCCCCCTGACCAAAACATCACACATTTCAGATGGAAGACAGGTCAGACGAGAGGTAGCTTTTAGAAAGAGGAAATAAGATACTTTTGGGAAGAGGGAGGTGAAAAAAAAGTTTCCTCTCAGACTGTCCTTGACGTAGGGCAGTGTGAGATCAGGGGGGGAAAGGCCCTCGTTCAAAATGCTGGTTGAAAGTCTCTGCACATCCTGATAGCTATCATTTTATTAAACGTATTTAAATGTATTTTAATATTCTGTGGTAGATGTGGGAGCTAGAAAAAACTTGTCCAGTAAAAACCTTCGGTTTGAATATTACTATAGGCGGTCCTACATGCCTGTTAAAATATGTAATTGTTGAAAATGTTCACACAGAATCACAGACGTAGTTCAGACATTGCAGGCAAACATCAGCAAACTACCTTATTTTTTATGTGTGGAATTGTTATTACTAAATGTTAGGGCTGTGCAATTAATCGAAAATCGAAAAAATGGCTTCAAACGATTATGAAAAAGCATTAATCGAGATAATTGATTATTGCATTATATAGCGCCCCCTTTTCAGCTGTACACATCTGTTGCTCCTAAAAGCGCGAAAGACCGCGTGCTTATGTGTGTGCGGCACGCGCACACAGCCAGAACCATGTGGCCGGTCAGCATTCGGCCTCATTCGCACACTGAAGCTGGAACTATACTCGTGTGGTGCCGCATGCGCACCTCGCGAAGCGGACGAGGCGCAGACATCTAAAGTCATCTTAATTTGAGCGCTTTAATGGTAAAATAGGTGTCAAAACGCAGTGTTTAGTGATTATTCATAATAACCCTAATTTGTGTAATAAACAAATGAGTTGAGGATCAAAAGACGTGAAAGAAACCGTTAAAGAGACAGCGCGCGATGTTGTTTTTATCATTAATCAAACAAAACAAGAAAATCCCTCTCTGCTCTTGACTGAAGGATTTTTTTAGCTAAAGTGTTTATCTTACAGTGAAGATGCTTAAAGCACAGTTTCATATTGTTATTCTATTGTATTTATTTCTCTTTCCTTTGCAGGGAGGAAAATAACTGTATGTATACATTGAAGTCAGAATTATTAGCCCTCCTAAATATTAGCAACCCTTTTCCTGCCCAATTTCTGTTTAATGGAAAAAAGTTTTTTAAACTTATTTTTGAACATAATCGTTTTGATATATCATTTCTGATTACTGATTTCTTTTATCTTTGCTATGATGACGGTACATAATATTTTTCTAGATGTTTTTCTAAATACAAGCATTCAGATTAAAGTGCAATTCAGAGGCTTAATAAGGGTAATTAAGCAATTCATTGTATAACAGTAGTTTACCTGCTTTTATTCTAGCTAAAATAAAACAAATAAGCCTAGAAGAAAAAAAATTATAGGAAATACTGTTAAAATTCCTTGCTCTGTTGAACATCATTTGGGAAATATTTATTTAAAAAAAACATATTCCCAGGAGCGCTAATAATTTTGACTTCAACAGTAATCGTTTTAAATAATCGTGATTACAATTATGACCAAAATAATCGTGATTATGATTTTTCCCAAAATCGAGCAGCCATACTAAATGTACTATATTACATGTCAATTTGCATTTTTTATAGTGGGACATTGGCTTTTAGAGCTATCATGCTCATGTTAGCATTTTTCAAGATCTCCTGTTGCACCTTTTATTGCAACATGAATTTAGCATGTTCATTTATACTGGTAAAGATGTTGTCATACATGAGCTAAGACAGATAAAATATACTTAATTTCCACATAAAAAAGTCTGTTGCACCTTTCATTTTTATTTTAATTGTGAGAACTGTACTTTAAAATAAAGTGTGACCCAATGTCATTTTTGCGATTCCTCCAGGATGGCAGGGTAACGGTTACAGCTGCCAGGATGTCGATGAATGTGCCACAAACAATGGAGGCTGTTCTACTTCCCCTTTTGTGCCTTGTCTCAACACTATGGGCTCCTTCCACTGCGGACAGTGTCCTCCAGGTGAAGCTCACATCCTGATTCTCATGCACTTTAAAATAATTCTAACCCTTAGCTGCTAGGAGTGTGCTAAACACACTAAAAATGTGCTAGCAAGAGCTAAACTCTAGTATAGTAAAAGTGCACTAGCCTAACCATGTATTCTGTCATAATGATTAACATGTGTACACTGTAGGTACTGTAAGCAGGCTATAAATATGCTAGCAACATGTTTAAGGAGGCTACAAAGATGCTAACCCTTACCTTTATTATAGTAAAAATGTACTAACCTAACTATGTATTATGGCATAATGATTAACATGTGTACTGCAGTTACTATAACCAAGCTAGAAATAAGTTAGCAACATGTTTAAATATGCTACAAATGTGTTTGAAGCTAGCAATGTGGTAAAACATGCTAATAATATCCCAAAACATGCTAGCAATTACGAAAAATGTGCTAGCAACAGGCTAAATATTATAGTAAGTTTATTAGCTTAGCCATGTATTCTGCTGTAATGATTAACATTTGTACACTGTAGGTACTGAAAACATGCTAGAAATAAGCAAGCAACATGTTGAAGGATGTTAAAAGGGTGTTAGAAGTTAGCAATGTGGTAAAACATGCTAATAATATGCTAAAACATGTTACCAACTATGAAAAATGTGCTAGCAACAGACTAATCCTCAGCTTTATTTTAGTTAAAGTGTTGTAGCCTAAACATGCATTCTGAAATTATGAATAACATTTGTACACTGTGGGTACTGTAACCATGCTATAAATATGCTAGCAACATGTTTAGGGTGCTACAAAGGTGTTAGAAGCTAATAATGTGTAAAACATGCTATGCGAAAACGTTAACAACTTGAAAAAATGTGCTAGCAACCAGTTAACCCCTACCTATAGTAAAAGTGTAGTAGCTTAACCATGTATTCTGGCATGTGGTTGACATGTGTGCACTGTAGGTACTGTAAACATGCTAGAAATATGCTAGCAACATGTTTGATAATGCTACAAAGGTGCTAGAAGTTATCAATGTGATAAAACATGCTGACAATATCCCAAAACATGTTAACAACTATGAAAAATGTTAAAAAAAGGCTAACCCTAACCTTTATTTTTCATAAATGTGTAGTAGCTTAACCATGCATGATGGCATAATGATTAGCATTTGTTTACTGTAGGTACTGCAAGCACGTTATAAATATGCTAGCAAAATGTTTAAGGATGCTACAAAGGTGTTAGAAGGCTAGCAATGGGGTAAAACATTCTAATACTATACCAAAACATGTTAGCAACAATGAAAAATGTGCTAGCAACAGACTAACCCTAACCTTTATTTTTAGTAAATTTGTAGTAGCCAAACCATGTATTATGGCATAATATTTTAACTTTTGTTTAATGTAGGTACTGCATGCCTGTTATAAATATGCTAGCAACATGTTTAAGGATGCTACAAAGAGGCTAAAAGCTAGCAATGTGGTAAAACATGCTAGTAATATGCTAGAACTTTCTAGGAATGCGCTAAATCACATTAACTTAATGATGTAAAATATGTTAGCAACTATGTAAACATCCTGGAATGATGCTAGCAACATGAAGCAATGTTTAAAAGGTGCTAGAAGTAAGAAATGCTAAAATCAGTTGTAAAAACTACTTGACAGTGCTTAATCATAATACCAATCAAGTATAATGCTATAAATAGCTAGTAACATGCTGAGCATGTTAGCAGTGTGTTAGAATGTGCTGTCAATGCTAAAAGCTGCTAATTTTAAATGCTTTTTTAAATGTTTGATCATAAAGCTGTATTTAAGCATCATTATTTGAGTCTTCAATGTCACGTGACCCTGCTGAAAAATCCAGCTTAAACCAGCCTAGGCTGGTTGGTTGGTTTTAGCTGGTCAACCAGGCTGGTTTTAGAGAGGTTTTGGCCATTTCAAGACTGGCTTCCAGCCATTTCCAGCCTGGAAAATGACCAGCTAAATCCAGCTAAAACCAGCTTGGCCAGCCTGGTTTAAGCTGGACAAAACTGTTTTAGCTGGTCATCTCCCAGCCTGGAAATGGCCAAAACCCCTCTAAAACCAGCCTGGTCGACCAGCTAAAACCAGCCAACCAGCCTAGGCTGGTTTAAGCTGTTTTTTCAGTAGGGGATCCTTCAGAAAGCATTCTAATATAGCCATTTATCATTTGTATCAATGCTAAAGTTGATTCATTATAAATTTCAGGTGATCTTGCTCAATAATAGTATTACTTTAGATCTGTTAAGTTTAAAGAAGCCCCAGAAAGGCAGCTCAATTGCTTTCTAGAAGCTTCTGGAAGCATTATATGCCAGTTACATCAAAATAAGTCATTATGGGTGAACTGTGGATTTAATATCTCAACCTTCGCAATCAAGTCTTGTCCTAATTTTTTACTTTTTATATTATAATTTCCCTCCAGAGATGCATGAGAGAATGAAACCTTGGTATTTATTTGGTTATTTGTCTCTCTGTAATATATTTCAATGAGAGACATATGCTTGTAGTTTCATTTTAATCCCTCAGGGAGTGACGGCCATATAAACTCAGGCTTGAAGGATGCATTTGCTGGGTTCATTGAGTACAGTGCTGTCTGCTCGTCCTGCTAATACATTCAGCCTTACAAGTCTCAATTGACTGCTAGATTGCAGAGGAAGACCAGACACACTGAACCGATAGAGCTAAAATAGCCATTAAATGTAAGATGAGCTTGCTTGACCGCATGTGTGTGTCCTCAGGCTATGAGGGAGACGGGAAGACTTGCACTCAAGCTGACATCTGCTCCACCAACAATGGAGGATGTTTTCCACTGGCTACCTGCACTTCAACTCCAGGTACACACATCATAACTTTACTGTAGTTAGTCTTTATGGCAGCGCATGATCACCAGTAGCACATGTTATGACAGTGTCAATAAAAGCGCGTTAAATTGTGTTGTAATGAAAGCTCCTGTCATAAAAGACATAATTGCTATCTGTGTCTATTTTTACAGGTTTGTTTTAGTCTTGGCGTTTGTCTTTTGATTTAAATATATAATTTGTTATATTAATTAATGTTATATTAATTAATATAACATTCATATATAATATATAACACTATATAATATATATATATATATATATATATATATATATATATATATATATATATATATAAACACTATTGTAATTGTAATAATTATTATAATAATAATATTGCAGGGAAAATCTGAATTGCGGCATCAAAAATAGTTATTGTGTACAACAAAACAGTTATTGTGTGTACTGCACTTGTGTGAAAAAGTCTCAATTACCTTTTTATTTTATTTATTTTTGGTTTTATTTTTTTATGTGTTTATGTGTGAAAAAAAACTTCCATTGAATCATTACAAATAAATACAAAACCAATATATAGATATTTTTTTAAACTATCAAATTCAGAAATATTACGCAAAAACTGGATTTTAGTTTAAGTTCACTTCTTTTTTTTCTATTGTTTGAGCAGTTACAAGTTTTATGTGCTGCATTATATTATTCATTCATTCATTCATTCATTCATTTTCTTTTGGCTTAGTCCCTTTATTAATCAGGAGTCGCCCCAGCGGAATGAACCACCAACTTATCCAGCATATGCTTTACACAGTGGATGTCCTTCCAGCTGCAACCCAGCACTGGGAAACACCCATACACTCACATTCATACACATACACTACAGACAATTTAGCTTATCCAATTCACCTATAGCACATGACTTTGGACTGTGGGGAAACCGGAGCACCCGGAGGAAACCCACGCCAACACAGGGAGAACATGCAAACTCCACACAAATCAAATGAAATCACTTTTATTGTCACATCATCATCAGCACATGTGCTGTGATGAGTGAAAAGCTTTGGTGCTGGCTCTAGACAGTGCAAAATACAACAACATATAACAGCATACTCCCAAAAAAACAGGACAATGAAAAATTGGCAGTGTTGACAGCGATATGTACAATGAATAGGTGCGCACATAGTTGTAGGCAGTATTGTTTTAAGTATGAATTGGTTAAAGTGCAGCGCATGCTACATATTGATAGTGTGCAGTGAGGGGTATGGAAGAGTTTGTGTGGGGTGTGTTAAGTGTTCATCAGTCTGATAGTTTGAGGTAAGAAACTTTCCTTCAGTCAGCTGGTGCGTGACCGGATGCTGTGGAACCGTCTGCCTGAGGGTAACAGAGAGAAATGTCTATGGCTTGGGTGGCTGGAGTCGCTGATGATTATCTTGGCCTGGTGTAGATGTCCTGGAGGGAGGGAAACTCACCTCCTACTTTGCGTCCAGCAGTTCGCACAATCCTATGTAGGCCTTTGCGATTACTGCTAGTGCTGTTTCCATAGCAGGTGGTGATACAGCCAGACGTTATGCTCTCCACAGTGCAGGTGTAATACCAACTGATCCAGCCGGGGCTCAAACTAGCGACCTTCTTGCTGTGAGGCAATTCTGCTCACCACTGAGCCACCGTTTTGCATCCCATTAAAATATATTCTGATTATTCCTTCATTCATTTTCTTTTCAGCTTAGTCACTTTATTAGTCTGGGGTCGCCACAGCGGAATAAACCGCCAACTTATCCAGCATATGTTTTATGCAGCGGATGCTAACTTACATTGGAACCAGCGACCTTCTTGCTGTGAGGCAATTGTGCTAACCACTGAGCCACCGTTTTGCCTCGCATTAAAATATAGTCTGATTATTCATTCATTCATTTTCTTTTCAGCTTAGTCAATTTATTAATATGGGGTTGCCACAGCGGAATGAACCGCCAACTTATCCAGCATGCTTTATGCAGCGGATGCCAACTGACATTGGAACCAGCGACCTTCTTGCTGTGAGGTGACAGTGCTACCCACTGCGCCACCCTATATTTTGATTATATTATTTTAAATTATATATTTTTGGCTTGGTTCCCTAGTTTTTATGTTTAAAAAATGCTTATATTATTATATGTTTACATATATAGAATATTATTAATATGCATTTTATAATTATTTTCTTATTTTATTCTGTCTTTTTGCAGTTTATTTGATTATAAGTCATTAAAAGTATTATCAGCAAGTGCTTTTGTTATCTCATCTTTGCCATAATTAGCTCAGAAAAGTTTATTACAATCATATTTAATTATAGTTATTCGTTTTAAAAGTCACACTTACTATTTTATTCATTCTCCCTTGGCTTGGTCTCTGATTTATCAGAGGTCGCCACAGTGGAATGAACCACCAACTATTCTGGCATATGTTTTACGCAGCGGATGCTCTTCCAGTCGCAACCCAGTACTGGGAAACACCCATACACTCCTACATTCACACACACACACACACACACACTCGTACACTATGTCTAGTTTTGATTCATCTATTCACATATAGCAAATGTCTTTGGACTGTGGCGGTAACCGGATAACTTCAGTTATACATTAAATAACATCATCATTTATTTGCCTCTGTTTCCAGGAAGCACTATCCCATTATGCACCTGTCCTCCTGGTTATGTTGGTAACGGCTACGGACCCACAGGCTGTACTCAGATCAGTGACATTTGTGGCACTAGTAACCCTTGCGTCAATGGTCAATGTGAGGTTAGTAACTTCCCATAATTCTGTTTCCATCAAAATACAGCATTCCACATATCTTTACATTTGATTTCCTCACAATCTCTCAGATTTTCAAGTTTTTAAGTGTACATTTTTAGCTGCAATGGTTGCAAGCAAAACAAAACAGTTTTAGTGGTAATGTAGGTCATATGAAATGAACTGATATCACAGAATATCCAAATTTTAGGATCTGCATCAATTAGATATTTCAGAAGTTGTTGTAATGACATACATCCAGAAAGTCTTCAAAACTGGTTAGCTCTACAGCATATGAAGAAGTGTCCCAGTAGATATTTGACACCTTTTTTACATGGCAGAGAGACTAAGGGTGCTTTCACACCTGCGAATCGATTCAGTTGTTCCCAAACAAGGATTCAAATTGTTACATTGTTGCTCTTTGCTCTTGGTGCGGTTCGCTTTCACACTGCAAAGTTTCTAATCGGACCAAAAGAGCTAAAACAAGTCACGTGTGAGTAAACTCTCCTCACATTTGTCAGAGTTTCACGGTTTATTTTGCAGAGTCCTGCTTAGCTGTCAGGGGGGGGTTATGCTTTGGTGGTGTTTGACAAGGTGCGTGCGACGTGTCTGAAGAGCGAGAAGGGATGCGGTGAGAAGGGTGCGCAACATATTTGAGGCCCGGGAGAGAGACGCGTGATTACTTGGCATCGGGGTGTCTCTGTGCATTTGTGGTAGACTCGGGATGTCTGTTGAATGACCTCCCGCCCTACTCATATTTCTCTCTTCATGTATGCCTATTATATCCAAAAAACACTGTGATATAACCGGGCTCGGATCGTATCGCTTTCTCACTACAATCAATGTAGAGTTAGTTTCAATCGAGCCAAGTCACCTCATCTTGAAGCGATTGTTTTGGCACGGATCCGAGAGCGATTGGTGAATTCACATATGCCAAACGAACCGCGCTAACTGGGCAAAAGAGACAGGTTCAGAAACAAAAGCCTAGATGTGAGAGCACCCTAAGTTTGTTTAGTATTTAGGGGATGTAATATGTTCTATGCAAGATATTAAATAAAATAAAATAGCCAGTTTGTGTTGCTTCTACAAGTACTCCATTCCCTATCAGTATAAGAACACTCCAAATCTGATTCTCATTTTCACTTTAATATGCAGATTGATATTCAGATTACTGTATATAGAGATTACTGTATATAGATATTCAGATTACTGTATATAGAGATTACTGTATATAGATATTCAGATTACTGTATATAGAGGAAGTTAAACCCTTTGTAGATACATATCTGGTATTGAGCAATCTGTCTTCCAATAGAGATTCATCAGGTATGCAATGACTCCACTCATGCTATAACCCAGTGTCTTGTTTGTAAATATTTTTTAAAAGTTGTGTTTTCTCCACAATTTCTATTTAGAATACAGCCACTGGTTATGTCTGCCACTGTGATCCAGGCTGGGCAGGTCAGAACTGCGATCAGAACATGAACGAATGCTCCAGCAATCCCTGCCAGAATGGAGGAACCTGCACTGATGGCATCAATGGCTACACCTGTACCTGCACAGCACAGTGGACCGGCCCGCAGTGCCAGACTCCACAGCAAGGTGTGTGTTCGCTGCACATGTCGGTATGTGATAGCTTATGTTTTTTTTACACTAGTAACTTCATGATCTATGATGTGCTTCAGAGTGTGGAGGAATTCTAGAAAGTCCAGCCGGCACCTTCAGCTACCCTAATAATCCAGGAACCGGTGATTATGATCACCAGGTCAGCTGTGCCTGGGTCATCAGAACTGACCCAAACCAGGTAAAGATCAATTATTTAACATACATACAGTCGAATCAAAATGATTCCTGTGAATTTTGTTTCTCTTTTTTAAATATTTCCCAAATGATATTTAACAGAGCATGTAAACTTTCGAAGTATTTTCAATCCAATTTTTTCTTTTACAGTAAGTCTTATTTGTTTTATTTAAGCTAGAGTAAAAGCAGTTTTTATTTTATTTTTTTTACCATTTTAAAGTCAATAATATAGAAATTAAGCAAAAAAAACTTGCTAGAAGAGAAAAGCCAGCCTTGTTTAGCTAATAGAAAGCCAACACCAAGTTAAATAGCCTCTTACTGCAAGCTATACCTAATAAAGTGGCCAGTGAGTACAATATAAATCAATGCGATTTGTCTTTTTTGTGTTCAAAAATCTATTGTTCTTTCCAGATTCTCCGGATCACCTTCCCTTTTTTCGACATTGAGAACAGCGCCTCCTGCAACTTTGATTTCCTGCAAGTCCATGATGGCGAAAGCGCTTCGGCTTTTGTGATTGGAAAATACTGTGGCAGCGCCGCACCAGCCGAACTCTTCAGCTCCCACAATTCTCTGTACTTCTGGTTTCGCTCCGATCATTCAGTCAGTGCTGGCGGCTTCACTGTGGCCTGGCAATCGCAAGCACCAGGTAAATGATGAATGTGATATTAATATTCAAGTGATGGACGAACCACAGCTTACACAGAAGTCGCTTTCAAACCAAGCAGCTTTTTTATTTATAATATACATTTTTATAGTTACCTGCTTGATAGCATTGTGGGTCACGGGAATTTAGAAATATTCCCCGTTTATCAAGATAATTTTAAACCAAGCAGATTTTTTAACCCAATTTTAACCCAATCATACATAATAAGATGGCGATACATGTGCTCATGTTAATCTGGGCAAGGTCATGAACAGAATAAGCATAAAGCAAATGGCATGGCTAGATTTATCCTTTTTACTGTGACTTTTTCCTAGCATATAAATGCATTAAAGGGATAGTTCACTTAAAAATTACAATTCTGTCATCATTTACTCGCCCTCCACTTGTTTCAAACCTATTTGAGTTTCTTCTGTTGAACACAAAAGAACAAATACTGAAGAATGTAAAAAAATAGCCATTGACTTCCATTGAATTTAATATGGATGTTAATGGCTGCTTGTTCCCAACATTCTTCAGAATATCTTGGTTTGTGTTCGACAGAAGAAAGATCCACTTGAGGATGTGTAAATTAATAAATTATCCCTTAAACCCATGCTTTCTGTCAGTTTTAAGAATTCACTCTTAGATATTGATTGACGCTATTAGCAGGTTTGGCATGCTGTCCCTGTAGAGAACCCTGAGCACGAAGATAATTGAGCCCAGGGCTCCCCCCCTGGTCAATAAGCATATAAAGGTGTCTGAGGTCAGGTAGGTCTCGAGAGCTCCCCCTGGTAAAGGAGTAAAAGGAGGAGATGGGGTGGAAGGGGGGATTCTTCCAAAACAAATGTAGTAGGGTGAAATCTGCCTATTTATTGTAGGCTTGGATCAATCTGATTGGATTATTGATGATTACAGATGAGAGACCAGCTGCGATCAATCATATCACATGCTCCTCTCAAAATTATGCCACAGTCACACTACAGTTTGAGCATGCAAAATTCTGTTGTACGGTGCTGCAAAAAGGGGCGGGATTAAACGATGATTAGACATTTAAAAAGCGAGCAATTGGTCCATATTTTACATTTCTGTCCAGAGAGATCTTGTTTTGATCTTTGATCAGTCTTACGCAGTCACTTAATGCAATTTAGCAGGTCAGAGTTCCCCAAGCTTAAACTTTGCTCCGCAACGAACTGCGAAACATGAGCTTGCGTTTCCGGTCTGATGCATTCGTGTGCGTATGATTGAAAGTCTTTGGGCAGAAAAGTCCAGTGTGACCGCGGATTTACTTATTGAAGTATACATGTGTTACCTGTGACTGAAATGGTTCATTACTGTGGATTTAAGTAAGAAGTGGAAACATAAAAATGCTTTTTCACCTCATACAGCAAAAGTAAACAATGTACATTCATCTTGAGATGATAATATGACTATATATTTGTTACAAAAGTCTTCAGTTTTTGATAATTTAACATGAAACAAATGTAATAAAAAATACTCAAAGCTGCAAATGCAACTTAGTACGTTTTAACATCACAACTGTGAAATAAATAAATAAACAAATAAATAAATAAAAAATTTATTTTTATAATGTTTAGTGGGACTATGAGTTATATAAATAATTCAGTTAAATTGAAATTCATTTGTATAGCACTTTCCACATTAGTTATTGTTTCCAATTAGCTTTTCAAAAGGTGCACATTATTGTATTACAGACAAAATCAGAAAAGTTTGTTAGTTACTATAACTTTATCAGTTACTAATAACTTCAACTAATTAACTAGTATCTTATAGGTAAATATATATATATATATATATATATATATATATATATATATATATATATATATATATATATATATATATATATATATATACACATATCAGTGTGAACACAAAATTATTTAATTCACACTTATTCTGCTTCTCTTTCAGTGTGTGGAGGACAGTTGACCAACACATACGGGGACATCAAGTCTCCCGGTTACCCAGGTAACTATCCACCAAACCGGGACTGTTATTGGACGGTGAATGTGAACCCCGGTCTGCTCATCACATTCGCTTTTGGCACTCTCAGCCTGGAGCATCACGATAACTGTAACTTTGACTTCCTGGAGGTACACAAGGCTTGTATCCACATAAAATTTTGAAGTGTTTTTTGTGTTGATGTGCTTCAGTTTCTGGCTTAATTTTGTAGATCAGAGATGGACTGCTCCCTGAAGACTCTCTTCTGGGAAAATACTGCAGTACAGCATCACCACCACCTCTACAGACCACGGGACCTTCGGCCTGGATCCACTTTCACTCAGATTTCAGCATCAGCGATCGTGGATTTCACATCACGTACACTACTTCACCATGTAAGTGAAATTTATGCTGTAAATTTAAGAGAACGGGGTATCGTAAGACCGAATAGGAAAGATAATACAGCTGTACACCAATAAAAAGTCACATTTTTTTAATATATCATGTTTTATTCCTCTTTAATAATCTCTCATGCCTAACCAAGGATGCAATTATTTGATTTAAAATATAAGAAGTGTCATATTGAAAAATATAATTTGAATTAAATCGTTCTTTTGTTTTAATTAGTGCTGGGCAAAGATGTTTGAGAATATACAAAAATAATAGCCTACTCATGTTAACTTTTATTTTTAATCTTCAAAATTGTGAGAAAATTGTGGTTTTGATTTTAAGCAAAACAAATTGTGATTCTCGTTTTAGCCAGAATCGTGCAGCCCTAGTCTGAACTTTAATATGGCTTAATGCTTATCTGAACTTGATGACAAAGATTTCCTGTTTGCAGCCAGTGCTTTTAAATGGCTTGTAAAATGTGAAATATGTGCTGTAAATGTAATGCATTAGCAGTAGTTGCACTGAATTGTGGATCATTGCTTCCAAAGTGCGATATTGTCCTTTTTAAATGCTTATAAAGCAGCTTATTTGTGTTATACAGTTGTTAAAAGTCACATTGTAAGTGTTATAAACTCAAAGTGGAACATGATGCTGGGTTCAATTGGGCAAAGTAATCGAGTGTAATGTAATTTCCTCTGTGTGCCATCAGCTGATCCGGGCTGCGGGGGCGTCTTTACAGAGACCGAGGGTATCATCATCTCTCCTAACTGGCCTAATAACTATGCTCACAACAGACAGTGCATTTATATCATCAGAATGCCACGCAGTGAACAGGTGGCTCTCAACTTCACCCACATGGACCTGGAGATTCATACCGGCTGTCTTTTTGACTTTGTGGAGGTACGGTTTGTATAATTAAAGGAATGAGGAGACATCAGAGTCTGCATTTACACTGCATGGTTCAAGTGACACAATTCCGATTGTTTATCTCCTATGTGGCATAGATCAGGCATGGCTAGGTCTACACAGAATCTGAACATGACAAAATCTGCACATTTTTAGCCCATTATTGAGTATGTTTACATGGACACCAATAATTCGATTTTAATACGATTAAGACAATACTCTAATTAAAAGTCTACCATGTAACAGCCATTTTTTGTTAATTTAATCAGATTAAGGTCATAATCAAACTAAACAGAATTAAGACATGTGGAGAATGCCGATTTTAGTCGCGTTATTGAAGTGCAGTACAGACATGTAAACATCACAATCAAACTATTACCGTCGTGTAGGATTTTCGCCATATTTTGCGACAGGATATAGACCAATTACCATGTTTGTAAACATTCATGATGCGCGCAGGGAGGTGACAAAGCAATCAGGAGCCCTAGCATTTACAGCGAGGGAATGACATCAGATGCGGTGCAGAGTTTGTTGTTGTCTTAGAAATAAGATATTTTGATTACATATTATATATATTATTTACATAATGCTTACAGCATATTATAACAGCTCGTCACCCAGTGACAAGCACAGTGATTCAGCAAAATTAACGTTAAAGTGAGCGACGTTCATCTGACAGCTCCATTTGCGATAGTACCCACCCAATAAATATTGGATAAGATGAAGTGACCAAGCATCCAGCCCGAAATATACAATCTCAATGAAGCTCCGAGTGATTTTACAACAGAGAAGTTAAAGGTCTACAAGTCTTTGGATGCCAACAATGTTGTTCTTTGAGGTCATGTGCAATAAATATTGCTCCATGATGACCAGATTCAAGAGCTAAACACCGAGATTCCGCCTAGCCAAAGACAAGGAAACAAGACGGAGCTAACGTTATACAAGGCCTGGGTAATTAATCACCAACACGCAAAATAACTGCATTCAGACAGTGAACTTCACCTGTATGGCAGGGTATGTGAACTTACACATAGAGGTAAAGTTGGTTTTATATTCGCACATTCAGACTTTTCTCCTTAATAATATAATTTCATAAAAATATTATTTGCAAACTCTAAATAGCGAAATCATATTAGCAGCAGCCAATGACTATCAAAGTACAACATTGTTCACAGTCAAATAAACAGTTAATGCTGTTTTCAAGTCACACTTGCAGGTTATTTCAGACCGAATATTCAAAGTGCCATGGTAACGCACTTAGGGAGTGTGTCACAAGTTGTCACTGAATGAATGTGTAAATATAAAACTAAGTTTACCTTAATAAACGTAACTTTCACGTTTCATTCTTAGCATTAAGTGTCAGCAGTTTAATTAACCATATGTAACTGTTTTTGCTTAAATCATTTCTGCAATCAAAAACGAGTGATGTGTATGATTCATCATAGCGTGAGCTTACCTGGTATGACATGAGAACTGCAGAGTCCAGCATTTCTAATTAGCTCCTCACTTTATTCAGCTCCCATTTAGCCAAAGACGCCTGCAGTCGGTATTAAAGCAGTGTGTGGTGTATGGTAAAAGTTACGCTTTCTATTTTTGGACTCAAATTGGTCTATTCCTTACATGGCTGTTTGACACTATTCTCTGCACCTACCGAGTCAGTGAAGGACCACAGACACCTGCATTGCACAATGTGAGGTTTTTTTCCGATATGGTGTGTGTGTGGTATTAATTTCCATTAAAACAACACTCTTCCAGCAGTTCATACTCGCATCCCATATCTCGTTTGTCATGGGGGCATGCATGAAATGTTCCCGAATGAAAGTAAAAACTGCCAAACTGCAATTAAAGTCAATAAATTAAAAATGAAACACCTGAAATTACATGAAACTCCAGATGAAATGTGGATGGCGTGAAGACGTAGTGACGTTAATTGAATTATGTGCTGTAACATGTAAAAAGGAACATGAAAGCAACATTCTAAAAGCAACTCAAGTAAACACCTTCATTATATGATTGTCTTATTCAGATTAAGGAAAATAATTCGATTACTGATGCCTACATAAACACAGTGAGTCTATTTACTTTTGTAAATTTATATTTATTTTAAATTAATTATTAAAATTAATTTTAGTAATATTACTGACTAATATGATAATGTTCATATGATTTATTTACAATACAGTTTCTAAAGTAATATATTCTGTCTTTTAGTAAATATATTATATGAGAGACTTACTTTGTTTACCAAATAAGTGGATCTACTTGGATTTGCATTGTAAATAGTTAAGGTATTACTTTTTATTTCATATATTAAGTTTTAGTTGCGATACTCCCAAAATCATTCCGCATAAATCCACTGATTACAAAATTCCCAGCAGAAATGGCAAAAAATGTCTAGCCCTGGATATTACGATCTTTCTCTCCATCAACTCAGTAATTGTCAAAATACGCAGAATTATTTATTAACACTTATGTTCAGGCCAATGGAAAAGCTGGAGACTCAGGAAAGACATAGGGTTTTTGACAATTCAAGACCGCACAAGGGCCTAAACAAACTCAGGCGTATAAATACAAGGGACATGATTGAACTAATAACCAACAGGGGAGGATCACAGGTGAAACTCATGAACATTAACAAACGGCAGAAAAATGGATCACGTGACGCAAACATAAAGCACATGAAGCACAGCACATGGGGAAGTCACATGACATAAACACAAGACACCAGACTGTGACACTAGATATGGCCCATGTACGTGTAAGCAAGTAAAAATCACATGGATTCTGATTTACTTAAATCAGATTCTGGCTTTGTTCATATGTGGAAATGTATCCGAATGTACACGAATCATATACATGTCTTCCCATCTGCAGTGTAAGTAGTAGATCAGATAGACCAGATTTTCACGGCGCACGCAGATTTAATGCCATTGCGAATGGCATTAAATCTGATGCTTTCATTTCAGAACAGACTTCAGTCCCAAACCTTAAATTTAATATACATAAATATAAAATAAAGATTTTTATATTGTCATGTTGCACAAGTTAATGCTCAAGAGATGCCCAAAGTTGGCCCATGATAACCTTTGATTCGGCCCACCATCCCATCTGAGAAGAGAGGGAGAATTATGAGGATGGTTTGGGGACTGAAATTCCTAATTTAATGTAATATTAACTGAAATGAAATGCTATGCTAATTAAATGTTGTAAATAAATCATTTTTTTAATGTGCGTACTGTCACCTGACGGATAGATGACAATGCAGAGATACAGATTCTGCTCGACTAGAGTATTCAGCATCGAACTCCACTGTGTTATAAATTGTTAATGTTATTTTATTGTAATAAGTTATCATTTAAAATGATACTACATTAGGTAATATAATTTAAATAAATGTTTCCTATTTATTGTTAAAAATTACAAAAATAAATTAGTAAATTACCTATGGCAACTTTAAATTTCAGCCCATGGCTTTTGATGATGCCCTTCATACAACAATGTTTGGGCACCCCTGATTTAGAGAGAGACAGAGAGAGGACACGAGCTCAACATCAGCCATAATAACAATATAAACTGATATACAACTACTGCATATACCACATGAATAAATCACGCCATGGACCAAACGCTAAGATGCCTACTGGTTTAAAAAAGCCTAGATCAATAGAAGATTGCCAAATCAGAACTTTTCTGTCATAAATTGTAGCAAAACAACTTGTTGAAAAGAAAATAAAGAAAAGAAACCCTGCATACAGATTAAAAAGAGAATGGAGAAAATGGCACTCTTTTAATATCATAGCTGTTAGTCAGCACCCGCTCTTTTTTTTCGTGGTATTGTGTCTGCAGTGTAAATGCACATCGGATTGACCATCATGTTCTGCAGTGTAAAAGCAGCCTAAGTAGCATGTTGATCTTAAACCATAAGCTTTTTAATCTCTCAGGTCCGAGACGGGACGGGTGAGACAGACCCACTGATTGGGAAGTACTGTGGAAACACCCTGCCAGCACCGATATTGTCCACCACTAATGGGCTCTGGATCCGTTTCCAGTCGGACAGCTCTGTGTCCCGTGCTGGCTTTAGGGCCATGTATGAACTTGGTAAGACACTGAATCTTCCTCTTTAAAGGTCCTGTAAAGTGGGTTGAATTCTGCATTATTTATTCCATGTTTGACATAATCTCAACTGAAAAAGGAAGAGAGGGTGTGGCATAGAGTAGCTCCTCTCCTATTAAAAAAACAGCTAATAGCGTTTTGTTTTTATCACTGCTCTTCCAGAGAGAGTGGTTGAGCTCAAGTGCATCAAATGAAAAGCAAATGAGAAACGTCTTGAAGGAGGCGGGGCATGTTAGACACTAGAGAGCATTTGATTGGTCAAGATTTGATGAGAAACTGAAGTATGTGGCGATGTGAGAAAAAAACCCTTTCATTTTTTACCTGTAAGTGACAAACTGCAAGCTTTGAATGTTTTTATCAGTTTTATATCTTCTAAACGCGAATCTTGTCACTGCTTCAGAGCACACTACACAAGAGATCTGCGCGGGACCAAATTTTGAAACCCACTCCTGCCAGGTTGTAGTCTGAACTGACCGCTCCCGCTTACATTCAGCATTTGGTGTCCCGCTGCCCGCCCCGCCCCGTTTTCTACCCTCCGTGCTCGTTCCCGCTAACTGAGGGGGCTAATGGCGACAAAACCGAAAACCACCCAGCTATACAGAGTCCAGACAGCCTATAACAAGCTGTCTGCATAAACCCACACACAGACGCACAGCACCACGCAAGTGACACACACACAGACAGCATCACCCGCTCTCTTAATCACACACACATACACGCACATACACAAACACATTCACACACATACACACACACATAGACAGCAACAAACAAGCTAAACAGCATCACGCTCTCTCATTCACACACATACGCGTGCTCGCTCGCTCGGGAGTCGGGAGCGATATTGTTAGACCGTCCGCTCCCGTTCAAATTACACCAGTTACTGACCGTTCCTGCGCTTTATTTGGAAAGTTATTCTCGGGCCGCAAGAAATCTGGTCGGGTCACGTGACTCCCGCGGGAATGCAGACCTCTACACTAGTCAGTGAGTGTTATTCTCTATTTCAGTAAGCTATTGTTGGCAGCATGCTTTTTGCAGCTCTGGATATGAACTGGATATGAAATATGAAAAATATTCTTAAAGTTCTCGTGATTTACCTTTAATTAGTGTACATAATTAGGTATAGTTATTACACATGTTCCGTCTAGATTTGATCTCAGACTTCATCTTATTTTTTTTCCAGCTTGTGGAGGAACCCTGTCCGGAACTGGTCAGATCCGCACTCCCTTTCATCCTGACCCGTATCCACACAACAAGGTGTGTGAGTGGGTCATAAACCAACCCGAGGGTTATGTTGTCACTCTCAACTTCCTGACCTTCGATGTCGAGGGAAGCAGTACATGCGCCTTCGATCATGTGGAGGTACAACATTAGAATTGTGCATTAGAAATTACTGACAGACTGGAGTTTACATCTCTTCTGAAGATTTAATCTCGGGCTCTCTTAGGTAAGGGACGGTCCCAGCTCTAGCTCGCCTCTGATTGGTCGATATTGTGGAGTTGAGATGCCCCCGATGCTGGAGTCCACCCAGAAATCCATGTTTATCCAGTTTAAAACAGATGCATCAGTCTCCAATCACGGTTTCACTGCTGAGTTTGGTTCTGCAGAGCAAGGTATTGTTTTCTCCCCTAAATATACTGTAGATTGTCTATTTGTACATATATTGTATATTCTTTGTAGAGAGCAGTCTACAAACTAAAATATTGGTTGCCAGACATTCAACCTAGAAATAAGGTCACTGTTGTTGGTATTATGGGATATTTGTTTATTTTATTAGCTGTATATTTTTAAAAAGTAGTCGGTTGTCTATCTGAGCAACCGAAATAAATATTTACCTTTATTACAGTATATAAATATATAGACACATAGACTCACTGGTCACTTTATTAGGTACACCTTACCAGTACTGGTTTGGGCCTCCTTTTGCCTTCAGAACTGCCTTAATCCTTTGTGGCTTGGATTCAATAAGGTACTATAAATATTCCTCAGAGATGTTGATCCATATTAACATGATAGCATCACACAGATGCTGCAGATTTGCACATCCATGATGTAAATCTCTCATTCCTCCACATCCCAGAGGTGTGAATTCAATCTGGTTACTATGGAGTCCATTTGAGTACAGTGTACTCATTATCATGTTCAATAAACTAGTCTGAGATGATTCATGCTATAAGACCACCACCACCAGCATGAACGGTTGACACAAAGCAGGATAAATCCATGCTTCCATGTTATTGATGTCAAATTCTGACCCTACAATCCAAATGTTGCAGCAGAAATCAAGACTCATGAGACCAGGCAATGTTTTTCCAATCTTCTCTTGTCTAATTTTGGTGAGCCTGTGTGAATTGTAGCCTCGGTTTCCTGTTCTTAGCTGACAGGAGTGGCACCCGGTGTGGTTTTCTGCTGCTGTAGCTCATCTACCTTAAGGTTGGACGTGTTGTTTGTTCAGAGATGCTCTTCTCAGTTGTAAGTTTGGTTATTTGAATTACTGTTGCCTTTCTATTTGCTTGAACCAGTCTGGCCATTCTCCTCTGACACTTGGCATTAACAAGGCATTTGCGCACAGAACTTCCGTTCACTGGATATTTTCTCTTTTTCAGACCTTTCTCTGTAAACCCTAGAGATGGTTGTGCTTGAAAATCCCAGTAGATCAGCAGTTTCTGAAATACTCAGACCAGCCTGTCTGGCATCATCAACCATGCCACGTTCAACGTCACCTAAATCTTCTTTCTAATGCTCTATTTGAAGTGCAGCAGATTGTTTTGACCATGTCTACATGCCTAAATGCATTGAGCTGCTGCCATGTGATTGGCTAATTAGAAAATTTGCGTTAACAAGCAGTTGGACAGGTGTACCTAATAAAATGGCCGGTAAGTGTAGGTTTGGATCCCAACAGAAAGCTTATTTCATGCCATGTGTTCCCTTTTGCAGGTTGTGGTGAAACTCTCACAGAACCAACAGGCTCATTTACCAGTCCAGGACACCCCACTGAATATCCTCATGGAGCAAACTGCACCTGGTACATCTCTGTTCCACCCGGACACCTCATCCGTCTGTCATTCTCCTACTTCAACATGGAGTTTCACACCAACTGCGCATACGACTATGTGGATGTCTATGATAACGGCACAGCACTGACCGGCACTCTTCTGGGCAGGTAAACACAGCCTCCATGACAGTTTAGTCCACAATCATGACTTAATTGAAGATGTGTAAATGAATGTGTTGGTTGTTTTTGTGCTCAGGTTCTGTGGGCGATCAGTTCCTCCTTCTTTAACCAGCACTGATAGTCTGATGACTGTTCTGCTGGTCTCTGACTCCAGTCTGTCTGCTGAAGGCTTTTCCGCCGACTATATCTCCATCAATGCCACCACAGGTATAATTTTATTGCAGGAACTGCTTATGAAAATCCAATTTGAAAAGCAAAAAAAAAACTGACCATGGCAAGCTATTTTAACATTTAATCCGTGAAACATACTGAGATCTAATTCCTAATATTTTTATATGCTACTGTTATCAATTCTAATATGGTTTAGCACTTATTCTTTAGAATACTACTTTTATTTATTTATTTTATTTTATTTATTTATTTAATTATTTTGTTTATTTATTTATTTATTTATTTATTTTGTTTGTTTATTTGTTTGTTGGTTCATTTATTTATTTATTCCTTCATTTGTTTGTTTATTTATTGTTTTGTTTGATGAATGTTAGTACTAATTTCAGTAGAAACAAGTTATTTATTTATTTATTTTGTTTGTTTATTTGTTTGTTGTTTTATTCATTTATTTATTTATTTTCTTTGTTTATTTGTTTGTTGGTTCATTTATTTATTTATTCCTTCATTTGTTTATTTATTTATTGTTTTGTTTAATGAAAGTTAGTACTAATTTCAGTAGCAACAAGTTATTTATTTATTTATTTTGTTTGTTTATTTGTTTTTTGTTTCATTCATTCATTTATTTTTTGTTTATTTGTTTGTTGAATGTTACTACTAATTTCTGTAGCAAAAAGTTATTTTTTATTTATTTTTTTATTTAGTTTTTGTTTATTTGTTGGTTCATTTATTTATTCATTCATTTATTTATTTGTTTGTTAAATGTTAGCACTAATTTCAGTAGCAACACGTTACTCTATTTATTTATTTAGTTTGTTTATTTGTTTATTTATTTGTTGGTTCATTTATCCATTTATTAACTAGTTACTTTTCTGTTGTTATTAATGGCATGTGAATTTTTTTCTGTTTTCTATTGGGATCTGTCATTCAGGTATTAACGTTTCAATTCCGACTATGAATTCTGTTGGTATTTTGAAGTATTACTAATACGTATTCAGTAGATAACTAGCACTTATTTGTTGAAACTATTAGATTTTTAGTCCATTCAATTACTCCACTTGCTTGCATTATTGGTGATATCTTACTATTCAAAACTGCTTTTATTTATTTTATGTCACATTTCTATTAATTTTATTATATATTTATCTTATTATTTATACTTACTGTATATTATAACTATTCAAAATGGCAACAGTAGAGTTCAATAAAAAAATCATGTGGTAAAATAGATATAAGTGCATTTTAAAATTAAATTAAAGCTTGGCATAATATAATATGAATCTTTTTAAAAATGTTTTTATGTTTGTTTGTTTTTTTATGCGTGTACTTAGATTTACTCATTTATGGTAAGCTACACTGGCATTTACTCCATAAAATGTACTAGTATCAGATTCATTTCTACTAGTACTTATTGTTTATATTTTAGTACTTAAAACACTTGTAAATGATTAACTAACATTAAGTATGTAATGAATTAGTACTAGCATTGAATAAATAAGAACTGGTACCTAATGTGTACTATTATACTATTAGATATTTGTGAATACAAAAATGACTAGTAGCAGTCAACACCAATGGCGTAGTGGTTAGTGCATTGACACATGTACCTGAGTGCTCACAACCTGATTTCGATTCCAAGTTCCTATGCCGATCCTTCCCCTCTTTCTGCTCCCCACACTTTCCTGTCAATAATCTCTGCTCTCCTATCCATTAAAGGTGAAAACCCTGAAAAAATAAGTATAAAATTAATAATAAAATAAATAACATAAATACTAGTAGCATAAAATTACATACTAGTAAGTTATAAGAACTAAATGTGAAATCTGCATAGTAAATCATAGTAAATCTTGAGGTTTTTTAGAAAGTCAAGTCAGCTTAATTGTCATTCTGCTGTATGTAGAGACATCCAAAGGAATAAAATGTGTATTATTTTAGCATCACATCTAGTTATTCTATTTCATTTTTTTGTACATGGTCCATGCAGATTGCAGTAAGGTGTTTAGAACATCCACCGGGGAGTTGAGCTCGCCAAACTACCCCGATAATTACCCTACCAATCGAGAGTGTGTCTACAGGATCATAGTGGAAGTCAACATGCAGATCATGCTCAACTTCACTGATTTTCAGCTGGAAGGGTTCAGTTCCTGTGGTTTTGATTATTTGGAGATCAGGTGAGGAGCTTTCCTGCCCCTGCAGTCATTTGGTAGGTTTTGTTTTGATTTTAAACCCTTCTTCCGTTCTCTTGTAGAGATGGAGGCTATGAAACGTCACCTCTGATTGGTCAATATTGTGGAACTAACGCTCCACCTATAATAGTGTCCCATAGCAATCGGCTGTGGATGAAGTTCAGATCGGACCACTCGCTCACATATAGAGGGTTCCAAGCCCACTGGGACGGCACACAGACAGGTACATGTGTGCTTTGTTTTCATCAGATTCATATTTGGCAACACACCAATAAGCCAGACTACAATGTTTTTTTTTTATTTAAATATTTTTAAATGACTAGCCTTCGTGGGGTTTGAAATATTCCAAATAAAAAATAAATAAATAAATAAATTATATTTAACTTAAGAAGTATAATTAAATTAAATAATAATTTGTTTTATAATTAATATATGAAATAATCAACATTTGAAGTGGATCAAAAAAGTGTTTCAAAATTGTCCTAAAACAAGAATGGGTGTTAATCAATAGTTTTAGGACAATTTTTTTGATCCACTTCAAATCTTGACTACTGCGTGCGCGCGCGTGTGTGTGTGTGTGTGTATTGTGTGTGTGTGTGTGTGTGTGTGTGTGTGTGTGTGTATTGTGTATTGTGTAGCTCGGGGCTATCAGGGCTATTCAATTAGTTTGTCATGGGGCCAGTTTATGAAAAGCATTCTAAATGAAGGGCCGAAGAGATATGACTTGCAATATAAGTGATGACACAACAACATATAAGTGTACATACATATGCTGTATTTTTGCTCCTTAAGACACCCACGTTGGCTTTTTCTACATTAAAACGTTAATATATTGTATTTTTAAACTACATAACATCAGTGAATTGTGCATTGTGGCTTTTTTACAAACATATTCAAATGTTGTATTTCAAAGCACAACAAAATCAGTGTATTGAATCAGTGTACTTCTTCTACATTCAGACACATTCATATTTTATGTTTTGAACTGCGTAACAATTAAGGATGCAACAATTATAGATTTCGGTTGTACGATTATAAAGTCTGAAGAATAATCATGGTTTCACAGTTATCATCATTATTGTGCGTTTATTAAATTCAAGACACTACTAGTTTAGAAAATCTGCTTAGATTTTAATGTGTTGTTTGTTTTGCTGCTCAGTAACCTAATACAGTACAAAATATTAATAAAAAACTAATAATAGACCATTTCTTTCTTTGGACTTAAAAATTAATAAAAAATATTGGATTTAGACACGAGTGATAATTTTACAATGAAAATAAATGACAGAACAATGAATAAATTAATAAAAATAAGAATAAATAAAAATAGTATTTGTCTAATGTTTATTTATATATATATTTATATATTTAGTGAAATCGGCTAATCATTGCATCCCTATTAACCATACCAGTGCATTGTACAAAAGGCCTTTTATACAAAACACATCTAAATGTTTTCGGCTGCCTGCACCACTCGCTTCATGTCACTTGACTCACTCTCTGCGCAGCCTTCAATCACAGCTTGTGTTGTATTGAACAGACGCATGTCACTTTCTAGATAGCGACCATTTTCTGACTGAACTAAATTTATTTTTGAAGTCACAAATTACCTCGGGGGCCCTGGAGTGAATACTGTAATTATATTTGATTTTAACTTAAAATCTTTACTTTTTAATTACATATTTTAACATTTTAATTGCATATATAAGCACATTTTGCTTTACTTACTATTTGAAGTTTTGCGTTTTATTGTAAATATTGAATTATAAATATTTATAATTTTACAAATAATAAGTGGATCCAGTTGCAAAGCAGAATACTTATTTTTAATATGTAAGTGCCTGGACACTGATTTGTGTTAGTATACTTTGTATTCCTTACATTGTGGGGACCAGATGTATACAGGAATAGCAATGGCAGTCATTTTTGACTTTGTGGGGACATTTATTTTTGTCAACATATGGAAAAACAGCTCATAAATCGCACATAATGAATTCTGAAAATGTAAAAATGTGTATTGTTCCCTGTGACGGTTGGCCTTTGGGGTAGTGTTGGAGTAGAGGGATATACAGTAATATACTGTTTGTAATAGAGCTGCACAACATGTCAATTCAGTATTGATATTGTAATGTGCACATCCACAATAGTCACATTGCAGGAAGTGCAATGTTGAGTTTTTAAGTTGAGATTATAGTTTATTAGGAGCCACAGTTCAGAACCAGAAGAGTTTTAGATTCACGGAAGAGTTTAATCAAAATGGAGTGTAAGTTTATCATTTGCATGTGTTCTTAAGGCATTCAGGCACCAGAGTTTCAAGCATTCAGGCACAAGAAATTGAACTATTTGTAACTCTAATAAAGATGTATTTATTGAACTGTTTAGTAAATGAAGACTATACTGTGTTATTTTTCATTTGATTATTCAATTTCTGTCCCTGAATACTGTGATGTAAAATATTTCATTTCTATCTTCCTAATAATAATCCCCACAATCTTCCAGACTAATCCTAAATCAGACAAAATTAATGATTTTTTTTCCCCCAAATAGATCTGTTCAAGCTATCTGACGAAATTGTATTCATATCGCAATATAAATTGCAGCAAAACAAAATATTGCATTGTCAAATCTTTCCAACATCATGCAGCCCTAGTTTGTACAGTATCAAACTCATTTTTCCATGGGAAGTCCCCACGAAGATAGCTGTACAAGTGAATGTGTTGCAACTGGATCCACTTATCAACTTCTGTTGCATGTCTCTGTTATAGGCTGCGGTGGGACATTGACCACAAGCAGTGGAGGTTTCACATCTCCCAACTACCCTCTTCCCTATCCTGCCAATGCCGAATGCTACTGGCACATCAAAACCAGTGCAGGAAGCAGAATCCAGCTCAGCTTCGGAGACTTTCACCTGGAGGACACCGTGGACTGCTACTTCGACTATTTGATGGTTAGAAGACAGATTTTTAGAGTTTTTGACTTAAGTTATTAAGCTTGAATCCTTTTATTATTATTGCTTTTGTACATTATAATATAACAATTGTTTTTACAAACTGGTGGTTACAAATCAACATGCATGAGACCGTAATAACAACTAAAAACAAGGCATGCTCTCCAAATAAATTAGATTGAAAAAAATCTATAAAATGAATACAAATTGCCAACACAATCTGCAGATTTGCCAAATTATTTAACGAATGACTCCCACATCTTTAGAAAATGTCATGGGCTGTTTCTCAATATGCGTTCTTCAGCGGTCTTGCGTCCTCGTGTTCTCGTGAAACATCATCATCAGCAGTTCAGTTCCAATACTCAAGACCGCAAGTACGGAGGACGCGTGAAACTTTCCAGATGTGTTCTTGATATCGAGGACGCACCGATGCAGACTTGAGCACCGAACTCGCTCTGGAAGTCCCAGGAGTCATTGCGACTGGAGGTGGGAAGCGCAGCATTTTATCTAGATTTATTATTAAAGCTCATAGATATGAATTATTTACCTCAGGAGTTTCCCTAAATGAAACGGTGAATGTAAACATTACCATCGACATCTTAATAAAGGAATAAACACATTAAGGGTGTTTGTTTGCTGAAATTCGTATTAAAATCTGTTTTATTTATATTGTTCAACATATATTTATAATGTATTTATGCAAAATATATATTTTGAAATGGGGAAAAACAATAAATCGTTGTATGAAGGCTGTAATGTTTAAATAATTTACCATTTAAAACACGTGAAGGTCATGTGACCATCAGGAAGAACGCAGCATCTTAATTCTCAAAGGATGCGTTCTCTGCCCTCGCGGTCTCCTGAGTTCGTTCTTCCGAGGACACCTGGCAAGACCGCTCTCCACAAGAACACAAGTCCGTTCTCTGCGTTCTTGGAATTGAGAAACAGCCATGCTCTTTCCTTTCCTTGATAAAATGGATCTTTTCTCAATGTTAAATCTTGTCCACGATCCACATATCAAATGTTGGTACTGCTTCAGACATTTTAAGTGTTGTAAAAGAAGTCATTTTGCAAAGGGAAACTGCTTGTGCTACCTATTGGCTCATTGGTGATTCTGGTGTTATGTACGTGTATGTTCCAGGTGTATGATGGCAACAATAGTAATGCTCATCAACTGGCTAAACTGTGCGGAAATCAGATTCCTGCACCCATCAGCTCGTCCAGAGAGAACATGTATGTGAAACTGCGTACAGACAGCATCATCCACACTGGCGGATTTCTGGCAAACTACCATTCTAGTGAGTGATGCTTGAAACACATGAGTGTAAAAACCTCTGTCAACGAGAGAAAACACACTGAAGTTTACCCTGATTTATGGAAGACAGCCAGTAAAATGGCATTCAGTGTAATCATATATCAATTTTTAATAATAAAAAAATATATAATCAAGCATGTTTAGAGCAAGAATTATTTTATAGCATATTAAAAAACCTGTATAGGGATCTCAATACATTCCAATTCTGATTGCAATAAAATACAATACAATTTAATACAGATTAATCGTCATTTTAAATCTTCAAGCATTTGTCACTGTCTTTCATATAACTCACATTAACCCATTTGTCAGCAAGAGGTTTTAATCAATTAAAACAGAATAATATTATGTGTTAACACTCATTATTTCATATAATCGTAATAAGTACAGAGTACAAAGTAAGCAAGTTTTCATTTTTATACAAATACATTGTTTCATTAATTTCTTTAAGATATTAATAATTAATGAAATAAATAATTGTTAATTTACTTTTGAAGTAAATGTATCTGGGTTTAAGAGGACAAAAACAATACTGTCAGAAAATATTTATTCACTGAATTCCACATTTTTCAAATTATTGCTTTAAAGGGCCACGACACCCCCCACTTTCGGTTAAAGTCTACTTCAGAATTTTTTCAAAAGATGCATGATCAATGGGCGTGGAGCTCCGCGAGCATCGGGCAGGAGTGGGCGTAGCCAGCAGGGGAGGATGTGAGCGAACGAAGCTAGCTCACAAAATGAGACAAACCGTGAGGAGACGCATGAGTTTATAGTTTACAAAGTTAAAATGCAAAGAAATGAACAGTGATTTAATGCCTTGCTACATTTGTTATTCGTTATTTGATATACACATAACCACAATTTATATCATTATAAAGATAAGTGTGTTCATGTAAACCCTATAAATGAGGACTTCTCCCTCAATCCCCGTGTCCACCAGACTCAGTGCAGCAGGTCTCCTGACCTGTCTATTTTAACGTGACGTGTCTCACAGCTCGGGCTTGACTCTGGCAGGTCTGGCAGGTCTCATGAATAATTAAGCAGCCGGCTCTTCTCATAGGATAAGAAAACTCCGCTATGAATAATTATGAGAAACCGACGCGTCATCATTGCACTTGCAGTACTGCGCTACGTCGCCGATTTTGATCCCGCCCCAAAAATCATTTTAAACCCGGAAGCTGTAATTAGCTGTAATTAGCTGACAAAAGCTCAAAACCAGTTTTCCCCACAATTAAAGCTGACAGGTGCTAACATTGTCCTAACTGATGCTCAACACACACAAATCTGTTAATATAAAAAAAGTTCTCCAGGGTGTCCTGAACCTAAAAATGTTCACAGAACATTTCACAGGGTGTTCACAGAAACCTAAAAATACCATGGTACTTTATCAAATTGTTGTTCTTTTATTTTGTAATTATGTGAATGCAAAAAGTATGATTTTTTCTAGAAGCCACATTAGACTCTTGGGCAGTTTTAGAGGGCCAGACCTATAAAAAATTCTGTGAAACTATTCAATAAACATTTATAAAAACTAAAACTAATAAACTAATTTAAAAATTAAACAAAAAGACCAGCATCACAATATCAACTACATATGAATGCCCCAGAGTTGTTTGTTTGATTGCTTCACCTTAGTTCATTTTATTTATATATATATTTATTCTTAAATAAATCCAGTGGCACCTGGAAATGTGAGCGCACCACATGTGCATCCCCTCCATACCTTTTTGTGCGCTAAACCCGGGTGTCTCCATATGAAATAATAAAAACTGAGCGTTATATGAGACGTTTATATGTGAAAGTCCCCTTTTGTTGACTCGCAATATTAGACCTGTGTATTGCAAGGTCCTGTTTGCCTGAATTTAAATTAACTAAATGCTTCATGCAGGTCTATCAAAGAAGTCCAGTGGCCCGCATGTGACCTGGCGGCCGTAAAATGCCCAGGTCTGACATAGACGATCAACATATAACAGTGAGCATAAAAAAAAATACATGTAATAAACAAAATACAGGAAGTTGTTAAATAATACTACTACTACTAATAATAATAATAATAATAGTAAAAATAGTAATAATGACAACAACAATAATAGTAAAAATTAAAAGGATAAACTAAAGAACAAATGACAGAGATAGACTAAATATATACTATATATATATATATATAACAAATATATATATAATAACAAATTCTACACCAAAAAGAGCTATACAACTAAACATGTAATATTAGTAATATTCCATGGTACTGTTTTTGTTAATAAAAATGAGACATTACTTATCCGCTGTGGCTTTAAATCATCCATGAATTATGCTTTGTTTTTGTATCTGCCGGTGAAGTTCATCCAGGGGACACCGACTTGTTTTGGATCTCTTCTTTTTAGTCTTGTTTTAATTATGTTTGTGAGGGTGAAATGTCACGGTTTAGAGCTCGGCGCACCACTATCTGTCTTCTTTTGTTATTTCTCTCATTCATTTGCTTTTTCTTTGGCTGTTAATAGTTGAATGCCAGCGTGTTTCCCAGACATTAAAACTTTACTGCAAGGTCAAATCAAGTTCTAGCCAACAATACCTCTCTACTTAAATCCACATGAACTGGGAGCTGCCACCGTTTGTTTTTTCTGTATTGTGATGCAGGTCCTAGAGAAACGGAAAATTAAATGGGCGTGGCTCGTTTTTTTTTTTTTTTTACTGCAAGCTGATTGGATGTGGTAAAGTATGCATTTTATTTAGAAAGATCTGAAAAAGAGTATGGGGAGAGTTATTACCACCAAACGGACCCCTCCTCCTCCTTCTCCTTCTCCTCCACCTCCTCCTCACCATTTCTGTTTGTTGTCAAAACTGACAGTAGAGGGGCGTGGTCAAGTATGTTAGCCATGCCCAATACCTCAGACAGACCTAATCTGAGCATTTAACTAAAATCAAACAGAAAAGAATGAAAGATTACAAGGGCAAACCATTTTTTTTTCTTAATGACATGCACAGATGAATTGTTCACCATATAACAATCAATCCGAGCAAACAAAATCAAAATGGTTAGTTTTAATTTCATGTGTACTTTAAAACTGCACATATTGCTGTTCAAAGGAGTTTTTAAAACTTTAGTTCTTTGATTTACCGAATTCTTCCCATCTCATATTATTAATATCATGGGCTTTCTTTTCTCCTGTAGCTTGTAATGGTATGCTGATTGCCAATCGCAGTCGAGGAATGATCGAGAGCTTGAACTATCCCAATGACTACCCATCTCATGCCGACTGCAGCTGGACCATTCAGGCCTACATGGGCAACACCATCAACTACACATTCATAGCCTTTGAGGTGGAGCAATCCGATGGATGTGGCTACGACCATGTAAAGGTCAGCATACCATTTGTCAAACGTAATAGTGACTTTATTGTGCTTTTTTAAATGTTCCTAATTAGAGCTGGGGTGGCATGGTGGCTCAGTGGTTATCAGCACTGTGAAGGCTTTTTATACTTGACTTGCTCGCTGTTGTACTTTTGGGCAGACCAAGACAAGCATTTCCCACATAAGATTGCCAACAGTGCAGACAAATATAAAATATCGCAAATTAGAACAGGTTGGTTAATTAAATTATGCTACTGTATGTAACGTTTAGTTAGCAATAATTCTCCAGTGCCGATAGCAGAACCGTTACCGTCAGAGCTTATTAATACTTCGGTCTTTTATAATAAGTACCAAATTCTGGTACCCTTCCCTAATCTCCATATGGGCAACTTTTCTGATGTGGTCATTTTACTCGTACCCCATGTTATACTGTGTTGTACTTGTAAAATCAAGGTTTCTAGGTGATCTAGACAACAATCCCTTCTTTCTCATGGAGGACGAGAGGGACATGTATCTAAAGCATACAACAAAACAACAGCAACGTATTTCAGATTCGCAAAAATGTAGACAGTGCCCTTTAGTGGATTTGTCATCTGAAACCTGCAACGGCATGAACCCAGAGCGACATATTTTACTATTTGCATGAGGAAATAGTAGGCTAAGGCATGCATTTCCAATTAGCTTAGGCTGAAAATATCCATTTATGCATTAATGCTAATTCCTGTTAGAAATCTTATTGGCAAAAAAAACTATATGCATTTAGGGTGCACTGAGAAGCTTTCGAGAATAACAGTAACCTTTGTAAGGTCCACCCAGTTGGCCCAATGAAGGTGTCCACTTGTGGATGAAGGTGTCAATGCGTGTTCGGCCTTTCCAGTGCACAATGTTGTTTCAGTTTAACTTTAACTCATATCTGACTGCAATTTTAATATGAAGTGGTTTAGAAGATTAATATATTTATCTTTTGTTTTATCTGACTCCAATCATAAAACATTAGAAGATTATATCAATATATAATTTAGATAAATGTTTGAACCTTTTGTCTTCACTCGTAACTATAACATTTGGTCATTCGGGTGCTCATGATGCTTAAAGTAATCGCCTCGGCCGAAGGTGTCCCTCATTGTCACACTCTCGTCTATCTTGATTATTAAATAGGGGTAATTGACTAATACTTTTATATAGTTTTTTTTTATTATAAATGTAACTGACTACTGTTCTCTATAACAGTGGTTCTCAAAGTGGGGGTCGGAACCCCCTGAGGGGTCGCGGGGCAATGAAGGGGGGTCGCCTGGTGATTTCCAAAAATCTATTTATTTTTATTAAACCATAAGAATTAACATATTTTATCCATAACTATACTGAAAATAAAAATAGTCGTTTATAGTTACTATATAGTTACTATAGTAGCTTATAGTTACTAGTTCTATTGAATTGCGACCCCTGGGGTAATTACATTATATTAAAGGCAGCAATAGCGTCAGATGCATTTTGATTTTATAACATCAGGTTATACTTTTTGGCACATTTAAAGCACTGACACAAATTTAATTGGTGTGTCTGCGTCATTGCATGCAAGGTTTCTGTATTCATAACCACCTCAGAGGATTTTGGGGGTCGCAAGTCACTGGCATTGTTATTTTGGGGGTCGCGGGCTGAAAAGTTTGGGAACCCCTGCTCTATAATAATTTTGGTTTAGCCAAGCCAATGGTTTCCCATGTACACTAATTTAGAACATTACATTCAAACAAGGGTCAGGCACCCTATCTAGGTTAGTCATGCAACCCCTTGTTGCCCTTAGACAGAAATAACTCCTTTTCCACCTAAGTACCCTTGAATCAATACCATGAGTCAATGCAGATAGTGTGCCCAATGCTCCATCTCAACTGAACTTTAGTCCGTCTACTGAGCTGACGCAGGACGTGCGGAAACAAAGGATACAGCGTAATCTACTAAAATTAATAGTTACAGAGTAAGCAGAATGCGTTCAAACATAACAATTTAATAGTCAGGTAAATGTGTATTATGCCAATTCATTCAGTCAATTTATAAAGGATGAATACAATACATCAAATACTCAAAGATAGATCTAAGATCAAAAGATGCATACATGACTTCAAAATACACATAGTATAGAGCATAAGAGCTCCACACTATGGGCTGATCTGGTTACAGAATTGCCCCAAACCTCTTGACACTTTCCCTTAAATAGTCAAACCAAGAATCTCCCTCAAGGAGGGGTATGTGTGGAATAACAAAAGGCATTTACATTTTGTGGCATGTTAGATCTGAAGAGATACTGGCTATAGGGAACAAATGGTAATTTAAATAGAAGCCCCTAGGTAAAAGCAAACCCTTAGCAATATTTTTAAAGATACCTGTAGTTATACATCTATTGTTTTGATTATCTCTATTTCTCTGAGAATGAGACCATTGTACCAGTCGCACTGAGACACTTCAAATGATATCAAACATGATAGATAAAGTCACTTGGATTGATGTAGAACATTCCTATTTTAAGATGACAATTCTGTGAAGAGGAGGGTGAGTGAACAGGGGGTTGCGGGAGATGCTTTAAATGTAAATGAAGAAAGGAGAGGAGTGAACTTTCCCGCATTCCCACCTGCTGGGGTGGGGAGCCAGCCGATGCTTGTATTATTAAAGACATTAACGTATCTGTGGTATCTCAAATCACTCTGACTTCGATATAGGGCTGGGCCGATAAATGATATTAAACCAAACTGCGATAAAATTTATGTCAATAGTAATGATAAGCTCTGGACCTTGGTTTAAAAGTCAATCACACAGCAGAAATAAACAACAATGGCAATCTAAAAGTGTGTAGATATTAGAGATGTACTGAATTTTGTCCGGGCCTTACGGTGGCGCAATGGGCAGCTCGATCTTCTTACAGCAAGAAGGTCGGTGGTTTTAGCCTCGGCAGGGTCAGTTGGTGTTTCTGAGTGGAATTTGTATGTTCTCCCTGTGTTGGTGAGGGGTTCATCCGGGTGCTCTTGTTTTCCCCCACCATTCCAAAGACATGCAGTAAAGGTGAATTGGGTAGGCCAGTCCATGGTGTATGGGTGTGAATAGGAGTCTATGGATGTTTCCCAGTGATGGGTTGCAGCTGGAAGGGCATCCGCTGGGTAAAACATGTGCTGGGTAAGTTGGCGGGTCATTCCGCTGTGGCGACCCCAGAATAATAAAGGGACTAAGCCGTTTTTGGCCACTGAAAATTTATCAGCCGAAAATATGTCATGCCTACTCATTTAAATCTGGAAGCATTAACAACTTATATCGAAATATATATCGTTATCGATCTGTATGAAAAATAATTATTGAGACTGCATTTTTGCCATATTGCCCAGCCCTTTATCGATAAAATATAAAAATGCTCTGGTGATTTCCTCACCATCTTGTTTCACATGGAAACCCTGCTGAAAAATCCAGCTAAAACCAACATAGGCTGGTTGGCTGGTTTTAACTGGTCGACCAGGCTGGTTTTAGAGGGGTTTCCAGCCATTTCCAGCCTGGACTTAGCTGGTCAGGCTGGGAGATGACCAGCTAAAACCAGCTTGACCCGCCTAGCCAAGCTGGGAGTCCAGCCAAAACCAGCTATATCCAGCTTAAACCAGGCTGGTCAAGCTGGTTTTAGCTGGATTTGGCTGGTCATTTTCCAGCCTGACCAGCTAAGACCAGGCTGGAAATGGCTGGAAACCAGCCTGGAAGTGGCCAAAACCCCTCTAAAACCAGGCTGGTCAACCAACTAAAACCAGCCAACCAGCCTAGGCTGGTTTAAGCTGGATTTTTCAGCAGGGAATGCTAATGCTAAAGCTAGTCTGCTTGACTTGAACAGAAAGTTCAGTGTTTTTTTTAACTGAGTGCCATCTTCACTTCTTTTTCAAGCTTATCTTCTTTTTAAGGGTCAAGTAGTCTCATTCTTTCTGGACATTTTGTCATCGAGTTTCATTATAGAGCTTAACAGTCTTTGAAAGCATATAAATGGGCCTTTGAGTTCCTCTCCTTTCACTTGTCACCATGACAACCCAAACAGTGATGTCATCAGTGGGCCTCTTGTAGAAATGTTGAGTTTTAGCTTCTCCTCAGGCTGTTTTAAGAGAGCCATAATAAGCGTTGTTCCATACACAGACATTCAGATGTTTTTACTGGGTATTTTGGACTTGTTGATGACTTCTTCATTGTGGAATGTGTGCTTTTGTGCACAGGCCAACAATATCACAGCACACTTTTTGTTCCTAAGACTGGAGAACAGATGGTCTGAATTACTGATGTGATGTTACTAGTTGTAGTTCCTGCAAAAGGTCAATTATTCTTGGAAGGGTAGTGCAGGATGAAGCTTGTTTTATACTGTGATCTGCTATTAGATCTCTCCATTTTTAACATCACTTATAAGTCTTGCTTTTTTTAGTCAAGCGGGGTGTAGAATTACATGCTCACTAGCCTACTTTTGGAACATTTTAAAAGGATATTGTTTTTACAGATGTGTAACCATACAACATGTAGCAGTTTTACCATTTTAAATAATTTATGTGGGGCAGCGCAGTGGCCCAGTGGTTAGCACTGTTTCCTCACAGCAAGAAGGTCGCTGGGGCAGTTGGCGTTTCTGTGTGAAGTTTGCATGTTCTCTCCGTGTTGGCATGGGTGTCCTCTGGGTGCTCCGGTTTCCCCCACAAGCCCAATTGAGTAAGCTAAGTTGTCCTTTGTGTATGTGTGTGAATGAGAGTGTATGGGCCTTTCCCAGTGATGGATTGCAGCTGGAACGGCATCCACTGCATAAAACATATGCAGGATAAGTTGGCGGTTCATTCCGCTGTGGAGAACTCAGAAAACTCAGAACTCAGAAAGCTGAAAACAAAATGAATAAAATAATTATTTGTCACAACCATTTGTCAAAAACTGTAGAATAATCAATCATTTTGGATCATTTTAATTTTATGTATTTTGAACTTAGTTTTTGTTGTTGTTTTTGTCATCGTTAGTAATAATATTAGTATTTTTCAATGTTTCTGTATAATTCTGATAAATATTTATTTGAATTTTTAGTTATTTCAGCACTAACCCTCATAATGTAATAGTTTATTAATGAATATTTTGAAATAATTATATTTATGTTTCCCATTATCATATCACAGTGGTTCCTCATTTATCGCTGGAGTTGCTTTATAAAAATAACCTGCAATAGGCGAAATCCTCGAAGTGGTCAGCTTTATTTTTTCAATTATTATATAGGGGTGTCACGATTTCGATTTTTAATCGAAATCGATCGAAATTTATGCTCAATTTTGATTATCGAATCAAAAAATAGAATCGTCGATGCTGCCACGCCCCCATGTCACGTCAGCTTGGCTTGCCAAGCGGGAAAAAAACAGGCTTGTTGAAGTGCTTGTTAAACTGCAGAAGCAGGAGACCCGTCGACAGAACTTAAACCCTCTCCTCTTTCAATGAAGTCGCTGGTGTTTAAGCATTTTGGATTTCCAGTGTTGACAACGTTCGTGTTGTCAACAAAAAAAGAACACAGTTTTGCAAGCTCTGCTATGTATGTATTACGTACGGTTCGTCCGAGAGACAACACCGGCATCGCGATCCTCCGCCCGCCCCCGTTGCAAATCCGCTCGCGAAAAGTACACACTCAGGTCCTGTTTACACTGTCTTTGTTTTTAAATGGCATTTTAGAACGACAACGATTTGACATCCAAAGTGGCGTGAAGCATTTCTGAGCAGCCCTCCTTCCTCTCTACCTCTGAAAATGCACATCACGTGACCACACAGACACAGACGCACACAGTCATGCGCTCGAGACAGCAGGTCCAGGCAGTCAGAGGACTGCTTCAATCTTTCACTCACTTGTACTTAGTCATTTTAGTGAACACCTCAGATACTGTTGGCTGGTTCCTGTTGGTTGTGCGTCTTTTTTTCCCGACGCCATTATAACGACACAGATCACTGCCTATTCACGAGTCCCGCAGAAAAAAGTGATTGACAGGTGGTAATTATGTGTGTATCTTGCCTTTATTCATTTACTGTATGATTTGTTTATGGGTAAAACAAAGACCATGCAGGTCAGGTAGTTTAAACGGTAGGCTACAAATAATTAATTGGTCATTAAATAATTAATTTTTCATAATCGAAAATCTAATCGAATCGTGCCTTTAGAATCGAAAATGTAATCAAATCGAGGATTTGGAGGATTGTGACACCCTTATTATTATAGAAGTTTTAAGGCTGAAACGGAATATAACAAAACAAAGATTCATTTATTCCGTGATTGCACCCTACAGCTCCGTGCTGTAACTTCAACCTTTCCTTTAGCATGTCCAGAAGTCCAACTTTTTGTGCAATGGTTAGCACCTTTGAAGGCGCAGAATGTTTTGTCGACATTGTGAGGTTTGTTGAGGACAACATACAGTCCAGCATTTCAGGGTCACACTGCTAGCGATCGAAGGCTTATGTAAATGCTAGTTGAACTCATTCTGTACTGTACAGGAGACACGGCATGGAGGAGATTGATTGACAGTGGTCTACAGCCTGTAGAAAAAGCATGTGAAGTTACCTAAAAAAAAAATCAGTAGAACTGTGAGGCCGTGAAAGGTGAACTGTGTTACAGCCAGGGACCACTGTAATTTTAATGTATTAGTCATTTTTGATTGTTTTTAGGATAAAATTTTAAACATAAATGTTCAGTGCTTCAAGCTACGCAGAATAAAATGATAAATATTGAGCTGTCAAATTAAGTTTAACATCTAACTACTGTACATGTGGCACGTCATGCTATAAAAGGCATCTTTTCCATGTTAAAATTCGTTTTTGAAACTAAATTTCTATTTTAGAAACGGTTTCTATTTCCGTGACGTCACAGCAGAACAGCACTAGGGGGCAGCATGATGATAACAGCTTTTGTTCTTTTCCCCACTAATGATATTCACAGGGACATATTATCGACAAATAAAGGATTTTTTTCATGCAGTTCTTTGCACAACACCAAATAAATACCACAAAACAACGTGATGATTAATGTGATTTGTAATTGAATGCATTTACCTCTCCTATCTATCTCCAGATGGGCAACTTTGTCACATATATACTATTGCAGGGGTGGCCAACCCTGTTCCTGGACAGCCACCTTCCTGCAGATTTCAGTTGCAACTATAGACTGTCAAATATATGGACGTAGTATCCGTGACATCACCCATAGGTTTCTGTAAAGCGCAAAAGAAGCCACAAGTAGGCTGTCGCCATTTTGTTCGCTCGTCATCGGACCTAGGCGGGATACCAAACAAGGGCAAAGAGGCGGAGAGTGAGCGGAGCTACAGACACCTGCTGTCATTTTCCTTGGACCTGGCTTAGAAACACTTTACTTTGGGAAAACGCTTAATACTTCATCACCTGCGACTCGTTTGTGTTCTGACCCTATGTGCTCGGCTGTACACCATATCAATAAAGTGTTTAGACTTTTAAAAATACTGTAGTAATTACATTGAGCTACTAAAAGTAAGTACATTGAGCTACTAAATATTCTTATGACGTTTTCCTACAGAAGGAAAACGCGAATTACTTCCAAACACTTCAGATATAGTCTGTGTTAGTAAATGCAGGACTATTGATGAAATCCAGCATAACACTGTATGACAATGCTTCAGATGACTGTACTACAGCCCATAGCTAATTAATCTGTCAGACTGTGGAGTGCATTATAGCTCTAAAGAACATTAAAAATGATAAATTATCTTAAATAAAACAAATACATTTATAGAGATGGTTTACAAGTATATAACTTGTAATAAGTAATAAGGCCACGTGAATGGTTTGTGAGCACAATTAAGTGCACACAGCATCCCATATCATCTGATAATTGTAGGGAATAATCCCAAAAGGCAACTGACTGTGTAAAGCCACATAAAGCAAAACAAAAATAGGATGAATATGCCGAAATCAGTGGCTAATCTGCCGGAGTCAGCTGAGGTGAAGTGATGGCGACCAGCGAGACCTAGCTGTCAATCAAGTGGCCACACCTTTAATTTTGCATACTTAATATTACCTAATATAAAGAAAACTGATGAGTTATAAAAAAAATTCACCCCCCTCACAGTTGTCATGAAGGGTAATATTAGCTGTATGAACCAAAATCGTTCTTTGTACCAGTCTGTAAACACCTTTTTTTTTGCTGTAAAGTTGGCCAATTAAACAGTGGCTCAATTAAACTTTGCTCTATTATGGAACCAGGACTAGCGGATTTTCGAAGAATTGCGTTTTTCAGTTACTTCCGTATTGGCCTCCCGAGGGAGAGCGGGAGATTGCCGCTTAGTTGCTATACCCATATCAAACACACCTGCGTGTAATTATCAAGTGGTGTTCAGGTCCTAATTAATTGGTTCAGGTGTGTTAGATATGGGTAGCAACTGAAATCTGCCGGAAGGTGGCTCTCCAGGAACAGGGTTGGTCACCCCTCCCTGCTGAAAAATCCAGCCTAAACTAGCCTAGGCGGGTTGGCTGGTTTTAGCTGGTCGACCAGGTTGGTTTTAGAGGGGTTTTGGCCACTTCCAGGCTGGTTTCCAGCCATTTCCAGCCTGGTCTTAGCTGGTCAGGCTGGGAGATGACCAGCTAAAACCAGCTTGACCAGCCTAGCCAAGCTGGGAGTCCAGTCAAAACCAGCTATATCCAGCTTAAACCAGGCTGAACAAGCTGGTTTTAGCTGGATTTGGCTGGCCATTTTCCAGCCTGACCAGCTAAGACCAGGCTGGAAATAGCTGGAAACCAGCCTGGAAATGGCCAAAACCCCTCTAAAACCAGCCTGGTTTACCAGCTAAAACCAGCCAACCAGCCTAGGCTGGTTTAAGCTGGATTTTTCAGCAGGGCTGTACTATTGTATGACAAAGATCACCTCAGGGTACAGATTTTGGGCTTTATTCACTATTAAATTCTACCAATATGGGTTTAAATACCAATTTACATGACATTTATTGCCATACTGAAAGCAGCAACAGATACTGTAGTTCACCTCAGATCTTGAAAATAAAATAACTGGCAGACGATTTGAAAATGAAAGCCAGTGACACAGTGTGAAAATGAAGCTGACACAGTGCAAACCAACTACACCCGTCACTCAGTAGCCTATTATTAATCTTAAAGAGGTTTTAATATGTGATAATTAGATTAAACTCCTTTACTAATTCATTAGGAGTGCAGTGGCCCGTATTTAAATGTTTCTGTCATGTCAGCCAAATTGATGCAGACAGCCAAAATGCTTGTTGCGTTGCATGTTGTTAGGAACACGGTGTAACTTATTGCAAATTTTACATAAGACAGATAACATCCATAAGCAAAAAAGCAAATCCACCCAAAATATTCTGACAGAAAAGGCTATTAAACATATATTTCAATATTCCATATCATTTTTATTTGAATACAAGCTCATTTTTAATGGTGGTAGTGTTCGTTAACAATACTGTACCAACCCTGGCTAGAATCCACACTATGTAGAATGTAATATATAATATGCAAATGAACCATCTGTTACTGCAATGAATGGATAGTATTGGATGAATAATTGATTTTCCTGTTCCTCTCTAGCTGTATGACGGCCCGAATGATCAAGCTAATCTAATTGGTACGTTCTGTGGAAATGTGCCTCCACCAGCCGGCACCACCAGCGGTACCAGCCTCCACATCGTCTTCCGCTCCGACATGTCCATCTCATACAGAGGCTTTCAGATGGACTGGTACCAGAATGGTAAGATCAAATACACAGCCAACTGGAAACTTTCCATGAGCAGAGTACCAAATAGTGCTTAGCCCACATGGGGTTTATGTTCATGGAAAGTACCAGGTTTTTTTGTGCACATGTGCCAGCCTCAAAAGCTTTTTGTTTAACATCCAAACCTAAGAGAAAAGGAAACTGTAGAAGGAAATAACATGGAGTCCAGCGACCTGTAGTCTCTAGAGTGAGGATGTCATTGGATATGCAAGGAAAAAAGCAGTCCTAATGAACAAAGCAGTGATGTCACGCATGAAGGCTTCAATCTGATTGGCCAGCAGGGAAAAAAGAGCTTATTACCAATGATGAATGAATCCAGGAAAGAACAGAAGGGGCTTCTGGATTGTGTGCATATACAGTTGAAGTCAATATTATAAGCCCTTATTTCTTTTTTTAATATTTCCCAAAGTATGTTCAGCAGAGCAAGAAATATTTCACAGTATTTCCTTAATTATTTTTTCTTCTGGAATAAGTCTTATTTAATTTGTTTTGGCTAGAGTAAAAGCAGTTTTTAATTTCTTTCTAACCCATTTTAAGGCATGCCCATAGCCAAGAGGGTTCAGGTGGTTAGTCCAGAATTAGTTCTTTTAATTATTTTATGTAAAAAAATAAAAATAAAATAAAATAAATATATATATATATATATATATATATATATATATATATATATATATATATATATATATATATATATATATATTTATATATTTATTTATATATTTATTTATATATATAATGAAGTGTAATTTTAAATAACTATGGCCAGCAATTCGAATCCCATGGAGCCTCAAAGCCACAATAAAGTGACTCAAGTCACGTGACAAAACCCATCGAGCGGTAATGTTTAAATATTTGATGCGACATCCTCATCTATACTGTGATGCTATGGGTTAAAATGAGAAAGAGAGATGGAAGAGAAAGCAGGCAGCAGCATCATTGTCGCAAAATATTAAACATGTTTAAAAAGACTGCCATACAGGGTAATGCTAACTTTACTTCCACACAGATGAGAATCTGTCACTATGAGGTTCTAGACCAACTGGCCGCATTTGCCAGGACATCCTGTATATTGGGCATTACTGATTTGCCCCATTCCCTATTTTTGCGATTAAATTTTCTGAAAAAAACTATCTAATGAAGACTTTAATACCAAACGGAGTTCACTTCACAGCAAAAGACACTAATACCATCTTGCCTGTGTTTTTAAGGTTGTTTACACATGGAGGTTCATGTATCAACGCTGCGTATGCACAAAAACTTTGTGTACGCCAGATTTCACACTCACGTTTGGATTTACTAACGATGAAATTAACATGAGAATGTGTGCTGGTCCTTGCCTACTTCATGCCTAGCATACGTGCATTTCTTGTGTGTGTTTATTTTATTTCCATTGGGAACTCCTAGCGGCAATTGTGTTAAATTGCACACTACAAAGTATCTTTGAGCCGTGCAATGGCAGCTGTATGGGACGAGATCATCCGCATGTCTAGCAGGTATATATGGTTTCCATACCATGCAGTTGACCAGCCAAGCATTAAAACGCAATTTGCAGCGATCGCCAGTTTCCCCAATGTAATTCCATAATGTGAGTGGACACACTATGGAATTACATAGTGTCATCAGTGGAAAGTATCAAATTGCAACATCAAGCAGTTTAATGAGCAGTTTTTAACATCAAAACATGAAGTGAATGAAACCTGAAGTCTCGAGCCAAAAAGATAAAAAAAAAAACTCAAAAAAGATTGCGCCCGCTCGTCGGCGGAAAATAAGGTGAATACAGAAGGGCTAATAAATCAGACTTCAACTATATTAGCTTATATTCTGTAAAAAAAAACTAAATCTGCTTCAGAATGTCAGAGTGGAAAACTCTAGAAATGAGCAGACCAAAAAAGCTCAGTCTTGAGAGACGCCCTTGTTAATCTCTTGCTATGTCAACATGAATTAATAGGAATTTATTTTACTTTTAGCACAAACCTTTAATTCAGTCCGTTCACGTTTACAGTATATCAGAGAAGAATAATGTGCTCATTAAAAACAAAACAAAAAGATATTCTTTAGCCACCTCACTTGATGATGTTTTGTGTTTACACTTTTAAATATGTGTGGTTGTTGCAATGAAACTCACCGCTGGGTCAAAAGGAAATCTTTAACTCCGCAGTTGAGCTTGTTCATATTTTACTTGTATTCGGGTTAAGACAAGCCAATATATTTTTAAGAGTGTGTGTTTTTCAGAGTTTGTGTTTGTGTGACATTGCTGAAGGGTGTGAGCTGTTATTTTCTTTGTAGCAACAGCAGGATGAGTGTCAGAGAAAGAGAGAGACAGACACACACACACTCTGAAATCATACAGAACCTTCAATTATTCATGCTCTCCAGTCTCAGATGAAGTCATTATTTGGAAGGAAGTGATCTTGGTTTCCATGGACACAATGTGTAGTGTAGAACACTGTAATGTAGTTATGCAATGCTCACAGCTCTGTTTTGCAGCTGTAAAAAACAGGCCAGGGGAGGAGAAAAATCACAAAGATTCAAAACAAATACAAAAAGACCTTCCTTTTATATACTGTAAAAAATATATATATAGAGGCATAGTTCATTCAGAATTGAAAATTCACTGGTCCAACTCCAAAGCTGTTAAAGAAGTATGAAATGTTTTTTCTTCTGTAATATTAAAGAAGATGAGAAAATGCAGTTTATACTGTAAATCACCAGCGATTCTGGTGTCAGATAAAAAATGTTGGTCTCTTTTTATATGAATTGGCCTTATTTACTATGTATTTGCTTTTTAAAGCTATCATTTGGTAAAATTTGCTTATTATCCACATGTATCTGTAATTCAATTTCCGTAATTACACTTTTAATAACGCTTTTGACCCCTCCCTTACATCTTAACCCACCCTTCAACCTACCCATATCCTCAAACGTGTCCTTTACCTTACATTTATCCCACCTAAATAGCACCATGCAGCCTATTCAAATGGTGTCACTTGATTGAATGGGTGTTATCAGTGGTTATCAGCTGATAGCTATGGGCCTGTAGGCTCAGAAGGCTGTTATCATCCATCAACATGGTTAATCAGCTTTAGATCACATACAGCCAGAACTTAACGAGAATTATTTACAATATTTATTAAATGTCCCATCAATTGTATTTTTATTAATGTCTACCACAATCCGAAACCCAACTGTCACAGTAATGGTAAAACAAATCTGGATCTGGAGTCTTCTCTATTAGTATAGCTGATTAACCATGTGGAGGGATGATAACAGCTTTCTGAGTCTACTTGTAGGCGCAGAAGGTCCCTACTGGCCCATATCTATCAGCTGATAATCACTGATAATGCCCATTCAATTGAGTAATAACATTCCATGAGGGTGCATGATCACAATAAGCACATTGTAGTCAATGGTGGATTTAGCGATTTGGGGGCTCTAAGCAACTCCAGCCATGGAGTCCCAAGTCTCATACACCCTTTCTACTTTTATTTAATTTTTATTCATCTTTTTTATATCACTCAGTCTTCTTTTCTACGTTTTATCTTACTGTAAGCTTTACATATTAAATAAAAGGATGTCTTAAAGTGAGTTTACAACTAAAAGAAATATATATTTTTGATAAATTTGACTGCTGGACTGCTCCATGTGGTGGATTTTTTTTTTTCATAATATTATTACAAAACGTTACATCATTATAATAATATGATATTTTATTGTTTATTAAATAATATTTATGTAAAAAAAATGTTTGACTCTTACTATACAAAATATGATAGAAAATTAGTTATATATAGTTTATAGATAATTTATATATAGTTATATAATATAGTATATAGTTTATATAATATATAGTTTATATAATAATTATAAGATAATTTCTAGATATTCTAGATAATTCTAGATATTTATTGGGGGCCCTCAGATGTCCTGCAGCCCTAAGCAGCCGCTTACCTTGCTTATTGGTTAAATCCGCCTCTGATTTATAGTTATTCATTATGCAAGTACCTAGTAGTTAAACCACTTAATATAAAGTGGGACCAAAATCATTAATGGTCTTCTAAAGAAAAATCACATCTCCAAGATGTTGAATGGCCTGAAGTTGAGTAACATTTAAATTTTAACATGACTATTAATATTGTGAGAAAAAATGTATGGACAAATAATGCCAGAGCTATAGAAACTCCTCAATTCAGCAAATTCAGTGTTTCATGGCCAAAACCCAATTGATCCATTTTGTGAATCTACAAATGTAGCTCCACCCTCTCTTTGTCCTCTCACAGACCCGTGGACGCTGGTGAGATTGATATTATTGATTAAGACGGCAGGGGTGGAGAGAATAAATCCGTTCTGACAGATCTTTCCTGAATATCACATTACACTGACCACATTTGAGTCTTTTCATGCTGTGAGGGTCAATATGGTTTCATATTTCCACTGATAAGGCATTTCTCCTGTCTGGACAGTGCAATACGGCTGCCTGCCCTCTATTTCCAAATTCAACCATAGACTCTTCAAAGAGTATTTGACGTTAAACAAGTATTGTGGACTTTATTTGAAAAGTATACTATGGTGATTTCACAATGGGAGTTTGTTAACCTCTTATTACAATGTTATTAATGGTGTATTACTAATATTAGTGTTCCTTTTTGTGCTTCATTGAGATTTCATTTCACTCAAATGGATTTACAAACTAATAACAGGAAAGTAGTCAATGTGTCTCTCTGTTGCCCCCTGCAGGCTGTGGTGGGGAACTCTTCGGCCCTGTTGGTACATTCAACAGTCCAGGTTATCCCGGGCAATACCCTATGAACCGTGAGTGTGTCTGGCACATCCATACCAGCCCTGGTAGTAGCATCTCCATCACCATCCTTGAGTTTGATGTGGAGTATCATCCTGACTGCAACTATGATAAGCTGGAGGTATGCAAAAAATATAAGCTAGCATCCATTATACTGCATGCATTGAATATGCCCTATCGCATTTACAACCTGACCACAGTTCATGAGAGATTTTATCCCACAATGCAGGGCTCTTAATAAAGTATCAGAGGATTTTCCAGTTCCTCCACGATCTGTAAATGTAAAGCAAATTCAAGCAAACTCTTGAGAATTTTGCAGATCTCTCAATTTTTTATGAAATGCCACAAATTTTCTGCAAATGCATGGCTTAGATCAGGAATGTGCAAACTCGGTCCTGGAGGGCCGGTGTCCTGCAGATTTTAAATCCAACTTGCTTCAACACACCTACAAGGATGTTTCTAGAACGCCTAGCATGAGCTTGATTAGCTAGCCCAGGTGTGTCTGATTGGGGTTGGAACTACATTTTGCAGGACACCAGCCCTCCAGGACCAAGATGCTTTCTATGACAACATTGTGACATGTTTTTACCCAAAGAATGGTTCTTGTCGAAGCACACCTCATGTGTTGTTCAGGAGTGAAGTTCCAGTACCCCGACAGACCTTGTAAAACAATATCCAAAATTGTTGAAATCCCAATGCGCGCACACCACTTTTTTTACTCAGACATTTAAAAAGAACTTATTTTGGTGCAGTAATCACAATACCGTGAAACTGTGATATTTTTATCCAAGGTTATCATATCATCATCATTTTTATATCGGGCTATGCCTACTCCAGACACTCGAGTGACATCAATCCGATACTCACTCTGTAGCATCTCGAGCGTAACAGTTTGGATAGCTGCAGTTATTCCTTCTTTTAGTTCTTCAATGTGAAACTTCAGATCTTCCTTAAATTGACGACAGAAAGAGCTTAGCTCTCCTTTTCTTTTTTGCAGAGTTTTTGATTTTTAAAGTTGTGGTATTCTTTTTGTGGTATCACCTTGTATTGTGCAGCCCTAATCATGCATACACACCATTAGAGTTACCATGCTTTATTTACTTACTTACTTACTTACTTAATACCCATAATAATGTCAGTAAAAAATTGGAAACCCAACTCTTAAAGAAAACATTCTAACTGAATTTAAATGCTTAAATAAAAGAGCAATTTTACGTTAACAACATTTTAAACATTAATAAATATTAAACATTTGGATATTGAACATTTAATATTAAAATTACGTGTCTAAGTAATTGCATGATTAAAATTTGATTAACTTTTTTTCTTGACTCAATTGCATATTTTAGTTAGGGTTAGTTGTATATTTGATATTAGGTTAATTATTTTAATTACTATTTGGCTACATTTGAAACATTAAAATAAAGTTATTAAGTGCTTTTTATTTAAGTGAACTCAATGGTTCTTGGTCTAAAATCAATAAATATGGTAGTCTGTGGTATGTTTTTTTTATTGCAAATCAACACATACTGGTACACATTTTAAGAATAGCTTCAGGAAAATCAGTCAGTTTAAGCTGCAAAAATCAGAACAAAAGTCCTGTGAAATCCTGGAGGGACTGATTTTCTTTCCACTTCAGTTAAAACGGTGTGTGTTTTTATGTGGGTGTGTGCCTGCTCATGCCTGGTTGGCATCGGCTGGGCTCTGTGGGTGTGTGTTTTGTAGTGTAGACCTGAGGAATGCTGACCTCCACTGTAGCACTGAATGGAGCCACCAAGGCAGAAATTAACTGGAAGTCAGAGCTTAGTGAAGGGCTTAGAGACTCTCTCATATGCGCACACACACACTTTCTGTGCCACACAGATGCCTGTCAACCAGACGTTGCTTTAAAACTGCATTAATATTAATGCCCTATGGTTCATCACGTGAATTGTTTGCTTGCTCATTATAAATGTTTAATGTGGGATGGTGTCTGCACTTTATAATGTGCTTAATGTAACAATAGAAACATAATGTGATTTGCATGGATGCCTAAGCAACAGTTTATTTGACTGATTTTTTTTATTTTATTTTTAAGAAAACCAAGCATAATGATGATTTTATTTAAAAGTCAGGATGTCAAAAAGCAGAGAAGCTGGATTGAACTTATTTTTTTAATCCCATTTGATTTATTGTTTTGTAGTCTCATGAAGCAGAATTCTGGGTTACTTTTGATCGAAGTAACTTTGCAACTACATTAGTCTCATAAAAGGATTAGTATAGTAATCGCAGAGTTTTAGGTTAGAGTTAAGTATGTTTTAACTAAAGTATGTATCATCTAATAAAGTTGGCATATATTAAAAATATAGTTCTCCCAAAAATGTTTTTACTCTCCCACATATGGTTTTATACTTTTTATTAGTTTCTTTCTTCTGTTAAACACAAAAGGACATATTTAGAAATGTTCTAGTTGATGGGATTCATTAACTTCCAAAGTAGGAAGAAAAAATACTATGTAAGTCAATAGGTTCTGTCAACCAGCATTATTTTGTGTTCGACAGAAGATAGAAACTCTAATAGTTTTTGAAGAAGTGAAGGGTGAGTAAATGATGGCAGAGATTTCATTTTCAGGTGACATATCCTTTTTTAAATTTTCTAATGAATTATAGTATAAAAACTAGTACTCAGAATGTCTAATGCCTAGTTCAGACTGCATGATTTTAGCCCCGATTTCGGTTCGCAGACAGGTTTTGAGAAATCGCCGACAAATGCCTGAAATCACAGGCAAATCGCTGCTCGTGCGCGTGAGTGACAATCACACAGTATGAACTATCAAAGACGCGATCTGAGAGAATCGCCGATGAGTCGCCGATGCCAGCGAGATATTTGGCATGCTGAATATCTGGAGCTGTCGGCGATTCAAATCATGCCGTGTGAATTGAGTTTTGACTGAAAATAACATCAACGATCGCCTACAGCCAATGAGAGAGCAGCTTTCTCTTGCGTGTGTGCGTGTGTGTGTGTATAACTGCTGCAGGCCAGCGGGAGGCTGGGGGAGAAGTTAAAAACGCTCTTTTTTGGTTTATTTGGACCCACGAAATGGAGGAAAAACTAGTGGAGGTTTGACAGGACTCAGGACCAACCGTGTCTGTTTGACGTTTAATACAGAAAGAAATTAGTTTATTATCAATGTTAAGGAGAAATGGCTAATTCCTTTTAAACCCAGGTGAGCAAACATGTACATGTTCTACCCCATTAAAGGCTTCTTTCTCGTTATGTGGTTAATAACAAAATATATAATACGTGTTTTTGGCTGTGAGGCGTAGTTTGGACGATGTTGTCGGCGATTCTTCCTATAGTAAAGTCATGCAATGTGAATGTCCCTGTCACCGGTCCATCTTGCAGTGTAAACAAAGCAGCGACGAAACGCTTGCCCAGATAGTCATGCAGTGTGAAAACATCTGTGACACGACTACTTTGAAAATCATGCAGTCTGAACTCGGCATAAGGGGGCCTATAAAGAAGTTTTATTCACAATGTCTTTTGGAAACCATTAGAGTTAACAGGTTTTGCACAGATTGTGTACTAATACTTTAATGACTAGTAGTTGATGTAGTTACAAAATTGTGCACATTGTAGTTGCAAAGTTGTGATGTAATCTATGAAATGTTAATTCAGACATTTTAGAATGTCCGTTGAGGACCAATAAAACAAAGAGCTATCGGTCCCACTTTATATTTGGTGGCCTAAACTAATATGTACTTACACTGAAATTAATCATTTATTTCAATGTACTTATTGCGTACATTTTTACATTGTACTCATGATTGATTAAACACCTGCATGTAACTACATTTGTAATTAGACAGTTGACCATCCCCTACACCTTAACCCACCCTCAAACCCGGTTTAGATTACATTAAACATCAAATAAAAATGCATATTTCACAGGACCTTTCAATCTACCCATACCACTAAACATCTCCCTAACCCTACTCATGTCTCACCTCAAGTTCATTGTATTTATATTTAAGTACATATAATTAAGGCCACCTGTTATAAAGTAGAACCGTTCTATCAGATATTGTGAACTAAAACAAAAATTGTTGTGTTCAAAATATCCAAAGTGTCCCCTCACCTCTGAACTTTATTTAGGTGTATGGAGGGCCTGACCTATCTGCTCCGCGATTGGCTCAGCTCTGCACCACACGCCCTCCCAGTAACCCTCTGCAGGTGTCCAGCACAGGTAACGCTGTCACTGTTCGCTTCACATCTGATGCAGTTGTCAGTGGCAGAGGCTTCAACGCAACATGGGTAGAGGTCCCAGGAGGTAAGTTACTTCTCTGTTATAGGAGATTTCAATCTGTAGTTCAATCTGTAGTTCAATATGGTTCCATTATATTTAGTGCTGGGCAACGATTAATCACAACTACTTGCATCCAGAATAAAATTTTGTTTTAACATAAAACATGTATGTATGTATGTATATATGTATGTATGTATGTATGTATGTTTGTATGTATGTGTTTGTGTGTGTGTATTATATATAATACACACAATACAGTTAATACAGTTGAAGTCAGAATTACTAGTCCCCCTGTTTATTTTTTCCCCCAATTTCTGTTTAAGGGAGAAAAGATTTGTTCAACACATTTCTAATCATAATATTTTTAAAAACTCATTTATAATAACTGATTTATTTTATCTTTGCCATGATGACAGTAAATAATATTTGACTAGATATTTTTCAAGACACTTCTATTCAGCTTAAAGTGACATTTAAAGGCTTAACTAGGTTAATTAGGTAAACTTGGCAGGTTAGGGTAATTAGGCAAGTTATTGTATAACGAAGGTTTGTTCTGTTGACTTGAAAAAAAAATTCCTTAAAGGGGCTAATAATTTTGTTCTTAAAATGGTGTTTATAAAATTAAAAACTGCTTTTAGCTGAAATTAAACAAATAAGACTTTCTCCAGAAGAAAAAATATTATCAGACATACTGTGAAAATTTCCTTGCTCTGTTAAACATCATTTGGGAAATATTTAAAAAAGAAAAAAAAATTCAAAGGGGGCTAATATATATATATATATATATATATATATATATATATATATATATATATATATATATATATATATATATATATATATATATATATATATATATATATGTGTGTGTAATACACTCACATACATAAAAACAAAACTTGTATACGCATATACTTATATAAATCTATCATTTTTGCACAGATAATTAAATTTACATATAATTTGTATCATATAATTTATATCTGCATTTAGATAAACATTTATCTTAAATATATGCATGCATGTATTTATTTATATATAATAAATATCCAGTGTACACACATATATTATGTCAAAAAAAAGTTTATTTTGGATGTGATTAATCATGATTAATTCTTTCCCCAGCATTAATTAAATTATTTCACTGTTTACTTTGCTTTGAAACCTTTAGGATGTGGAGGGAGCGTTACAGCCCCCAGCGGAGAGATCCACTCTCCACAGTATCCCAGCAACTACCCAGACAATGCGGACTGTTCTTGGGTCATCACGGTGGACGCAGGTCATCGAGTCTTCTTCAACTTCACTGATCTGGATATCGAAAATCAGTTCTCATGCAGTTATGACTATGTGGCTGTAAGTAACTGAGCTGTCTCTGAGCGCCTGATGCATGTCATGCCCAAATTTCTGGCATCTGTAAATTTGTGATGTTTACGATTGAAGGACAAACCTGTTCCTGGAGTGCTACTGCCCATATAGAACTCTGAGGTTGGCCAATATATGAAAATGACACATATTGACACAGTTCATAAATCATATTTGGATTTCACATATAGAAATGTCATTAATGCAACATATATTTTGAAATATTGCAAAAATGGCGATTTCATATTTTTTATACATAAATACATACATATGCTCAGATATATTAACTATGTTATATATGTGTTCATATGTTTCAACATGGCAATTTTGCAGTATTCTGAGATATATGTTGCATTTATGGATGGCATAGAGCAGGGATTCCCAATCTTTTTTATTCCGGGACCCACCTAGGCAAATAATTCAATCTCAAGACCCACCATAATATTTTATTATGGAAAAATGGGTAAAAAAAAAAAAATCCATTCAAAGCAGTCAAAAATTTATGGTGTGTGGCTGTTTGGATTTTGCGATTTGATATGTACAAAATGAGGCTCGAAGTGCTTTTTGTGGGATGCTGGCTGTAACTGTGATCATTTTTTTTTGGTGAAAAAGATACTCTTCTTTTTTTCAAAAGAGAATATGATCAACCTTTGATCAAGCCCCTGAATTATGATCAAGCCCCGTCACATCGCAGTAAATTCCACTGCTAGTGTAGTCATAAGAAACTAAATAGCTTTTTGATCGATTACTACAGGGGTCACCAATCCTGGTCCTGGAGGTCCGGTGTCCCTGCAGGGTTTAGCTCTAACTTGCCTTAACACACCTGCCTGGATGTTTCAAGTATACCTAGCAAGACCTTGATTAGCTTGTTCAGGTGTGTTTGATTAGGGTTTGAGCTAAGATCTGCAGGACACCGGCCCTCCAGGAACAAGTTTGGTGACCACTGGACTACTACAAGCTGGGAAAACGTCAGATAAATATGACAATGCAATTAACTTTATAGCTGAATAGATCTAATATGGGACAACAAATAGCTTCAAATGATAGAATACATAGCAAACATTAGAAAACATTGACAATAAAATAAAAGGTTTAGCCTATTAAAACCGATAGCCTATCCAGAAATTAAATAAAGCTATAAAATCTATTTCACTTTTAATTGTATTTGCATATTGATTAAATTTACTATAGTTATTTAGTGAAGAGCAGCAAATGAATGTCTCAATAGCCCCTTTCACACAGTGATACCGGTAAATATCTGGAAAATTTCCGGAACGACTTTACCGGTTTATTCAAAAAAGCGCTGTTCACACAGGCGAGGACGTTACGGAAATTTTCCGGAAAAGAGCATTCACACATCCATTCCAAAATACCGGTAAATTCCGACATCATTCACCACAAGTGAGCTTTAAACGGCTGCGCTTGTATTTGTAAACATTTGACTAAATTACAAACTCTGTGGATGATCAATATTGTGAACAACTTTCACAGGATCATATTCGCATGTCGAGATGTTCATAATATGTGCGTGTGCTGGCGCTCACAGGCTGTTTCACAGGCACACGCAAAGCTTGAAGGTAAACAAACAACGGCTTATCATAAGCATCTCATCGATGATTATTTACACAGTTGGCATTAAAAAGAACATATAAACGTGATCTGACTAACTTCTAGCAGCTAAATGTGTCTGGAAAAATATTCAAAGGCTTTTATTCTCACAAACCGCGCGGACGTAAATGCGTCTGACTGTTGTGATTGGCTAAAGCAGACGTCTCACGTCAGCATGTTCTAGACGTGCACGCGCTTATTACGGTAATCTTCCTTCTGCATTCACACAGCGCAGCATTCCGGCAAATTGCCGGTAATGTTACAACTCCTCTTTCCGGAAAATAGCCAGAACGAATTTACCGGTATTTTCAAAAAGGACCTGTTCACACATACAACCTTTCCGGAAAATTGCCGGCAATTTTCTGGAAAGGTCTGTATGTGTGAAAGGGGCTAATGTGTTTTGTTTGATAACAGAGGTATTAATGTAAGAAAGCACAGATCTATAATGAAGCATTCGACTACTTTAATAACTGTTTGTGCTCATTTAAGAGAAAATTAGTACTGTTTAAAATAAAACACGCAGGACGGTGCAAAAAAAAAAAAACGAAAAAAAGAAGCACTTTTTAGACGGTCTCTTACTGAGAGCTCCGCTCTGCGCGAGCTCTACCGGCTAAACGCAGATTGTGAGAGCTCAAACGGAGCAATGCTCGTAATGTTGAGCAAAAAAAAAAAAAAAAACAGCTGTGAAACATAACCAGCTTGGTCTTTTTGTAGGAAACACACTTTAAATATTATTAGGGTAAGAGGTTTTTAAGTTATTGCCGTCAATCATACTGGTTTTGATTCACCGCAATGTAAATATAGCTGCAGCTATGTGACGTTGCGCGACCCACCTTTGTTCACTGTGCGACCCACTAGTGGGTTGCGACCCACAGTTTGAAAACCCCTGGCATAGAGGCTCAGTGGTTAGCACTGTCACCTCCCAGAAGGTCACTGGTTCGAGTCCCAGCATTTCAGAATCAGAATCAGTTTTATTGCCAAGTGTGCTTCACACACACACAAGGAATTTGTTTTGGCTACAGAAGCTTCCAGTGTACATGAAGTGACAAACACAAAATAAATATGAAAAAAAAGATGATTAACATTAACATTAAGAGATGGAATGGAGAAAGTATTGTATGTATATTGATATAAGGTGCTTTGACAAGTGTGTATGTGAAAGTATTGCACATGTTTATTGCACAGTAGGGGAATATTTAACTGTTCATGAGGTAGATGGCCTGAGGAAAGAAACTTTTCCTGTGTCTGGCTGTTTTTGTGCTCGGTGCTCTGAAGCGCCGACCAGATGGTAAAAGTTTGAAGAGGTGTGCTGGGTGCGAGGCATCCAGAGTGATTTTGCAAACCCCTTTACTCACTCTGGAAGAATACAGTTCCTGAAGTGAAGGAAGGGTAGTGCCAGTGATCCGTTTAGCAGTCCGGACTATTTTTTGTAGTCTACGGATGTCAGATGGATTGGATGGATACGGACAGAGGATAAATTGGATGAAAGCTCATTTCAGTTGGAATTTATGTGTGGAGTTTGCATATTCTCCCCATGTTGGTGTGGGTTTCGTCTGGTGCTCCGTAGTATCCGCCGTAGTTTATGACTGTGTGTGTGTGTGTGTGTGTGTGTGTGTGTGTGTGTGTGTGTGTGTTAATGCGAATGTGTATGGGGGTTTTCCAGTACTGGGTTGCAGCTGGAATGGCATCCATTGCGTAAAACAAATGCTGGAATAGTTGGTGGTTCATTCAGCTGTGGTGACCTCTGATAAATAAGAAACTAAGCTGAAGGAAAATAAGTGAATATTGCATTTATGACATTTATTTTATATTTGTGGTATCCAAATATGAACTTGTATGTCATATATGGCATTTTGCATATATTACCATATATCAGATTTCTATATGGGTGTCCTATGGAGATTAGCAAGTGCAGCAAGTGTGTTTGCAGAGGATGAAACTAAAATCTGTGGGATGCTGGTTGGTCCTTCAGGAGCTGGAATGTACAACTCTCTAACAGACCAATGTATCACAGTTGATTAATGGCTAAAACAAAATGTTCTTCTCTAGATCCATGATGGTCCACATGAGCATTCTCCACTCCTGGCTCAAGTGTGTGGAACCTCCAGGCCTCCTCCAGTCACGTCCTCAACAAATGTCATCTATGTTTGCTTCAGGTCAGATCACAGTCTAAACCATAGAGGCTTCAGTGCTCAGTTCTCAGAAGGTAAGTCTCCTCTTCATACATGAGCCCACTTGATTGTATGATGCTTTTGTTGAATCAACCTCATTAACTGCTCTTGTGGTTTCCAGCATGTGGATCCTTTATAGTGACTGATGATGTTGGCGGGGAGATTGCATCTCCTCGGTATCCATACCCTTACCCACCCAATCAGGACTGCAGCTGGATCATACGGGCGCAGGAGCCATGTAAGTGTGCTGGTCATGGCGATCATAATTCTAGGCCCTGCACACATGAGCACTGTTATTTTGGTTGTTTGTACACAAACAAACGTTTTTGCGTTCTGTGAATGAACGTCGCCTCGTGGTTCCATCCCAAAGAGGGAAGAAAACGCTTTCGCTCACGCTCACGCTCAATCTGCCCAGTTGGTGGAATGAACTCCCTAACTGCATCAGAACAGCAGAGTCACTCGCTACTTTCAAGAAACGACTAAAAACTCAACTATTTAGTCTCCACTTCACTTCCTAATCTGCAATTGCCTCTCTGAATATCACACTACCTGTACCAAAAAAAAAAAAAACTAATACTACTAATACTTCCCTTCTTAGACTTTACAGACCTGAAACTTGCCTATAGCACTTATTCATTGTTGCTCTTAGTTGTGTAAATTGCTTCCTTGTCCTCATTTGTAAGTCGCTTTGGATAAAAGCGTCTGCTAAATGACTAAATGTAAATGTAAATGTAAGAAATTCCAGTGTCAGATAACTAAAACTGAACTTTCCGAAAGTGTTGGGTGAAGATATTCTGAAACTCAGGTTACAGCGTGGCCACTAAAGCAGTTTTTGCCACATGACGTCAGCATGCTTGCTGTTCTCCTCTTTCTGATTGGCCAACACAGCTTTATTTTAATGTTGGGTTCACACCAAACGCGGTTGTAAAATTTGCGTTTAGAAGATTTAAATTTGATATAAACATGTAAAGCTTGTAGTTTCAATGGATCTCGGGTTTTATTCACGTCACCTCATACTTCAGTTTCTCATCAAATCTTCTGACCAATCAAATTCTCTTTAGTGTCTGACATGCCCCGCCCCCTTCAAGACGCTTTACATTTGATGCTCTTGATCTCAAACACTCACTTGCAGAGCTATGATAAAAACTAAACACTATTGGCTGTTTTTTATAAAAGGGGAGGAGCTACTTTAAGTCCCACACTCTCTTTATGTTTGGGTTGAGATTACATCAATCATCAAATAACAATGCACATTTCACAGCGGATCACAGCGGATCACAATGCGTTTTTGCATTTTTATGTGAACAGAGATTTTTTCTATTTGTTTTTTATACGAAATTTCTATATATAAAAATAACTGTGTACGTGTGGATATAGCCTTAAAGTTGAATCCAAGACCTTCTATGCAAAATTTACTAAACTATTCTTTTTCTTTCAGTCAATCATGTGACTTTGTCCTTCACTGACTTTGAGCTTGAGATGTTGAACAGTAACTGCACTCATGATAGCGTGGAGATCTTGGATGGAGACAATGTTCAAGCACCATCTGTTGGTAAAGATAAAATCTTATTCCTGAGAAATAGAGACTTTGATTGCAATATGATAGTTTTTGTTAGTGATAACGTATTAATCTTGTTGTAGGTCGATACTGTGGGAGTAATTTGCCACACCCAGTCACTTCATTGAGCAACGCCATGGTGGTTAAGTTTGTGTCAGATCATGCAGTAGGGAGGAAAGGTTTTCGGGCGACCTACATGGCCTCAACTTCAGGTCAGATTTCTGAATTCATTTTAAAATACACTACCTGTCCTAAGTTGGAAACGGTAAGATTTGTTAATGTTTTATAAGAAGCTTATTCTACTCTCTAAAGCGGCATTTATTTGATCAAAAATACAGTCAAAACTGTTATATTGTGAATTATTATGATGATTTTAAAGGACTTTTTTCTTACGAATGTATTGTGAAATTTGAAATTTTATTTATACCTGAATTTATGGCTGAATTTGTATCTTCATTAATCCAATCATCAGTGTAACACGATCATTCAGTAATCATTATAATATGATGTTTTTATGCCTCTTTATAATCAGCTATTATTGGTACAATATCACTAATAATCATTCTTACCCTTTTGTCTTACTTCAAAGTATCGTTAAAACTGTGACACATTATAGTTTTAGGATTCTTTGATTAAAAAAAGTTCAAAATTAATTTTTAATATTAGAAATGTATTTACTTTCACTCATGAATCATTTATTGGGATGAATAAAAGTAAATAAATATGAAATGTTACATTTGAATGGTATTACATCAATTTCACAAACTAGTAACAAAAACAATAATAACGTTAAATATTTCTTCCAGTGCAGATGCTAGATTTTGTAAAGCATTCTGTGACACTGAAGACTATCATGCTTAAAGCTGCAGTATGTAAGTTTCACACCCAGTGGTTGACCTAGGTATTGCACTCCCTGTCAAAACACATGCAAGTTCAGGTTGTGCCTGACTATCGAGCCTAAAGGCTGATTTAAGTCATGTTTTAAATAAAAGCAACGGCACACAATATAACGAATGTTCAGTTTCTGTCCTAACCAACACCTAAAATTTAGATTTTACAAACGGCTTCTATTTCTTGCAGCTGAACAACAGAAAACTGACAATGATCACCTCAGATACACCTTGTGTGCTTATTCAGTGTTAAATGCTAATAATGTGAGTTTGAATGCCATTTTACATGACTTTATTGCCATACTACTGAAAGCAGCAGCAAATACTGTAGTTCACCTCCGATCTTGAAAATAAAATAAACCATTTGAAATTAAACTTTAGAATCGTGACTAACACATATCAGTGATTCAGCATGTACATTTAATAATGTTAAAGATTTTTATTATGTAATAATTCGATTATAAACCTTACCATTTTGCAAGAGTGCAGTAAGTGCACTATTCTGTGCTTCTGATTGGCTGTATTTAAATTTCTGTCAGTTTTTGTCTGGTGTAAACAGCCAACTTGTCTATCACTGCAAATCTTGTCACCTAGCGTATTGTTAGGATAGGGTGTTACAATGTAACCTGCTCATCTAATGTTTACGTTCGTAATATTTATATTATTTGCTAATTAATAACCTCATGTAGAACTCTGAATCTGTGTCTCATTCTGGAGGCTGCTACTGTCCATCAGAGGTTGCATTTCATTCGCAGACGCATGCTTTGAGAGCATTCATAACTGAATGACTCAAATACTCATTTTTCCACCAAGGCAACCCGGGGTGCTGAAATATAATTGGTCAAACTGACATTGGGCCGGTTAAAGTGACCAAAACAAAGACAGACATTTTCAAAGCAGAATATCTGACTTCAGCATTGACTTTAAGAAAAACAATTTAATTCAATTCAGCTTTATTTGTATAGCGCTTTTACAATGTAGATTGTGTCAAAGCAGCTTCACATAAATGGTCATAGTAACTGGAACATTGTAGTTCAGTTTTTAGTGTTTAATTTCAGTTCAGTTCAGTTTAGCTCAGTTCAGTGTGATTTAAATCATTACTGAGAGTTCAAACACTGCAGAGCAAATTCGTCGATGCGTAGCTCTACCCATCCTGAACCATGCGAGCCAGTGGCGACAATGGAGAGGAAAAAAAAAACTTCACTTGATAGGTGAGTAAAGAAAAAAAACCTTGAGAGAAACCAGACTCATTTGGGCACGACCATTTTAATTTCTCCGCGGGCCAAAAGTCTTGTGCAGAGCTGCAGTCTCAGCGGTGGATTGTTCGCTTAGCATGTTGCCTAAATATCTGCAAAAATATTATGGTATTTTTATGCTTTATAAGAGTCAAAAACTTACACACAGCACCTTTAATAATCAGATTTAAACTCCAAGAATTAATTACATTACATTACTCCAATAACATTTCAATATCCCTAAAACATATCACAATTTTACTGTATTTTTATTTAAATAAATGCCGCCTCTGTGTCCAAAATAAGCATATTATAAATTTTGTTACAAATCTTGCTACATCCAAACTGTTGACTGGTAGTCTACATTCACCCAAATTATGCTGCATTTGAACACTTGTCAGTTGCTTATTTTCTCCAGGCTGTGGTGGTCTCCTGAATATGGAGTCAGGCGCATTTAACAGTCCAAACTATCCTGATGTATACCCACCCAATGTGGAGTGTGTGTGGACCCTCACCAGTTCCCCTGGCAACCGCATACAGCTTTCTTTCATGTAAGCCAATCAAGATGATACACTGATCTCACAAATGTAATGGATGCATCAACACAATGCTTGTAATTTCTGTGATGTAGAATGTTTCAGCTTCAACCCAGTTCAGACTGCAGTAATGACTACCTGGAGATTCGGGAAGGACACTCCACTGGTGCTCTGGTTGGTCGTTTCTGTGGCGACTCCCTGCCTACCAACTACACCTCTATTACGGGCCACATACTTTGGATTAAGTTTATTTCAGACTCCTCGATCAGTGGAGCTGGATTCAGAGCTGTGTTCTCCCACTGTAAGTCAGAGCGAAGGATTACTCTAATCTTTTTGTCTTTGAGCATACCGAAAAACAGCTAAAACTGCAATTTGGGGGTTATGCTGATTAAAGGGTTATGAAACCCCCCGTCTCAGCAGTGTGTTTACATTTACATTTGACATTTAGTCATTTAGCAGACGCTTTTATCCAAAGCGACTTAAAAATGAGGACAAGGAAGCAATTTACACAACTATAGGAGCAACAATGAATAAGTACTATAGGCAAGTTTCAGGTGTGTAAAGTCTAAGAAGGAAAGCATTAGTAATTTTATTTATTTATTTGTTTTTTGTAGTTAGTTGAGGAGTCAGAGAGGTAGTTGCATATTAGTAAGGAAAGTGGAGACTAAATAGTTGAGTTTTTAGTCGCTTTTTAAAGACAGCGAGTGACTCTGCCGTTCTGATGCAGTTAGGGAGTTCATTCCACCAACTGGGCAGATTGAGTTCGAGCGTTCAGGAAAGCGTTTTCTTCCCTCTTTGGGATGGAACGAGGCGACGTTCATTCACAGAACCAAGTTTCTGGAGGTCCTATAGATCTGCAGATGTGAGAGCAGATAAGAAGGGGCGCAGCCAGAAATCGCTTTGTAGGCAAACATCGGTGCTTTAAATTTGATGCGAGCTGCAACTGGCAGCCAGTGCAAACGAATGAGTAGCGGAGTGACATGTGCTCTTTTAGGTTCGTTAAAGACCACTCGTGCTGCTGCATTCTGAAGCATCTGAACAGGTTTGATAGAGTTAGAGTTTTCACACCTCTACTTTGAAAAAAGTCAGGAAAGTGAATGTTTCCACCTTTGGTAAGGTGGGTGTGTCGAGTGGCGAAAGAGGGAAGGGTTTGCATAAAAACGGGAGTTTCAAACAGCTCATTTGCACACTGCCAACACAAACATAGACGCAAGGAAGATGTACATTGAATACGTTTACATGGACATCAGTAATCTATTTATTTGCCTTAATCTGAACAAGACATTAATATGATTAATGTGTTTATATGAACTTTTTGAATGTTCCTTTTATTATCCTGTTTTACATGTTATAACACAAAGTTCGATTAGCGTCATTGCGTCACCGCGCTATCCACGTTTCCTCCAGAGTTTCATGTAATTTCAGGTGTTTCATGCAGTCAGGCAGTTTCACTTTCATTCAGGAACTCTTCATTCATGCCCCTGCATGACAAACTGAGGTATTGGATGCGCGTATGAAGTAAGGAAATAGTGTTGTTTTAATGGATATTAATACTGCACACCCAAACTCTGCATTTCATGATGCGGGTGTCTGGGGTCCTTCACTGACTCTGTAGGTACAGAGAATAGTGTCAAACAGCTATGTGTGTATAGACTATCCTGTCGCAAAACGCAGCAACAAGTCTTACATGATGGTAATATATATATATATATATATATATATATATATATATATATATATATATATATATATATATATATATATATATATATATATATATATATGTATGTATGTATGTATATAAGATTTTGCTGTCATGAAAATGAATAATCTTAAATTAAATTGATGGCACAACTGGCATGATGTTTCTCATGTGACTGACGTGTGCCATCTGTCACGTTCAGTGGGTGGGGAAATGGAGCGAGGACTCAAGTGCAGGGAAAATGGGTTTATATTTATAACAAAATTAAGTAAAAGGAAAAACAAACTACCACTAAAATGGAAAAACATTAACAAAGCAATTTTACAAACAAACAAACTTGACTTGGCAAGCTGGCAGGGATCAGGGCTGGACAGACTGGACAAGGCAACATACCATGACGAATTGGCACAGGACAGCAGACATAAGGAGAATATAAGCAAAAATTATTAACAAGCAAACAGGTGAACCTAATAAACTAATAATGGGTTAACAAGGAGGGTGGGACTAGACAGGAAAGCACAAGTGAAAACACAAGCCATGTTCTCACTTAAAGCAAGTGGAATACACAGCCAATGAGAGAACTCATTAACCGCGTGTTCACATGACACTAAAGCCCGGCACATATACCCATGTACCATGTGCTAAAAACAGCACCAACAAAAGACTGAACGCAAGACACAAGTACACGATAAATAAACACTCACCGTGCACTCACACATGCAATGAACATGTTCAATCCCAGCACCACACGAAACCAACTAGACTGAGACGCTGAGAATGAAACACCATGCTGCAGACAGATCAAACACAAGCACCAGGAAAAAAGCATGCGTCACAAACATTCCCAGACCTCACACGCCCGCATTGAGCTGGAGCGTGCACGGCCCAGGCGCAGTCGAGACGGTACTCTTATAAAGACACACAATGACAGAAAACTCAAGCCGAGCACAACATACAAGACATGACAGGACTACTGTCTGGACTCTGCCACCAACAACAAAAATGAACAAGACCGAAATGGCAGAATCCTGACACCATCCGCTTAAAAATGTAATGGATGTGGGCAAATGCTGTAATTTAATACAATTAAATTGAATATCGACAGACTTCTATAGATTACAAATCCTTTTGCAGTTATAATTTAGCATCGATCCTGGAGAGTCTTGCCAATCTGTTAATATACAATGTAAAACAACCACACACACACACTCCTCTAGTGTTCATGCACCTCAGGAAAGTGCTGTTTTTTTTTATTATTGGTGTTATGTAAATTTGGTAGAGTTTGGTAGAGGACATACCAAGAGTAACCCTGGTTGGACCTGAACAGTTATTTGCACTTGTTATACAAGTCTGAAGGTAGGAAATCTTGTATTGTAATATCTGAACTCTGTTTCTGCTTCTCAGTGTATGGAAATGATATCACCGGCAGTACAGGACTGATAGCTTCCCCCCTTTATCCGCGTACCTACCCAAACAATGCAGACTACCGCTGGACTGTCACTGTGGATTCAGATTCACACATCCAGATTCAATTCCTGGACATCGACATTGAAGACCTGTTCAATTGCCTTTATGACAAGCTCAAGGTCTGCACTGTTGTTTAAAATGTAGCTTTTTGATTCTATAATGGCTCAAGTTTAATGGTATACAATGGAAATGAGGTTTAAAATCAAGATTTCCCTTTCTTAGATATACGATGGTCCAAGCACTAACTCGTTCCTTCTGGGAGAGTTCTGTGGCCTGACTCTACCCAACCCAGTAAGAAGTTCAGGCAGCGCTATAACTCTTGAGTTTCAATCTGACACTGTGATTGGAGGGAAAGGCTTCCTCATTGAGTGGACTGCTGTTCAGGGATCTGGTCCATTGCCCACTATAGAGCCAGGTTAGTTCCTCAAGGATTCCGCCTATCAATTCGAAATGTTACTCTTTGGCTTGACTATTTCTTTTATCTTTTCAGGAGCGTGTGGAGGAACACTCGTGACTGGAGACACTCCCCAGTTCTTATTTTCTCCCGGTTGGCCCGAGCTGTATCAGCACAATCTTGATTGTTCGTGGGTAATCCGGTCTCCCAGCTCTATAGTCGAGTTTAATCTTCTCTCTCTAGACATGGAGGATGAGGTGTCATGTCTTCACGACAGTCTGGACATCAGGGATGGTAGGGGTTTTGTCATATTTAGTTACTTTAAAGAATTGGTTCACACAAAAATTTAAATTTGGTTATTAATCACCACTCTAATGTTGTTCAGATTCCCTAAAACCTTTGTTCAACTTCGCAAATTAAGCTCTCTGACCCTCCATAGACAGCAGTCTATGAAGGATGAGGGAGCTCTTGAATTTCATTTAAAAATATCTTCATTTGTGTTCTGAAGATGAACGAAGGTCATAAATTTATAACAGAATTTATTTTGGGGGTGAAACAATCCTTCAACACAAATTCTAACTTGACTTTCAAGACTTAATCTTGTGTATGTTTCCTAAGGTGAAACCAACGCGTCTCCACTGATTGCTAAGGTTTGTGGGCGGCAACTGCCTGGTTCTCTGCATTCTACCGGTGATGCCATGCTCCTGAGATTCACCTCCGATGGCAGTATTAATGGCAGGGGTTTCAATGCAACCTTTTCTAGAGGTGAGCAGTCCATGAACCAAATCCTAGTCTCAATACTGCAATATGTTTTCTTTGGATTATACTTTTTAGACATTGAACCAAATTGCATTTGTGTCCTTCGTCAGGATGTGGTGGCTTCCTCCATACAGACAGAGGCGTTCTAAGTTCTCCTCAGTATCCACAAAACTACAAGCCCAACCTGAATTGCAATTGGCAAGTAATGGTGACCCCAGGGTTTAGGGTTTCTGTAACTTTCCAAAGTCCCTTTCAAGTACAAGGTTATGGCAATCAGTGTAGCACAGGTGACTACCTGGAGGTAAGTGGCTAAAGGTAAAAGTGTGATTTGGAAAAATGTGTATCATTGTGTTTGATGGAAAATATGCTTTAATTATTTTCTATTAGTTACGGAATGGACCTGATGGCAATTCACCAACCTTGTCAGGGCGTCTCTGTGGATCCAACGTTCCATCCACATTTCAGACCACAGACAACAGTCTTTATGCCCACTTTGTTTCTGATGGCTCCAATGAGGGAAATGGCTTCAAACTGTTATTTGAAGCACACAGTTCAGGTAGAAACTTAAAATAGTCCAGTGATATTTTTTGTTCATTTCCACTGAGTGGTAAGGTATAATACAGTACTATATGGTACAGTATGGTACACATTTATGTTCATTTCCTTTGCCAAAGTTACCGAAAACGCGAATCATACCATGCTACTTTTTTGGCGCCTTTTCCAAAAGGGTACCTTGCAAAATAGAATGATACCAAAAAGCTGGAGCAAAAGCTGAATGCTATTGTTTTGTAGTCACCAACATGTACAACAAGCGTAATGTACAGTGCGTAAATATGGAACTTTCGTTTACAAAAGACGGCTTTTACGATTTTTATTCTTCAAGTGAGAATAACGTCAATTGCAACATTCTATTGTCCACCAAGCCTACTAAAAGAGTACCGTTGACTGTCGAAATGCAAGCCTGATCAGGTTAACCTGTACCTATTTGTACTTTATACTGTACTGAACAATAACACTCAGTGGAAACAAATCATTAGATTTATTCAACAATGAATGATTACCATTAAATTAAGAGTAAATCTTGGTGCTTGTTTCCAGCTTGTGGTGGTCTTATCGAGCTTAATGACGGAGATCCACCAGGATACATCACATCTCCTGACTATCCATCAAATTACCCCCAAAATATTGACTGTGTGTGGATTATCACTGTTCCCAATGGGGAAGCTGTACAACTCGACTTTGAGGGTGATTTCTACATCGAACCTCATTCTGGGTATGTTACAGTACATTCAATTTAAACAATAAACCACCTATCCCCACATCCCATGCCTTCATGTGCTTTCAACCACTGGTGTGGGTAGGTGGGTCTTTGTGACCAGTGCCCCGTGGCTGCAGGACCAGATGGCTGTCGCCTTTATCGGACTATATCCACATCCCCTGTTCCCATCCAATGTTGCAATGCTATGTCTATGTGTTTATGTGTTTGTGCTAGGGCGTTTTTCCCCCTGATCTCACATTGCCCTATTTCAAGGATATATGAGAGGGGCTTTTTTTTCGTCTCCCTCTTCCCTAATGTATCTAATGTCCTCTTTCTAAAAGCTACCTCTCGTCTGACCAATCTTCCCCTGAAACGTGTGATGTTTGTGTATAGTCAGGGGGGTTTAATTTCACTGCATGTAAAATTTTATGTGACAAAAAAAGATTTTTCATCTTCATCATCAAAACTGCTTACATTTGCCTTAACGATTTAACCATTTAGAGTAATCACAATCTTCTCTCATAGGTGTTTATTTGATTACATCGAAATCCGGGATGGTCCCACATCAGATGCTGATTTGATTGGCAGACTTTGTGGCAACACCCGCCCATCTACACAGCATTCTTCTGGCACCACCATGTATTTACGATTCCGAACTGATGCTAGTGTCACACATATTGGTTTCAAAGCCAAGTACTCCATTGGTAATCCATTTTGAATCCCACTGACATTCCAATCATTTTTTTTCCAAGCTTCAATGACTAAAAAGGTATTTTGTCCTCCTTAGCTGTATGTGGTGGTACCTACATCGGTCAAAATGGTGTCATCAGAAGCCCTGGTTTTCCTGGCTCAAATTATCCTGACAACTCTAACTGTGAATGGTACCTAGAAGGTCCTACTGGACACTATTTAACTCTCACCTACACTGCCTTCGACTTGCAGAGCTCCGCTAATTGCAACAGTGACTACGTTGAGATACGTGAATACAATGCTTCAGGTTTGGAATCTCCCAACTCAAATCTAGTCTCCTTTTAAATACCCAAGGTAGTAATGTAAGATCTTCTTCTCACCAGGTCGCCTGTTGGGGAAACACTGTGGAAACAACCTTCCGGCTCCCATGGATACTGGAGACAGTTTTGCCTATGTAAAGTTTGTCAGTGATGCTAGCGCGAATGCTGGAGGGTTTAGCTTATCATTTGAAGCCAGCATTGAAGGCAAGTGTGAAATCCATAAACAAAAACAATCACATAAGCATCACAATTCATTAATAAATATTGGACTCAGTGTTCAAGGTTTCTGTGTCTGACCATTTTTAGGATAACGAATAGGAGACTTTATCTGGTAATAAAAACAAATGGTTTGTCTTGTAGAATGTGGAGGGGATCTGAATGCACCATTCGGGACCATATCATCTCCCAACTACCCCAACCTCTACCCACACAGCCGAATTTGTCGCTGGAGTATCACTGTTCCTCAAGGTCGTAGGGTCACTCTTACAATCAATGACTTGAGGCTGGAGGACCAAAGTACCTGCGCATTTGACTTTGTTGAGGTGAGGTTATCTGTATGTTTTAAAGGGGGTCATCCTGTTAAATACTTTCTGTGGGCATTTTTTAATTCAGAGGTTCAGCACAGCCATTTTGGCTCTTGAATTGGTAGATCCTGAATGGTCTGACTCCCAGTGCCCCTCGATTGGATCGTTTATGTGGTACAGTCCCTGCTGGAACCCAGGTCAAGTCTTCAGGGAATACTATGACAGTCATTTTCAGCACAGATTCATCTGTGTCTAATGGTGGATTCACAGCAGACTATTCATCAGAGGAGTCAGCAGGTAGGAAAGAAGAACTTTGGCTTTAAAGTAAACACTTTTGGGGGTCCTGATTTAATTCTTGAGTCTTTGCAGTTTGTGGTGGGATTCTCAATGAACCTGGAAACTTCACCTCACCCGACTTTGGCAATGGCAACTACAGCAACAACCTGAACTGTGAATGGCTGATCCAGAACCCACATCACACAAATTCCTCCATTGTGGTTATTATAGATGAGCTGCATCTAGAGCACCACCAAACCTGTGAGTGGGACTACTTGGAGTTCAGACTGGGTAAGAGTTTCCAAATGCACTATGAGGGACACAAAACACTTTCTAATGTACCAATTCTTTCTCCTCCATTGATGATATATCTTGTCAACTGAGAGACAAAATTACAGTAAAGGAAGCCCAAGTGCATGTCCTGAATGTTATACTTCTGGGTCTCCTGTTAGCAAAATGAAACAATCAGAGAAAGTCTAGATCAGATTTCATGTGTTGTTTGTACCATGTGCTTTTTTGTCTACCGTCTTAGCCCACACACCTTGTTATCCAGTTTTCAATCATCATCTTCACCTGTCAACTTGTCTGTTTATTAGTTTTTCTCTATTCTCCTAGTGTGTTCTGTCCTGTACTGGTCTGTCATTGTTAATTCTGTGCCCATGTGTCATCATTGAGGCGTCATGATGTTTGTCATGCCAAGTGCTGTCTAGTCTTATAAAGTGTGTATGTTGCCATGTTTTTCCCCCCACATGGAGGTTTACGTTGTTTTGGTTTCCTTTTGTTAAATAAAACCATTTTCATTTCCTTCAATTGAGCATTTTAACAAGGGCCGTGCGATTTATTATCAACCATCATCTTCTTTGTCTTCTTCGTCGTCATTTTCTTGGTCATTTTGGTCATCATCTTCATCCTCTTGGTTGACATCCTCTTTGTCTTTATCTGCATCTTGGTCTTCTTTGTGGTCTTGGTCATCAACTTCTTTGTCATCATCTTGATCTTCGTGGCCATCATCTTCTTTGTCTTGGAGTACTTTGTGGTCTTGGTCATCATCTTCTTTGTCATCTTCATTGTCTTTGTCTTCATTTTCTTGGCCATCAGTTTCTTTGTCTTGGTCTTTTTCGTTTTCGCTTCTTGGTCTGTCAGAGTCGGGGATAGAACCCGGGTCTCTGGTGTGTGAGGTGAGTCACGTTACCACTAAGCTACTGGGAGGTGATGAATCCCCTCAACGAAATTTATTTATTGAAAATTTATTGATAGCAAAAAAAGTTGGTTAATAAAGGCAAAAACAGAGTCTTACAATAAGTAATAACAAAGTACAATCTCAGAGATGTTTGCTAATATAAGTTCAAATATTTTAAGTTTCTTTTTTAACTAACTCTCATTGCATTTTAGCGGTAAAAAACAATACAGATTATTAAGCAGAAGCTGGACTGCAAAATTAAAACGCAAATCAAATCAAAATCGCAATATTTGTAAAAAAATGTGTTTCTATATATTTTGTAAATGCACTTCTTTGAACAAAATGCATTTGTTTTTTGTCAAATGTTCAGCATTTTTGATGCAACCTTTCTGGATTTAAGTGATAATAAAACATGAAGTCATAAAGATAGAATAACATTTTTTTTAAAAGAAGTCTTGGTTTTTTAAAAATATAAATATGGTCATATATTCTAGCATATAATATTCTAAAGGCTGTCAATTTTAGGCGAAAATCAAAAAAATGCTGACTCTGGCTAGTGACGAAAAAACCCTGATGGGGAAAGATTTAAAAGCAAACATTTATGACATGTTTTGTCTGTTTTCTGATATAGGAGATCACAATGGAGAGCTCTTGACTCGTTTATGTGGACAGACTCCTCCATCAATCCCCATAGTGGTGTCCACCCCTAGTCTTTGGGTTCACTTTCTGTCTGATGAGGCTGTGGGTGACCTCGGCTTCAAGGCAACATATTACTTTTCAGGTACCATCTATTACTCAGTAACACTTAAAGTCTGTGTGAAATCAAAGTTTGTAATGTGTATTTTGCACATTATTATTCTTTAGGAGAACTATTAATCCATGCTAATCCACTGACATTTTTGGTAATCTTCAATCAAAGTCTGACCATTTGCTTCTGCGTTTGGAGTGGGGGTCCTTCTATTGACGTTAGTTTGATGACAATATTTTTAACAACGCCCCTCTTTACATTAGTTTGCTATGACCCCTACTTAATATTCTGTTTTCGTTGAAAGTACATCGACATAGTACTGAAATAATAGTCTCAGCAACTTCCGGTTCACACAGACTTTAAATTAATCTCAATTGCACATGAGCTCAACTGACTGCTTTTCCTCAGAGTGTGGAGGGACACAAAGTGGAGATGGAGGTGTCATCTCTAGCCCTGGATATCCCAATGTCTACCCCAGTCCAAGCCGTTGTACATGGCTTCTTGAAGCTCCAGTGGGCCACACTGTAGTTGTAAGTTACAAGAGCTTCTTGGGATGGTGTCTTCTTTTTACCTCAGCACTGAAATCGATCAATAACATCATTTGCGTATACTTTTGTGTAGCTTACATTTACATACTTTGAAGTGGAGGAGCACAGCCAGTGCGTCTGGGACTCTGTGACCATCTTCAATGGAGCCTCGTCAGGATCCCCGATTATTGGTCAATACTGTGGCCACAACTCTCCAGGAACAATCCGATCAGGCTCTAACAAATTAGTTGTGGTATTCCTTGCCGATCATACAGTGTCCAAAGGAGGATTTGCTGCCACCTGGTCAACAGACTCAACAGGTATACGTCTACTGTGCTTTCTGTAGATTTCTACTTGCTGTTGGTTTCAATTTCACTGAAATGATTTTCCCTTCAGGATGTGGAGGAATTATCCATGCTGATACAGGAACCATCAAATCTCCCAATTATCCTCAGAATTTCCCGACCAATATCGAATGTTCTTGGACTATCATTGCCCATGATGGAAACCATCTGGAAATGGGCTTTGCCAGTGACTTCCAGATCCCAGACTCGAGTGGACAGTGTCAAAACAGTTATATCAAGGTAAATCAATAAATTTCTCTATAAGTAGTCTTTTGTTAGGTTTAGTACTGGGCAACCATTACAAAATGTATTCATGAATAATCTTTTGTATGCATTTTTAGATGCAAAATTCAACAAATAAATGAAAAGTAGTGTATTGCACCCATTTACTTTAAAGGTAACAACTGAGGTGTTTTTTATAGCAGTATCCCCTTATTAACAGTTAAAATATCTTGTAAATCTTATCTTAGCCATTAAATCTAAAACAAATCTACAGTATATTTCAATCTAAAATCTCTACTTCACTTTAGAATGTTTATTTATAGATGTCTCTGCCTACAGCATGTGCATTAGAGTTTTTTTTAAAAGTAGTGTTCCCTTATTAACAGTTAAAAATGTTTTGTAAATCTTATCTTAGACATTAATGGGACCAAATTAAATCTAAAAACAATCTTTACTTTAATCTAAAGTCTTTATTTTACTTCAGATTATTCATTTATGGATTTCAGCAACATCTCTGCCTGCAGCAAATGAATTGGTGTTTTTATAGCAGTATTTCCTTATTAACAGTTACAAATGTCTTGTAAATCTTAACTTGGCCATTAACGGGATCAAATTAAATCTAAAAACAATCTTCATTTCGATCTAAAATCTTAACTTCAGAACATTCATTCATAGATTTCAGCAATGTTTCTGTCTGCAGCATATGTATTGGTGTTTTTATAACAGTATTCCCTTATTACAGGTACAAATGTCTTGTAAATCTTATCTTAGACATTAATGGAATAAAATTAAATCTAAAAACAATCTTTATTTCTATCTAAAATCTTTACTTCACTTCAGAATGTTCATTCACGGATTTTATCATATGCTGGTTTCACACCAAACGCAAAAACAAATATTCGCGTAAGTAGATTACATACAGGCCCAGATTGGCTAATCAGGAGGACCAGGAAAATTCCCGGTGGGCCGGTCCGTTTTTTTTGGCCGCGAGGGCCGGTGCTAGCTGCTTGCACTCTCAGCAGTCGCATTTTTTTAAATTTATTTATTTATTTATTTGACCATAGCCTCACTCTTTTCATTCATTATTTTGCCTCAGCTCTGCTCTTTTTATTTATTTTCTCGCAGCCCCGTGAGCAAAATACAGCCTGCAGGTTAATAATGATGTATCTATCATCATTCGACCCCAAACTGCGGCACCTTAGTGAATATAAGAATTTGAATCATTAATATTAATGAATATTACACCTTCTCAATGAAAATCAGAGGATTCACTACATTAATAAATCTGCTATAAATTGATCAGAAATCTAAAAAGGGGAGAAAAAGATTAAGCCATCAATAGAAAGCACTGCTGTGGTTGAGAGTCTTGTGGGTCACAGTGCAATATTTTTTTTTCTCTCCACAACAGTGCCATTGTGGTCCAGTGGTCAGCACGTTTCGTTATGACGCAGCTGACCCGTGTTCGAATCTCACCTCAATAATAATTTTTTTTTTCACTTTTATTGTTAAGACATATAATACTGTTAGGGCTGTTGAACATTTGAAGTTGTTTTCTTGAAAAAGACATGGTAGTGTCATTAGAAACTGAATTGGAAATGACGTTATTTTAATATAACGTAGTCAGTTGTGAACTGAGGTGGGCCAGTCTAAGGCTTGAAACTCCAGGGCTGAATAGGTGTCCCACTCCTGCCCTGATTACATACAAAGTCAATGCAAATTCGCAAGTACAGGCAAATTTCCACTGGGCAGCACAAATAACGCAGAATGAGTGATGAGAATTCACCTCAACCTCAACTTCCACAATTCAACCCAAGGATAAGATTTGCTCAAAGTGGAAAAACATCCAGCGAGTAAACGAGAGCAAGTGATGCAGTGCTCCACGTTTGCTGTGAATTAAACCCCTTAGGCCCATTCCAAATATTCCCACAGGTTGAGACATTATTCAGGGTGATACAGAGTCTTTTAAAGTACTTAAAAGACTTTTAAAATACCAAAAATATATATAAAATAACTGCATTGTTACATGTCCATATATTCATTTATTTATTTTTGCTATTTTGTTGGCCTCCAAAGTTTTATTACCTGTTTTGTTTGACCGCCAGCTTATAAGAACCTATGCGTGCAGTACTTCATTAACATTGGATAAAATAATTGTCATCGCTAATTAATTAATATGATAAAGCATTAAAAACACTTTGGGCTCTATTTTGACGGTCCATGTGCAGAGCGCAAAACGCAGGGCGCAAACGCTTTCAGGGTGTGTCAGAATGCATTTTTGCTAATTTAAGGATGGGAAAATCTGCTTTGCGCCAAAGCGCATGGTCTAGAAGGGTTGAGTTTATTTTCTTAATGAGTTGTAGGTGTGTTTTGAGAATAAACCAATCATCTTCCATTCCCTTTAAGAGCCAGCTGCATCGCGCCAAGCGCATTTGCTATTTACAGGACGTAAAGTAAGTCTAAGTGGAAAAACTGAGCATTTCACAAGCAAACAGTTAACAGTTTTTTTTTTAACAGAAAACTGTTAAACAGAGCGTCTACTGCGTGAGAATGAGAGATAATGGATCACTTTCACTTTCGCTCTTGGATAGGGAAACCTTTAAGCGCAGACATCAATTAGTCTATAAATAATTAATTGCGTTTGTTAAGCGCAAATATTCATTTCAAAACTTTCTAAATTCAGTTCTAATTTCCAGCAAATTAATAAATGAACAAAATTAACGAAGTGTGATCAAAAAGCTGAGTTATATCTTAAAACACATGCTGTGCCCCATATGGTCTGAAACCTGCAGGTGGGCAAATCTAAGCTTGTTTTTAATAAAACAAATATAAATATGGATATAATAAATAATACTGCTAATATTAATAACATTATACAAAAGCAAACTGTTATGAATGAACTGAAAAAGCCTCCCGAGATGAAAAAGACATAAAAGCAGTGATTTTTCATATTTATGTAGGCTAGAAAATAATATGTTTTGTAATATTTTAATCCTTTATATTTCTATCCTATATCTATTCTTATTATATCCTATATATATCCTTAATATTAAATTTTTTTTCATATGTAAAGATATTTGCTTATTGCTCTCATGTGCATATTAAGCAGTGTGTAAGCGAGGCGCAACTCTGCGCTGGAGTTTAGATCGGGTTTGTTTTGGTCTAATGAAAAATCTATTATAGTTTCTCAAAATAGCAACGCGCCAGCAGTGCGCCTCAGAACGCCTTCCTTTTTAGACCAGAACGCCTATGGGTGCACATATGAACGCTAATGCATTTGCTATTTAAACAGCGTAGCGCAACGCCTCAAAACGACTCTTGCGCCAAGCTGAAACTAGCTAAAGACTATTGCGTTCTAATTAGGTTATACTCCATTGTTGCACTTTTTGTGTTTTACGATTTCTGTTTATCCGACAGATGTGGTCTGACAACATTCAGAATGACGAGAATCTCTTGGCCACCGGCTGTGGCACCACAGCCCCTGCTGCGATCATTGCACCCAGAAATGTTATCACAGCTCGTTTCCAGTCCTCCGATACACCCGGCAAAGGCTTCTCCGCTGCATTCTACACTAGTGCGTATCTTAAGTGTATGTGGCTGTTTTTGTTCTTAACTTGTCAATAATTCCACTCATGTCCCTATTCCATTTTTTAGCTTGTGGAGCCAATTTCACAGCCTCATCTGGCCGTGTAGTATCCCCAAACTACCCAGACCACTATCCAGCAAACTCCAACTGTAATTACATCATCAATGCTGGAGAACAATTTGTGGTTGTGCTCACGTTCAGAACTTTCCAGATAGAGGGTATGCACTTTGTTTTATATATTTTGTGATCTAATAATAACTAGGCAAGAATGCCACAGTTCCTTAAGCCGAATAATCAAGCCGCTCCATCTCCTCTAGCACACTCCACATGTGTCTATGATGGTGTGAAGATCTACAGTGGCACCACCGCCAGTAGTTCACCATTGGCTACTCTTTGTGGAAATACAATCCCAGGGATCTTCACCACTTTCGGACCAATGCTCATCAACTTCTACTCTGATTCCATCATCCATGACAATGGCTTCCTGGCAGAATACACCACCATACGTAAGCTTCAGCCACAAAACAAACAGTACATATAATGCAGTATGTTTGGTTCTCTAAATACCATAGTGACAATGATTACCAGTGTTAGGGATAGTTAATTTTTAAAGTAATATATTACAATCCTTTAATAAACTAACTAAGGCCCTGTTTATGTGTTTTAGTTTTAAAACTGTTTACCACACTGGCATTTCATCTAGTGTCATTGCAAAGATCTCCATCCAAAATGTACATCACATGGCCATACACGCAATCTGGGCATGCATATACAAGTATAAACAGGAAGTACTTGCTTCACTTGGTATTTAGCGCTTTGGGTCAGAAAAAAAAGGCATTATAAATAAAATGTTATTATTATTGTTGTATTATTATTATTATTATTATTATTATTATTATTATTAGTAGTAGTAGTAGTAGTAGTAGTAGTAGTAGTATTTGGTTAATAGTCAACAACACAGGTTTAACTGCACAATGGCTGCTAAAATTTCAAGTTCATTTGTTTATAGAGCACATTTAAAAACAGTCACATGACTGACCAAAGTGCTGTACATAAGATAAAGTAAAAATAAAACAGAGACTATAAAACATAGAAATAAGACAAGAGAAAGGTCTGAAAAAATGTAAAAATGTAGCAGTAGAAAAGACTATTAAAATAATATTAAAATAAAATACATAATGATGGAGCCATTCTAATGGACAACAATGCGAGCAAAGCTTCTATGTCTATATTGTTTATTGTTATGTCATAGGTACTTGACAAGTAAGGGTAGGTTACACAGTCACTACATTAACACTGCATGGTTCAAGTGACTCAATTCCGATTTTTTTTCTCACATGTGACACAGATTGGATATTGCTCATGTATAAGCAGGAAAACATCACATGGATTCCAATTGAATCAAATCAGATCAGGCCTTGTTCATATGTGGAAATTTATCCAAAACAAATCATCTGAATCTGTGTCCTCGTGTCTGCAGTGTAAGCAAGTAGATTGGATTTTCACCTGTCAATGTGAGTCGCGCGTCATTAAAACCATAGCGAATGATGTCATCTCTGCCGCTTTCATTTCAGAATGGACTTCAGCAGAGTCCCAAACCTTAAATCTCATACACACGGACTAAAGCAGCTTTTATTGTCATGTAGCACAAGTGTTTAAGCATGTTAACGAGAGAGCGAAACATCCGCCACGTAACCAATAAAACTAATATAAAACTGTTGCATACATCACGTACATACAGTAAATCACACCATGGACATCACATTAAGATGCCAACTGGTTTAAAAAGGTCTAGATTAAAAGATGGAGAACTTTTCTGTCATAAACTATAGTAAAACAAAAAGAAGCCCTGCAAACAGATTGAAAAGGGCGCTCTTTTATTTTCAGCTGTCAGTCAGCGCGTGCTCTTTTTTTTTCATGGTCATTGCGCCATTGTTGTGCGCCATTTAAATGCAGACAATCTCATACAAGTCACTTTTAAAAGATAATGTAAGCCGTCAGCAAAAAAAATCGGATACAGTCACAAATTTGGAATTGACCATCAAGATCTGCACTGTAAATGCAGCCAATGATAAGGTCCACATGGAATCTGTGCGTGCAGAAATCCACTGATTTTTAGCCCATCATTGAGTCTATTTATTTACTTGTGTAAATGTGTGAAAATTCATATTTAGTCAGTTTTTTATTAATTTCAGTAATATTACTGACTAAGACGAAAATTGTTGTATGATTTATTTGCAATACAGTTTGTAAAGTAATATTTTCTGTCTTCAGTAGATTAATATATGAGAGACTTGCTTTATTTGCCAAATAAGTGGATCTAACTGGATTTGCATTGTAAATTGTGTTTTATAAATTAATAAATAAAAATAAATCAAATAAAAATTGGTTATGATACTCCCAAAAACATGTTGCATAAATCCGCAGATTGTTTTACAAAATTCTGCGCAGAAATAGCAATTTGTATGTCTGCAGATTCTGTCTGACCCAAAAGGCCCAATAAGGGAGCCAGTTTTGGGAGCCATGCCTCCATTTTCAGATGCCTCCATTTTGCTCCGTCCACACGGATACAGAGCACCAGCATTTTAAAATTTGAATTTATTTTATTTAACAGGGACAATGCTCATTTATAAACAGTAGAACTGTAAATAAGCCAGAGTTAGCCACAAGGGCTAACTTTCATCTGTTGCCCTCTGCCAGATTTTAAAAGGCAAAACGAAAACAGCCTCTGCGGCATTTCCAAAACTCTCCATTTTCGGGGGTTGAAACCTTAGGGGCATTTTTGCAAAAGTAACTTAGATATTTTCTTGGAAATGAAAAAAGTTATGCGCTACTTTACTATGTTGGAATATCTAGCCAATTCCATGCGTGTTCAAGAGAAAAGGTCAGGAGAGGTTTTTCTTCAATGTCAAAAATCGTAACAATTTATTGGATACAAATGAATAATTCGATGACAGAGCTCTGGGTTACATTACCCCAATGCAATACAAGAATTACATTCAAGAGGTTCGCAACTAACATACATTTCCTGACTCCAGCATATATACACAACTGATATTAACAGGTGGAGTTTTGGTTTAATGTCACTTGTCAGTCATTGTTCAGTCCTCCATTGGCCGCACCTTTGACATACTTCCTCTTTTTCTACGCATTCTCTGCACAACAACAAAGCATACATCTTTCTGTGTTCTGTGTTCAGTTTTAACACCTCTCTTCAGACAGGAATTTTCTGCAGAGCTGAATTTAATTTTGGACTCGCTTTTTATCTACTTCTGCAAAAATGCTAATTAGTATGCACAGCACTCACCCACAACATTAGAAGTTCAGTTAATATATGACCCTTACATGACCAATACAAATAATTGTTTGATTAAAAGAAAAAGAGACAAAAATAATAAAAAATGATTCCTATTTTACAACAACTAGTTACTTGAAAATGTAATCTGATTACATAACTCTGGTTACTTGTAATGTATTAGTTCAACACAAAGTAACGGTGTAACAAAACAAATTAAACAGTGTGATATTTTTGCGAAAGTAACTCAGATATATCTTGGAAATTTAAAAAAGTAATGCGTTACTTTACTAGTTACTTAAAGTAATCTGATTACAAAACTCAGGTTACTTGTAATGGATTACCCCAACACATTACAAAAATGCCTCCATAGTATACAAGAATAATTCAGTAATTCAAGTGTTTTTGGTTGTGATGTGGGTATGATTTAAATGTAAATGTAACATATAATGTGAGATGTGGGTGTTTCTTAGATAGAGGTGTGTACATGGCATGGATGTAGGCATGTGCTAAAGTAAGTTTGGGTTGTTTATCATGACAGCAATGCAGAGCTGATTCACTGAGTGGAATGGGAAGAATGAAAACACGCAGCACTTTTTGAACAATATGAGGGGATTTGGGAGAGTATGCAAATATGCAAGAGAATTCCATGGCAGATTCCACAGCGACATCCACACACTCATTCACAGTAAATGGGGCTCAACAGAAATGCACAGTCAATACTCTGACTGGGCTTCTCAAAAATCTGGACACCACATCACAGAGAATTCAATCTGGACCTATCTATATTTCATATTTCAAGAGCACTAAATGTCTGCAAGCGACTTTGATAAACCAACACAATCTCATGGCAATTCGTAACTTTTTCATTTAGTGGCTAAGTGGTACAAATTCGTACGATCTAATTTGTACATTTTAGTACGATTTGCGTATCACCCAATGACGGTTGGGTTTAGGGGTAGGGTTAGGTGCCACGCCTCCTTTTTAAAATCGTACATTTTCTTACGACTGAACTCGTACAAATTCGTACGAATTAGCCACTAAACTGCCAAAACGTAAAATACTTACGTTTTCTCGTGAGATCAGGCTGGATAAACACATGTTAAAGAGCCCATATTATGGGTTTTTGAAAATTCCCCTCCATGTAGTGTGTAACACAGCTCTAAGTGAAGTGAAGTATCCAGCTAAGGCTTAAATCTGTAAGAATACAGTGTTTAAAACTGTTGATTCATCTATAAAAGAGTCGAATCATAGTGCTTCAAACGAGTCGCCTTGATACCGACTCATTAGGTGTTTCGCCATGACGTACGAACGAAACAAAGTTTTTCACGTGCACGCGCAAACCCGGGAGATTTCAAACCTGAGGCCCCGCCCTCTGACGCAGTAACCCAGACACACACACACACACACCCACAAACACACGCACACCCACAAACACACGCACACAAACATGCCGGTCGATTGAAGTCACACTGCAGATGGATATATTGAGTCTCTACCCAAAGATGAAACATCAGCATTATAGCCAAGCAGTTGGAAACTTCTGGAAGCTACATGCTACAAAGAATACTTCATCTGAGTTTGTTAAAGGAAGGATCAGTAAAGAGTAACTGATGGACGTCAGGATGGGTTTCTTCCTACATTTCTCAAGTGTAAGTACGTGCGGTTAAAGTTGTTGCCTCGTTTACTCTAGCTTGCAAATGTATTTAGTTGTGATTTGTTACTTGTAACCGCGTGTACTGTATCAGGTTAACTGGATATATTATCTTATCGCGTGCAAAGTCACGTTAAAAACGCGACGCGTGCTGTTTGTTTATGGAGCTCCGTGCTAGAGTTCTGCTCCCGCGATTTATTCGGAAATGTATTCCCGCGCCGCAGAAATCTGGCGCGGGGAGAGAGAGAGAGAGAGAGAGAGCGAGCGAGAGAGAGAGCGAACGAACGAACGAGCTTTGTGTACTTTGTGCTGTGTGTGTGTGTTTATACAGACAGCTTGGCTGTCTGGACTGTATACTGGGTGATTTTTGGTTGTGTTCTCCGCTCTAGCGGGACCGGGCGCGGCGGGCAGAAAACGGAGCGGGTTCTCAGGCTAAAACCTGGCGGGTGCGGGCTGAAGCGGGAGCGTTGTCATCCGGAGGTGTGTGTGTGTTTTTGTGTGTGTGTGGTTTGGCGAGTACACGACTGTCTCCTTCGTTCGGTTATCCGTGGCACTATCCACTCGCCATAGTGTGGCAGCTAAAGTCCACGCCTACACTATCGAGCGTGTATGAACTGTGATTACTTTTTAAATTGCTGATTAGCTATTGGCCATTTCCCTCTCTGACTGAAGGCAGTCGACCAATCGCGACAGACTGTCATCGGCCCAATCAGCGCAGATTAGCTTCGCGCTAAGGAGGGGTTTGGGAACAAATGAATCACTGGACGATTCATACAGGAGTCGCTGGGATAATTAGATAAAAATAAATGCAGATTATAAGACCATGAAAGTGTTTTTTGACCTTGCATGCATATTAGACTGTTGTTGGAGACCCTTACAACCAAGATATGACCTTATTTCATGTATAATATGGGCTCTTTAAATTTGTAGTCTTTTAATGTCTTTTCAGCGATGTTCTAAAATGAAACCAAGATAAAAGTTTTCCCATGTGACATGCCATTTCCCAGTTTTTCAAAATTTCAAAAATTGCTAAAACTTTATTTAATTTGTCTTATTTTGCACTTGTTATTAAAGGGGTGGTCCACAGTGTATTTTTAAAGCTTGGTTGTGTTTATAAGATGCAAAGCAATATGTGCTCATGCAACTTTTCTTTGATTATATACTGCTACTCAGCTAATATGAAAATGACGTCGTATTTCCTAATTCCTCTGAAAGGCCCCCTCTCAAGAGGCTCTGATTGGTCAGCTAACATAATGTGCTGTGAATACACGCATATTTGCGCTGTGTAAACAGTAGCCAAATCAGACAGAAAATGAGAGCACACAGCTGAACCTCATGCCTGCTCTCTAAAGTAAAATTTGACAAGTGTATTTTATATATGTTTGAAATAAGCATGTGAGAGACACAGCACGCGCTGCTGAAGATTGTGGCTGTTTACATCGGTTTGACTGATAAATATGAACTTGTAGGTAAATTGTTAACAGTGCCAAACAGCATTTCCTGTTGTTTACATCCTTGTTTATGTCCTTACTACAACATACCGTTAATCAGGCCCGGATTGGCTAATCGGGAGGCCGGTCTGTTTTTTGGCCACGAGGGCTTTGCTCGCTTGTACTCTCAGCAGTCTCACTCTTTTCATTTATTCATTTATTTATTTAGGTATTTGACCATAGCCTCACTCTTTTTATTCATTATTTTGCCGCAGCTATGCTCTTTTTATTTATTTTCTCGCAGGCCCCTGAGCAAAATGCAGCCTGCAGGGTAATGATGATGTAATAGTAAATCATCATTCGACCCCAAACAGCGCCACCTTAGTGAATATAAGAATTCGAATAATTAATATTAATGAATAATACACCTGCTCAATGAAATCAGATGATTCACTACTTAATAAGTCTGATATAATTTGATCAGAAATCTTAAAGGAGGGGAAAAAGATTAAGGTGAGTCACAGTGCAATATATATTTTTTTCTCTTCCCAACACAACAGCGCCATTGTGGTCCAGTGGTCAGCGTGTTGCGTTACTACGCCGCCGACGCTTGTTCGAATCTCACCTGAATAAGCATTATTATAATTTTTTATTTTTATTGTTAAGACATATAATACTGTTTATTGTTAAGACATATAATACTGTTAGGTTTGTTGAACATTTGAAGTTCTAAAGCAGCTGTTTTCTTGAAAAAGACATGGTAGTGTCATTAGAAACTGAATTGGAAATGACCTTATTTTAATATAGTCAGTCGTGAACTGAGGTGGGCCGGTCTAAGGCTTGAAACTCCAGGGCTGAAAAGGAATCCCACTCCGGCCCTGCTGTTAATGATAGAAACTGTGCATGTACTTGATTAATTTTAACAAATAAAAACACTTACAGGATGTAGCTCACAAACCACAGCTTCTTCGGTTGAAGGTGTTTTTATCCGAATGCATCACTGAACTGAGAGAGATTCTGAAAGCTGTCCTTTGTCAAATGCTAGCTATATGTATATTTTTTGTAATTCTCTGTAACATAATTCAAATTAAACTGTAAGCACTTCTCTCTTTGTGTCATGTCATTTGGGAGCCCAAATACAAAAACAGAACAAGCTCTGTGGAAATCGCAGTGTTTGGACTGCATTTTAGCTTTCTCTGCTATAACATTACAGTGCCTCTGGCCACGCCCCTTCACTGCGCAGGGTTTGTGCGTGTGGTGAATGCGTGTTACCGGAAGCCCTTGTGATCTCACTAGCCCGCATGTATTTTTTTTGTAGTGCCTAAATTTGCTCGCTGTAGGCTTTGTTAAGCTAACTCCGTAAAAGTCAATGTCTCCCTTTGCATTGAACATTCAGAGATGTTGTTTTTGTTTACACAGCTACATTACACCTCAACTAAAGCTACTTAATTTTTGAATAATTGATTTATTTATGTGCATGTTTTAAGTTTTGTTTTAACCAGTCTTGTTTACGTTATTTCACAAAAGTAATTAATTACTAATTACATCCTTAAAATTTAATTAAAATTACTAATTACTTTATGTGAAGAGTAATGTTATTACTTAATGATTAATTTAATTACTTGACTCTAATACTACGTGAAATCCCTGTAAATCTCAATGCACATGTAATATAAATTAAACTGTTTAATTATTTACATTTTGAATCAAAACCTTTTAGATTTATTAATAAATTGTAAAAAGATACAAATGTAATATAGAGATTTATAGGGATTTCATGTAGTATTGAGTCAAGTAACTAAATTACTCTAGTTATAAAATTACATAAAAAAGTAATTTAAATACAATTTTGAGGATGTAATTAGTAATGAATTACTATTTTGTCATGAACACATTGTCATTAATTAATTTCTTGTTTTTTTAAGTGTGTTCTATTGTCAAATGCATCTTCCTTTTGTTATTAAAATTATACAGTAAAATATAATTGTATATCAAAAAATGATATGTACAGTATATAATTAGATTGCCTAAAAATGCATATAAGCATTTTTCAGCATATAGTTCATTTCATTACAGTAACTAATTACTTTGTAACTACTCACATCCAACACTATTTATAACCAACATTTCCAGACCTTTAACTTTGATGATAAATTCTGATTTGGACCTTTGACCATACTTTAAATAAATGTTTTAATAAATAAAGGCCTGTTCTTTCACGTTTTAGCACCACTTTTTGGTTAAAAGGATTCAATTGTACATGATACATGTGTCATTGAATTTGTTTTTGTGTTTTTATCAGCATGTGGTGGCGTGTTTAATGGTACAGCTGGGACAATCGGCAGTCCATCTCATTCCATCTCCAACTACCACCACAACATCAACTGCACATACCACATATATGTCCGCAACAACCGGGTCATCAATCTCAAGTGAGTCTGATCAACAATGTGTGTTCTGTTATTATTCATAAACCAACATTTTGCATTAGGGCTGCACATTATATCATTCCAGTGTTAATATCGCAATTTACACATCCATATTAGTTACATCGCAGGGTATGCAATGTTGAGTAGGGATTATAGCTTAGTGGCTTCAAACTTTCAAAAAACAGATGTTTGGATTGAGCCCCTCTGTTGGATCGCCATTCTATAGTGATCAATGATTGGCCATCTATTGAAACTATTTATATTGCAATATATAATGCAGAAAAACGAAATATTTTCGTCAGATTTTCCAGTATCGTGCAGTCCTACTTTGAATATATTTTGATGCAAAAGAATCTATTCAAAGTCTCATTTTACACTACTTTTTTCCCCTTCATATCTACCGTCTTTTTACCCAACCTCATTATTTCCTTCTAAATTGATGTGTACATTGGTCTCCAAACTACACATCAAAAAACTAAAATCTTTACCATCAGACATCCATCAAGACAGCTGTGTTCAAACAGAGAGACAGATGCTCAGAAAGAAAAGCATTCTGGTATTGATCATCTGTCTTTCCCTTTGTCTACGAAAACCTACTAAGATCTATTGATGTTAGACAGGAAGCCCTTCATCCTTAATCTGTCCCCGGAGGCTTTCTTTCAGGAAAAAACACCCCTTCTCCCAGTCATTGTGTCAATTTCTGAGAAATTGGGCTTTTCTGCAGCATCATCATGGGACTGTACATGTTTGTCTTGATCTCCTACAGGTTCAACTCTTTTAATCTGGAAGCCTCCTCGACGTGTAACTTTGACTATGTGGCGGTGTATGATGGAGAAAGCACTCTTGCTCCACTGATGGGGAAGTTCTGTGGACACGAACTGCCACCCAACCTCAGGTCCTCCACCAATCACATGTTCCTGCAGTTTGTTACTGACTCGTCAGTTGCGGCGGAGGGTTGGAGAGCAACCTACAGTGAGACTTTAGGTACTGTTCCTCTGTATTCTTTGTAAAATTGCACTGTAAAAAGCGATAAGTTACTGCACTTGAACATTTTTGCAATCCTGTTGTTTTAAAAAAGTGACTAAACCTGTTGTAACGGAACTGTTAAGTTGTTTTCATTTTTTTATTATTCACATACTTAATTGACTAAATCATTTTAAGGCATTCAAAGTAAAAAATTTAAGTCATGCAAAACAAATTTATTCAAAGCATAACATGGTCATTGAATTATTATTCTTATAATAAGAAGTTTTTTATTAACTTCACATTTAAAAAATGATGTTTGCTGCTTGTTCAAACCATTTATCAATTTAAAATGAGCTGAATCAACACAATTCAAAACGTTTTTTGGGCTAAAACTTAATTGATTTATGTTCAGTCCACTTAAATTTATACAAACAATTAAGTTAACTTAAGTTATTGATTTGTGTTGGGACAACAGGAAGGAGTTGTGTGGAACTGAGCATTTTTACAGTCTTATTCTTATTAGAGAATAATAAAACATTGCATAAAGTACAATACAGCAAAAATATTTTTTTTGTTGCATGTTAGTCCATCAATTTCTAGCTACCTTGATGGTTGTAAATGCATGTAGAGAACCAAAAACATCCTAAATAAAATAGAAAAGAAAAAAATATATAATAAAAACTAATGAATAAGAAGTAATTTTTAAGGATTTGGGAATACAAACAGTTTCTGGGCGACGTAGTGGCGCAGTAGGTAGTGCTGTCGCCTCACAGCAAGAAGGTCGCTGGTTTCTGTATGGAGTTTGCATGTTCTCCCTGCGTTTGCGTTGGTTTCCTCCGGGTCCTCCGGTTTCCCCCACAGTCCAAAGACATGTGGTACAGGTGAATTGGGTAGGCTAAATTGTCCGTAGTGTATGAGTGTGTGTGTCAATGTGTGTGTGGATATCCCCCAGAGATGGGTTGCGGCTGGAAGGGCATCCGCTGCGTAAAAATGTGCTGGATAAGTTGGCAGTTCATTTCGCTGTGGCGACCCCAGATTAATAAAAGGATTAAGCCGACAAGAAAATGAATGAATGAAACAGTTTCTGGTCCCAACTTACACAAATACTAGCTCAGCAAAACAAAGACATTGATATACTGTATATTTGGAAAAAAGGGCTTCCAATTAAAACTTTAGGTCTTTTTTTATACTTGTTATTAGAAAAACACTCCACTTTTTTGGAAATTGGCTCATTTTACAACTCTCCTACAGTTAGATAGTTGAGTTTTACCATTTTTTTTATCAGTTCAGCTGATCTCCATGTTTGGTGGGAGCAATTCAATTCAATTCAATTCAATTCAGCTTTATTTGTATAGCGCTTTTACAATGTAGATTGTGTCAAAGCAGCTTCACATAAATGGTCATAGTAACTGGAACAGTGTGGTTCAGTAACTGGAACAGTGTGGTTCAGTTTTTAGTGTTTAAGTTCAGTTCAGTTTAGCTCAGTTCAGTGTGATTTAATCATTACTGAGAGTTCAAACACTGAAGAGCCAATTCATCGATGCGTAGCTCTACCAATCCTGAACCATGCGAGGCAGTGGCGACAGCGGAGAGGGAAAAAAAACTTCACCTGATGGGAGTGAAGAAAAAAAACCTTGAGAGAACCAGACTCAGTTGGGCACGACCATTTTAATTTCTCCGCTGGCCAAAAGTCTAGTGCAGAACTTCATTCGTCGTGGTTTAGGCTGGAAGATGGCCTCAGCGAAGACTCGTCTGTCCCTGGACTTTTAGCTTAGCTAAGCATAGATCATTGTATCAAATTAGACCATTAGCATCTCCATACAAATGTAAAAAGCAAAAAATTGAATAGTTGCTGCCAATGTTCCTTCATTATTCTGGAATGAGAATATAGTTTCTAGCATTACCAGCTTAAAAATAACAACTTCTCAATTTCCATCAGTCTTTGTACTCGATGTAACCACAAAAGAGTCAAGCTTTAAGTAGGAAAATGATCAATGTGCAGCCTGACATGTTTGTTAAAAACATTCGAGCATAAGAAACAACGTTTATGAAAATGTTTATGCGCGATGTTATTGTTGATTTGATATATGATATTTTAATTGTGGTTTCATGGAAGTGTTTAAGTAGTAGTTATATGGTCCTGAATGCCCCAAATACCTGCCCGGAGGTTTTTAAAATACGGTGGGATCATTGAACTGTTTTTCTTTGATAAAAAGAGTTTTTTTTTTAATTATTATTATTATTAAAAAGTTTAATTGATGGATTTAAATATACATAATTTTAATTTCATTTCAACAAAAGAAACACGGGCAGCTCACTAGTCTGAGTCTCATCATTTCAAAAGAATTTGTGTTACTCACAGATCAACATGTCTGATTCTTTGACCTTGTTCCTATATATTTCTCATTTTGGCCTAGAACTAAGAATGCACGAATGATTTCAAAGCACAAAGACAAAGATCTCATTGAGGGCAGAACAAAGTGTTCAAGAGTGGTAAACAGTGCTTTGTTTTCTCTGAGACGTCTTATGCGCCAGTCGCTTCAGGATGACCAGGCTCTTTAAGAACTGAGCTGTGAACCCTTTTGTAGCTCATCTCTGGGGTGTGGTTGATCCGCCCCATCCTACAACTACACCAACTGTTCTTGGTGAACAACACAACTCATTCAGACAATAGGAGTCAGTGCTTGTTATTCACAATGGCAGAAAACAAGACACAAGTCTTTATCAGTCTGTGCTGTCAGAGATTCTGCCAGTAAAGCACTGCACATTCTTTTGTTTTGTCCTGCAGTTTATGTGCAAATTACGGCCGTATTTTGTGGATGGTTAGAATTCAAATTAATTTACACTAACTATAGGGCTGGGCGGAATGCTTATTTCACTTTAAAAATATTTTTCAGGATATATATTTTTTATAAAGGTAGTTCTTCCAGAAAATGTACAATGGGGCTTTATATAATAAATATGCTAATTAATAATTTCTCAAGTAACACTTTGTCACAGATATAACAAATATAAGTAAGTAACAGGAGAAGATCATTTAAATATGAGAATATAAAAATGTAAACATTTTAAGGAACTATAAAACAGTTTTTTCCTTCAAAAATCTTGTATAAATATTGAAAATAAGTGATCATTACTTGTTGAAAATATCAAGCAATTGGAAGTCTCCCATTAAGCGTCTTAATCTCAGCCTCCTGCATGCTGCACTTGAGTTGGCCCCGCCCAACCATTTATATTTTGAGCTATACACAGAATAATAAATTATTTTATTGCCCACACTTCATTCCGCTGTAACGATATATGCCTTCATATCCCCCAGCTCTCACAGTTACACTGAAAAAAAAAAATGCTTTTCGTATTTGGGTCTTTTTTTTCTAGTCTTTATATCTAAAAATTCTCAAATAAAGAAGCATTTTCGAGACAATAAAATATATTGTTTTCCTTTTAGAAGTCTATTTTTATCTTAAAATAAGCTAAATATTCTGCCAATGAGTCACAAAGACACAAAGACAAAGATCTCATTGAGGGCTGAACAAAGTGCCAATAAGGCAAGCAAAATAAACTTATTTCAATAAGAAAACAAGATTATTTTACTAAACCCCCTGAAAGATCATTTAATTTGTTTAAAGGAAAAACTCACTTAATTTTGACTTATTGTTTCTGAAAAAAAAAAAAAAAAAAAAAATATATATATATATATATATATATATATATATATATATATATATATATATATGAGAATGTTTTAAATATTTGAACTACAAACAAGACAAATAAAGACTCTGAGAAAATGTTTTTGTAGCGTATATGCAGTTTATTAATAATTCATTTTATGTAATTTTATTTTATTTTATTTATTTTTATTATTATAAATGTAAATAAATGCTATATTCTACAGAATAATATAACTTTATCTATTTATTGTAATTTTTTTAAATATTATTTAATGTAATTTTCTAATTTCAACTGTTTTTGTCAATCCAAATTATTTGTGTAAAATATAATATTAATACTGATTCAGTTTTCTTTTTTTCAAAAAACACAAACAAATTTGTTTTTAGTTTACATTTATGGTATGACTTTATATGAAAGTCTCTTTGATTTTCTTTTTTTTCACCAATATCTTTATCCTTTACCTATTGATTTACTTTGCCAAATTATTTATTAACATTTTGTGCATATATTATATACTTACAAAAATAAGTAACACACTGTTCTGCTTTTTCAAAACCAAGAACTAATGACCATAAAAACAATGTAGTTATTAAATAACACAGTGAATGTATAACAATTATTTTATTCAGCTTTCCTGAAAGACACAGGCAGTAGATTTAAAAATGCCAATCTTCTTGTAGTTGTTTTTTTTTACAATGACACCATCATATAAATAGCCTCAAAGCTAAAAACCAAAGACAAAAACTCACATTTAGTCATTTAGTGGACTCTGCTGCCTCTTCCAGGCAGTTTCTTGTAAGCACATCCTTCAGCTCTTTTAAATCTCTTTCTCTTTGTCTCTCCAGGTCCTCAGCAGGGCTGTGGAGGTTTCCTGTCTTCCCCGTCAGGAATGTTTGGTTCTCCTGATATTGACATGAATGGTCAGTATGAGCCGCATATGGACTGTATGTGGACCATCGCTGTGGAGGTCAATAAAGCCATCAACCTCACATTCATATCCTTTGAGCTTGAAGGGTCCACCGGAACCCTCTGCAGATACGATCATGTCACGGTAATAACCATCACATATATTGAAAACAAATCTAAAGCTGCAACATACTACACTACAGTTAATAGGTTATAATAATACACTTCATTCATGATGCATTTTTCCAAACTCAGAGTGTTGCAATATATAGTCTATATATGAAGAGTTTCGTTGCAAAACGAGATATATCCATTTTGAAAAATGTTGGTTATTTGACATTATTATTTAAGACATCAACAGTCAAGTTCATTCACAATTTTTGTACATTAAACTATTCCTTGAGCTCATCGAAGGCCAGGAACACGATATTTTCAAATCCAGGATATTTTTTATTTAATTTGATGTCCATAAATAGTTCATAAATAAGTCAAAAACCAAGCCAAAATGCAACATATTAATCTTAATATTGTCAAATATCTTAAATTGGTAAAAAAAAACTATACATCATAAATATATGGAATAATATATACAAAGATTGATTAATAACAATAAGATTCTGAGTTAGTTTTGGCCAGAATGTACACAACATAACATAACTTTTTTTTTTTTTTTTTTTTTTTTGCAAACCGCTATATCCACCTATATTCTACTACTGTAATATCATTAAGAAAATCTAGTGAGTCAATGTTTTGTTTGATAAGTAAGATTAAGGTAGTTGGATAAACGACTTGTAGCTTGTTACAGAAAGAGTGGAGGCTCCTTCCACACTGCTGCTGAAAACCAAACCTGTATGATCAGAGCGGGCGGAGCCGCGGTGTCACCGAGTCCGCAACACAAGCTCGCCTCGCCCTGTCATATTTAATGAATAATTTCACTGTAATAATAATAATAATGACAGCTTATTTATTTGGTTGTAGTGAAAAAGCAAAACCGTTTATTTTTCTCCATAACAACCTGTGCCCTTTATGTTCCCTTATAATAAATCAACAACAACAAGAATTAATGTGAGGTTTTAGGTGCAATCGCATAAATAAATCTTCAGATAGGCTACTCAGCTACATGTAAGAAATTATTTAAAAAATAAACTTACAAAGGACCCTTAGAAATGTTGCCTTGCAGACAGGTATCTTGTGATGGGAAGGAGCGCAGAAAAAAGGCCCTTTCTGGCCTTCCTCTTGACATCAGCGGAGACTCGTTCCCTGCTGCATTTGTGTATTGTTGACAGACGCAGGAGTATCCTATTCTGGTCCACTTTTGTAGCATTTTTATACATTTTTGTGAAGTTAAAGGCTTCATCTTCTATCGCTAAATCAATGAGCAAACTCAGAGCACTTTACCAGCGGCGACTCTCTTCCCAGGGGATGCTGAGCTCGTGCAGCATCCTGAATGTACTATAACTGTTATATCGCACTTTGTAAAGAAACTGGTCTGGTGGATATCCATATTGTGAAAAAATACATTTTTGTACTCTGCCTAAAATGTACATTCTTAAATGTTATTAATGGCAGCAATTCACACATAGATTAAGGTACATCGGAACAGTGATTTCCAATAATAAAATCCAAATGTCAAAAAAATGGCGTTTATCGTGTTTTGCAACCAAACTCTTCATATATTACACACTCATACACTATGGCCTATTTAGTTCATCCATTTCACCTATAGTGCATGTGTTTGGACTGTGGGGGAAACCCGGAGCGCCCGGAAGAAACCCACACAAACACAGGGAGAACATGCAAACTTCACACTGAAAGGCCAACTTGCCCAGCTAGGACTCGAACCAGTGACCTTCTTGCTGTGATTCGACAGTGCTAACCACTGAGCCACCGTGCCACTTACAAAAAAAAAGATGACAAACTGCATAAAAATGACAGAGATAGTCACAAATTAAATGCTTTACTGAAAAATGTGTCTTAAGAAGCTCCTTAAACAATCCTGAGAAACAGCATTCCTAATAATTGGGGGTAATGCAAAGGCAACGTGTTGAACAAAATCACTCCATTAAACATCACTTGGGGTATATTTGAAAATTTATGATTTTTTTATTTCTGTAACTAACTGTATCTACAGATCTATGATGGTGACAGTGCTAATTTTCCACTGGTCGGCACGTTCTGTGGAGATGTGATTCCTGCGCCCTTCATCTCGGCCAGTAACTTCCTGACTGTTCACTTTATCTCGGATGGCACAGTTTCCCGCCGCGGCTTCAATGCCACCTACAGCACAGTGAACAGTGAGATTACTCTACTTCTCAACTTTGTATACATGTATTGGCTCAAGTGATTAGACAGGATGGTGATTTAGAGGGAATACTTTAGATATAATAGGAGTAGAACATTAAGGGCCCTATCATACACCTGGCGCAATGTGGCGCAAGGCATGACGCAACTGTTTTTTGCTAGTTTCAGTCGTTTTGACATTTTGCGGCAAGTAGTTTAAATAGCAAATGCATTAGCGCTCATATGTGCACCCATAAGCGTTCTGGTCTAAAAAAGCAGGCGTGTTTTGGTGGCACGTTGCTATTTTGAGAAACTCTAATAGTCTGTTCTTTAGACCAGAACAAACCCGGTCTAAAGTCCGGCGCAGAGTGCGCCTCGCTTACACACTGCTTAATACATACAAGATGTAGAGCAGGGTTTTTCAAAGTCTAAGACAGTGGGCCTCCCTTTTGACACAACTTATCCATTGGCGACCCCTCCTCCCAAACACGCACGCACACACGCACACACACACACACACACACACACAAAAAAATTCTGGAGGTTTTCCTGCTACCTCATCATGCTTGGTTTTAAGGTGTCGCCGAAGTTTAGCGGGTCTCATGCTATCATTAGCCAAAATATCTTGACAAACCACACAAAAAGGTTGTGGTTCATCAGCTGGTCCTGTCCACGTAAATCCTAAACTCAAATACTGATCATCATATCATCGTCTTTTGGGTTTAAGCCCTGAACTTGAAGGCTTTGAATCGGGGGGTCTCAGAAACCAATCCATTGTATTAGCAGGCATATACCTGTATTGGCGGGCTTGCCAAACAGAAGCAGATTCACAGCTATGGCCTTCTGGGTAAAAAAGGTTTTCTTATTTTTTATGTATTTTTTTAGCTTTGTTTAATTAAAACGTTTAAATATAATAAAAAATACATATAATAATTAAACTTAATAATTATATTTTTATTATATAATATTTTTTTTCCCGCGCCTCCCCTGACATGCTCTGGCGCCCCCCAGGGGAGGCGCGCCTCACACTTTGAAAACCCCTGATGTAGAGCAATGTGCAAATATCTTTGCATAAGAAAACATTTTAAAATATTAAGGATATATATAGGATATAATAAGGATATATATATATATAGGATATAAATATAAAGGATTAAAATATTACAAAACTTATTCTTTTCTAGCCTACATGAATTTAAAAACCACTGCCTTGAATCCTTCTTTATCTCGGGGGCTTTTTCAGTTCATTCAATTTGCTTTTGTATAATGTTGTCATTATTATTAGCAGTATTATTTATTATATCCATATTTATATATTTTTTATTAAATACAAGCTTAGATTTGTCCACCTGTCAGGTTTTAGACCATATGGGGCACAGCATGTGTTTTAGGATATAACTCAGGTTTTTGAGCACACTTCGTTATTGTTGTTCATTTATTCGTTTGCTGGAAATTAGAACTGAATTTAGAAATAGTTTTGAAACAAACCTTTCCACTTAACAAACGAAATGTATTATTTATAGGCTAATTGATGTCTGTGCGTGCAACACGTTTCCCTATACACGAGAGCAAAAGTGAAAGTGAATTATGAGATGACTTATCTCTCATTCTCGCACTGCAGATGCTCTGTTTAACTGTTTTCTTGTTAGTGAAATGCTCAGTTTTTCCACTTATACTTACTTTTTATCATGTAAATAGCAAATGCGCTTATGGCGTGACGCAACTGGCTCTTAAAGGGAATGGGAGATGAAACTTTGATTGGTTTATTCTCAAAACACACCTACAACTCATTAAGAGAATAAACTAAACCCTTTTAGAACATGCACCACGGCGAAAAGCGGATTTTTCCATCCTTAAAATAGCAAAAGTGGATACTGACACGCCTTCAATGCGTTTGCGCCCTGCGCTTTACGCTTTTGCGCATGGACCGTCAAAATAGAGCCCTACATCTCTATGTATGCAGATGATGTTTTGGTGACGCTACAAAACTCAGGCTTGGCTTAGAAATGCCTTCGTTGATGGATATCTTGAAGCTATACAGTTGAAGTCCCCCTGTATATTTTTGTCCCTAATTTCTATTTAACGGAAAGAATATTTTTTGTGCCAGTGATTAGGTTCCTGAGACCCACATTGTCTCCAGCACTTAGTGTCCTTTCCTGTTACGTATGCTCTTTGTTTTGCCGTGTTGAAAAATCTTATTAGACATTTCCATCCAAATTCTCTCCACATATGTGAGTTAGTACATTTTGATGTAAATCTACATATGTCCAACCAATGTCTTAATAAGATATTAATAGGTTTTGACACTAAACTTTACCCCCACACAAGAATGATTAAACTTTGTGTACATGTTAAATTAGGGATGTGCAATATAACGAGATATATCATATAGACAAAATGAAAAGTGTACTGTTTCATCTTATGTTTTATGCGGTGTTACAAAAAAACTTTGTTTTACGAAAGTACTTTTTCATAATTTATATGAGCGCAATATTACACATCATTACAGGGATGCAGACAGAAACATGAATAACAGCAACGTGAGAAAGTCGCAGTCTCTAAAGTACAATGTTTACATTTTGCATTTTTAATTTTTCATGTTGGACCTGTAATCATTCCTTTTTGAAAAGTGTTTTAGTTATTAATATTTATTTGAAAGTTCTACAAATAAAGTGAGATATATGATCACGCATGCATTAGTACATTTCTTAGTATACACAGTTGAAGTCAGAATTATTAGCCCCCCTGTTTATTTTTTCCCTCAATTTCTGTTTAACGGAGAGAAGATATTTTTTTTCTACACATTTCTAAACATAATAGTTTTAATAACTCATTTATTTTATCTTTGCCATGATGTCAGTAGATAATATTTTACTAGATATTTTTTCAAGACACTTCTATACAGCTTAAAGTGACATTTAAAGGTATAACTAGGTTCATTAGGTTAACTAGGCAGGTTAGGGTAATTAAGATGGTTTGTTCAGTAGACTATCGAAAAATTACAGCTTATTTCTGTATGAGAGAATATGTAAGATATATATGTATTTTCTTTTGAAAACTCAAAATAAAAAATGGAAAAGAAAGAAAAATTACAGCTTAATATTTAATTTTGGCCTTAAATTGGTTTTAAAAAAAACTAAAAACATAAATAAAACAGATAATATTTTCTCTAGAAGAAAAAATATTATCAGACATACTGTAAAAATTCCCTTGCTCTGTTAAACATCATTTGGAAAATTAAAAAATTTATAAAAATAAAACAAAATCTAAGGGGAGCGAGTAATTATGACTACAACTGTACTTTAAAGTATAAAAAAGAAATAGTCCTTTACATATGTTCAACGAATATAAATTATTAATTTGTTTTTTAATTTTTTTATTTACAATACTGTTTGTTTGTTTGTTTGTTTGTTTGTTTGTTTGCTTGCTGCGAATTATTGAGCATATTTAAAAAGACAGATGTTGACCAAAGGGCTTTACAAAACAACCAACATACAAAATCTACACTTAAATACAGTTGAAGTCAGAATTATTAGCCCCTCTTTAAATTTTTTTTCCTTTTTAAATATTTCCCAAATTATGTTTAACAGAGCAAGGAAATTTTCACAGCATGTCTGATAATATTTATTCTTCTGGGTAGTCTTATTTGTTTTATTTTGGCTAGAATAAAAGCAGTTTTTATTATTTTAAAAACATTTTAAGGTCAAAATTATTAGCCCCTTTCAGCAAAATTTTTGGAAAAAAAACTGAAATTTGGGAAAAGAGTAGTTCAGGGGGTTTAATAATTCTGACTTCAACTGTATATAAACAAAATATGTAAAACAAATTAAAATTAATTCATTGCAATCAAAAGCAAGAGACAGACGGTATTTTTTTTTTTAAATAAGACTTAAAAGCTCCAACGGAAGAGCTTGACCTGATATGTAAAGGCAGACCATTCCACAGATGAGAGGCTGTGAAAGAAAAAGCCCTGTAATCTTTTGATTTTAACCGTAATTTGGGAACAACTAACTGGTTTTCCGACCCAATTGACCTCAATGAAGGATGCCAGTGAAGAAGCCCACCAATGTAAGTTGGTGCCAGACCATTCAAACCTTTAAAAACAAATAGCAATAACTTGTATTGAATCCTAAATTAGACTCGCAGCCAGTGAAGGGATGATAAAACTGGTGAGATAGAAATTTGTTTTGTCCCAGTTAAAAGTATATCAACTTGCTTTTTGAACAAACTGCAGGCGTACAACTGCGAAACTCCTGCATACAAATACTATTATCAGGATATGAGATGTCTTATATTGTGATGAGATTTTTGCCATATCGCCCAATGTTGCATCAGTCATGCTAATATCCTTTTTCCAAACCTTTAGGTCTTTGTGGAGGAGCTTTCAATGCCACAGCAACATCTCAGACCATCACATCTCCATTATATCCCAATGCCTACCCGCCGTTCACCTCCTGCCGCTGGGTGCTGGATGCTCCGTCTCAGGAGGGGGTGAAAGTGTCTGTACAGCAGTTCCACCTGGACACCAGCCAGAGCTGCACCAGCAACTTCCTGGAGTTTAAGGACTTCCCTGTGGTGAGATCCAGTTGCACGCATTATATACACTTAAAGAGGACCTATTATGCAAAAATCACTTTTATAATGAGGTTTAAACACAATTGTGTGGTAACAGTGTGTGAATAAAAACAGATTGTAATGGTTAAAATGAATTAATTCTAGATTTTATAATCACACTTTATAGAAACAGCTTGTTGAGACACATTGATTGTAGGTGTCATCAGAGTGGGAAAACCCCGCCCATTAGTGACGATCTCTCCCTCATTAGCATAGACTGCCCTGAGTGAGAAGCAGCCGTCCGCCATTACAGTTTTCATGCTGTATCTGCCAAAGATAGTGTCACAAGTGATTACTGTAATCTCCATAGACGACTTTCTTCTGAGCCACTTCTTTTAACAGAAATAACGCTAGACCTGTTTTGAATCTGACACACTGGCATTTGTTGCTCCGCCCTCTTTTGAAAAAAGGGCTGGGAGTACGATCTCATTTGAATTTAAAGCGACAGTCGTCAAAATAGCACAATTTGGATCACTAGTGTACAGTGACACATGAAAAAGCATAAAGTATATATTTAATATAAATATACATATAATATAGTTTAATTAAAAAAAAAATTAGAACATTTTAGTTTGCAATGTAAGTGTTCTTAGATAAAAAAAAATCTGAAAGGATAAACAATTTATATATTTTATTTAGGGGTGTCAAAAATAATCGTTTTTTCGGTGCACTGCGATGCAGACGCGGACAATTCGGTATCGGTTCAGTAATAATCATAACCGGTTATTACTGACGTCATTTACCTCATATGCGCTCTTTCGCGAGGGAGGCGATCGCGAGTATTTACAGCGCTTTAACTACTTAAAACTCATAAACTGTGCACAATTTCACTGTGTGTGTTTGCTGGATCAGTCTTTCACTGACATATACAACAAAAGCCCCTATTTCACTGAGATCGAGAGAATGAAAGTAGCCTACTCCATTTCTCTCTCTCTCTCTCTCTCTCTCTCTCTCTCTCTCTCTCTCTCTTTCTCTCACACACCCAGTGGCCTATTTGACCTGCTGGGGTGGCTTTTCTTCTCTTCTCGGCTGATTTACAGCATTACTTTTGCATCCAGAAACGAGCGCGTGCCTGCAGAGTTTTCTCCACCGTGTCTGTACATCAGCTGTAAGATCGCCGCTGCCGCCTGCCGCTTATCAGCATCACTCATCTGTGAAGAATGCAGCGTGCAAGAGCCAATCGCAACCGTTTTTTTTTTTGAGGGTGTGACCAATCAAAGGGGTGTAAGAGAACTAGAAGGATCAGAAATTGAGCTGGATATTTATATTTGTTTATATTATTTGCTAAATGCTCGTTTTGTTTAAAGTTACAGTTTATATATCTGACTGTTTGTATTAAACGACAAAATTGTATTACAAATAGTTTATAAATATAAATATATTCATACATTTTAATACAAGAACTGCTGCTGTGAAGAAAATATAAAACTGTGTATGGAAAGCATCGTCAATGCACCGTGATGCACTGAAATATCGAATTGAACCGAATCGATGGCATGATAATCGTAACCGAACCGAACCGTGAGACTAGTGTAGGTTCACACCTCTAATTTTATTGTTGTTGTTATTATTATTTCAGCTTAGTGAAAAAAAAATAAGAAAAACCTTAAGAGAAGTGCAATTTTAGTTTATATATACAGATTAAAGGGGGAATGAAGTATTCAGTCAAGTTGACCTTATTTTGTATATTGGATTCCACTTTAATGAAATTATATTAAACAAACTCAGTTAATGAAAAAATTTAGCATAAAATGGCATTATTTACTATAGCTGTTAGACCTATGGTGCCGCCATCATGGAATGTTGCTCTATCTGACGTCACGGGGTTGGTTCCTTTCTCTAAACTGAACAGATACAATGGAAGTAAAGGCGACTGTAAAGCCTAATTTTACCTAATGCTTGCAGTTGTGGACGTGGAGCTGGTGCAAATACAAGCAACAGATGTGTGTCTAATATAAAAGTATATATATTTATTTTATTTTTTTTGTTTCCTCTTTTAATTACCGATTATTTGATGTGCTTTAATTCACTGTCTGTATTACGCTGCCTGACTGCCTGTCTGGATTTCCATTATGATTGTAACGGACTGAACAGAGACTGGCCAGCCTTATTTAACCCAATGCATGATGTTGTGGAAGTGCATCGCTGAGCTGGTGCAAATACAACAAATACAAGCATTTCAGTGTCTTAAGTTGTGTGTTTTTCTTTTGTCAATACCTGTGGCCCAAACATTACCCGAGTTTGTTTAATATATTTTTTATTAAAGTGAAATCCAATGTACAAAATAAGGTAAACTTGACTGAGTGCTTTATTTTCCTTTTAAAGACACAACAAATACAAATATTTTCAACTAGTTTTTATTTTTACATTATCAGGTTTTACTTTTATACTAATTAAACTTTTTTTTATTTGATCATTCTGTGTTTTGTTGTGTGCATTAATTCATTATTACTATTATTGTTTTTTTTCATGATATAATTTTTAATTATTATGTAAGTTTGTACAATTTTAACATTCCGTATATTAATAATTATGTTTATAATTACCTTGTTATTAACTCATAATAACATTATGAGTTCAAAGGTCATCGCTTTGTCATTAAAATCGCTAAAACGTGTTTCTGTCGTCTCTCAGGGAGATTACGGACAGGCTCATAAATTTTGCAGCGCAGATTCACATGTGCCAGATTTCTACAGTTATGGACGCACCATGCACATCACCTTCAAATCTGAGGCCTTCATGACTGGAAACGGGTTCAGTCTGAGCTATCAGGTGGCGGGTGAGTCTTTTTTCTGTGCTTGGAGAAGTGTGTTTAATCTTGTTGTTGTTGTGATTTATATTGTTGTGTGTGTATGTAGGTTGTAGCCGGGTCTATGAGCAGGAATATGGTTACCTGAAAAGCCCAGGCTGGCCTGATCTGTATCCTCATAATCTGGAGTGCAGTATCGTCCTGCAGGCGCCTCAAAACAGCTTCATCTCTCTCTTCTTTACCAGTTTTGATGTAGAGACTCATCCTTCCTGCAACTTTGACTATCTTGAGGTGAGCTGAAACATATTGACATTTGTTTTTGGCTGTTATTTTTAATTTTTATAACATAATGTGTTATTATTTGACTAATATTCACTAATATGTGTATATATATATATATATATATATATATATATATATATATATACATACACACACACACAGTTGAAGTCAGAATTATTAGTCCCCCTTTTTTTCTTTTTCTAATATTTCCCAAATGATGTTTAACAGAGCAAGGAAATATTCACAGTATGTCTGATAATATTTTTTCCTCTGGAGAAAGTCTTATTTGATTTATTTAAGCTAGAATAAAAGCAGTTTTTAATTTTTTTAAAAATCATTTAGGGTCTAAAAAATTACTAGCCCCTTTAAGCTATTTGTTTCCTGATGGTCTACAGAACAAAACATCGTTATATAATAATTAGCATAATTACCTTAACTTGCCTAGTTAGCCTAATTAACCTAGTTATACCTTTAAATGTCACTTTAAGCTGTATAGAAGTGTCTTGAAAAATATCTAGTAAAATATTTACTGTCATCATGGCAAAGATAAAATAAATCAGTTATTAGAAATGAGTTATTAAAACTATTATGTTTAGAAATGTGCTGAAAAAATTTTTTCTTTCAATTTGGGGGAAAAAATAAACAGGGAGGGCTAATAATTCTGACTTTAACTGTGTGTGTGTGTGTGTGTGTGTGTATATATATATATATATATATATATATATATATATATATATATATATATATATATATATATATATATATATATATATATATATATATAAATAAGCATAGGTAAATGTCACATGACCTAGTGTTTTTGTTTGTTTGTGTTTAATGTCAAAATAAAATCAAGTAAAATCTGAAATAAAATTTGACATGAAGAAACATCTGAAAGAAGGATTGCCTTGGAAAATAATATCAAAATTATTTTAATTATTAAAAATAAATAAATAGATAAATAAATTATAAATAAATACTTCTTACATTATCACTTGACCCTTGAAAAATGTCACATGACCCAGTGTTTGTGTTCATTTGTGTTGCTAAAAACTAAAGTAATAAAAATACACAAAATAAAATATCAGAAGAAAAAACTGTCAAATTAGCAAAAATCTAACATATAATTATTTTAATTTGAGATACTAAACCTATTAAAAATAAAAATATCTAAATATAAAAAATAAATAAATAGAAATTAAAATATATTCCATATTGTATATATTTTAATACAAAATATATACCATAATGTAAATGCCAATGTTAATAAAACCAAACTCTTAACATCCCCATATTTTAAGTTCAGGATCAGGTACTAAAATAATAATAAAAATATACAAAAAAGAAAAGGAAAAAACATATTAATCCCTAAACTAACACATACTAAACCAACTATTTTGCTGATTTAATATATTGTTATTTGACTAATATTCACTAAAATAAAGAAGTAACTGTAACTTACCTACATTATCACCTGACCCTTAACAAATGTCACAAGACCCAGTGTTTTGTTTTCATTCCTGTTAAGCAAAATTAAATTAAAGCAATAAAAATGCACAAAATAAAATATGAGATGAAAAAAAAACTGAAAAAATTGCAAAAAGCTAACATATAATTATTTTAAGTTGAGATTATATTATAAATTATTACAATATAAAATACATATACAAAAAACTGAACTAAAATTAAACTATATAGTAAAATTCTCATGTAAAAAATTTGCCAATTGCTAATGTAAATAAAACCTAAATAATATAAATACTATAATAACATTTAAAAATAAAAAAAAATTAAACTTTTTAGTAAATAAATATATTTTTTTAAATTTCCCTTTTTGTGAAAAGAATATTGGTTATTAATCTATTAAAAAAAACTACATGTAAATCTTAGATAATATTTCAGTGCAGTACTGTAGGTGTCTGTTGCAGCACATTTAGGCAAATGCAGATCATCCATATATTCTATGAATAAAGATGTCCATACTATTCACAGACAGCTATGAAATAAAACCATACACTAGCACTTCTGTTAATGTCTTTCTGCTGGTGTAGGTCAGAAACGGCAGCACCGCCACATCTCCTCTATTAGGAAAGCATTGTGGAAACACACTTCCCAATCCCGTCTTCCCAGGAAGCAACGAGCTCTTCATATTCTTCAAGAGTGACTTTACTACCACTCGTAATGGCTTCGAGATCACCTGGACTTCCTCACCACAGGGTATATACAAAATACTCATCACAATTCCCTTGTTATAACTAAATATATAATGATGATCTGTCTGATATTCCACCATAAGCTTTATACGAATCCTAAATGTTGTCCAGGTTGTGGTGGTGTGTTATATGGAGACCACGGCTCCTTCACCAGTCCAAACTACCCTGGTACTTACGCCAACGGTAGTTCCTGTGAGTGGTCAATCAGGGCTCCTAGTGGCCGAGTAGTGACCGTCACGTTTAATCAGATCAGCATTGATGACCCAGGAGACTGTCAGAACAATTATCTGAAGCTGTTCGATGGACCAGATGCCAATTCACCTGCTGTCGGGCCGTACTGTGGATTGGTATGTGTTGAAAACTTCTGTGTTGCTATTTCATACACATTTCTGTCAGCAGGAATGGTTAAATTGATCAAGTGTTACCTTAAACATCATGTGAAGTGATTCGAAATGTGTATTTTTGTTTGATGTGTGACGTAATTGCAATTGAAACATGAAAATTGGGCGGGACATAAAGTAGCCCCTCCCCTTTTTAAAAAACGGCCAATAGCACTTTTTTTAAACACAGCTCTGCCAGTGATTGTTGAGTGAGTGGTTGAGCTCAAGGGCATCAAATAAAAAGCAAATAAGAAGTGTATTGAAGGGGGCAGCACATGTCAGATACTAGTGAGAACATCATAAAAATTGTTGATCAACAGGGCTCTATTTTGACGGTCCATGCGCAAAACGGAAAGCGCAGGGGGCAAACGCTTTCAGGGTGTGTCAGAATCCATATTTGCTAATTTAAGGAAAGGAAAATCCGCTTTGCGCCGGTGCATGGTCTAAAAGGGTTGAGTTTATTTTCTTAATGAGTTGTAGGTGTGTTTTGAGAATAAACCAATCAGAGTCTCATCTCCCATTCCCTTTAAGAGCCAGCTGCGTCTCGCCATAAGCGCATTTGCGATTTACAGGACGTAAAGTAAGTGTAAGGGGAAAAACTGAGCATTTCACAAGCAAACAGTTAACAGTTTTTTTTACAGAAAACAGTTAAACAGAGCATCTACCGCTCAAGAATGAGAGATAATCGATCTACTTTCACTTTCGCTCAGGTGGATAGGGAAATCTTTACGCACAGACATGAATTAGCCTATAAATAATTAATTTTGTTTGTTAAGCGCAAAGATTTGTTTCAAAACTATTTTTAAATTCAGTTCTAATTTCTAGCAAATGAATAAATGAACAATAATAACGAAGTGTGCTCAAAAACCTGAGTTATATCCTAAAACACATGCTGTGCCCCATATAGTCTAAAACCAGCAGGTGGGCAAATCTAAGCTTGTATTTAATAAAACAAATATAAATATGGATATAATAAATAATACTGCTAATAATAATAACATTATACAAAAGCAAACTGTTATGAATGAACTAAAAGCCTCCCAAGATGAAGAAGACATAAAAGCAGTGATTTTTCATATTTATGTAGGCTAGAAAATAATATGTTTTGTAATATTTTAATCCTTTATATTTATTTCCTATATATATATTCTTATTATATCCTATATATAGGCCTATCCTTATTATCCCTATTATTTGCATATTGCTCTACATCTTGTGTGTAGGCTATTAAGCAGTGTGTAAGCGAGGCGTAACTCTGCGCTGGAGTTTAGACCGGGTTAGTTTTGGTCTAATGAAAAATCTATTTTAGTTTCTCAAAATAGCAACGCGCCAGCCATGCGCCTCAGAACGCCTTCCTTTTTAGACCAGAACGCCTATGGGCGCACATATGAGCGCTAATGCATTTGCTATTTAAAGAGAGTGGCGCAACGCCTCAAAACCACTCTTGCGCCAAGCTAAAACTAGCAAACAAGTATTGTGCCCCGCCTTGCGCCACATTGCGCCGGGTGTATGATAGGGCCCACAAACTGCAGACACATCTTCTAAACGCAAATTTTGCCACTGTTGTGCATACCTGTCAACCTTCCTGTTTTCCCAGGATTCAACCGTATTTTAAAATTATATCCCGCTGTCATCTTGTCAAGATATTTAATAAATCACCATGATGCAAACATTTATTTGCCAACTATTATGCTAAAATTACTTAAAATTTAATCAAAGTATTAAAAATACACAAAATAAAATATCAGTTGAAAAAACTGTAAAAATGGCAAAAAGCTAACATATAATTATTTTAAGTTGAGATACTAAAATTATTAAAAATAAAAATACATATATAAAAAACTAAACTAAAATTAAACCATATAGTAAACTGCTTATGTAAATAGTATTATGTAAACTAATGTAAATAAAACCAAAATAATATATATACTATAATAACATTTAAAAATAAAAATAAACTACTTTTTAGGAAATAAATATTAAAAAATTGACCCATTTTGTGAAAAGGATATTGGTTATTAGTCTATTATAAAACATACATGTAAATCTTAGATAATATTTCAACACAGTACTGTAGGTGTCTGTTGCTGCATATTTAGACAAATGCAGATCATCCACATATTTTCCTGTATTTCTCCCGTATTTTCAATCTTTCTATGAAGGGTGGCAATAGACATTAAAGGGCCGATCCTCCCTATACGCAAACTATACAGCCGAACCACCAGGGGGCGCCCTTGCTCTTAAATGTGAATCTGTTCAGTGCTTCCATTGTATTTAGGCACAAAAACATGAAATAAATATAAAAACGGCAGGATTCCCATTTCCATAACAGGCACCGTTGACCCTCATATGCGATCCTCAAAACAGTGGCTGCGTCTGAAATCACCTACTCAGTAGGAACTGCATTTGAATTTAAACATACTACTCGACCGTTAGAAAAGTGCGTTCTATACAGTATGAATGTGAGCAGTATGAATGGAAGTCGGAGGTACTACATCTGCCATTTTGTCATGATTATGTAACCTACCAACGTCAGTTAAGTCACTTCACTCCCAGTCATGAGTTCACTCATGGTGCATCATGGGATAGCACAGCGTGCATGGGATGCACACTTCAGAGTCTTGCTGGAAGTGGTCGGTCATCAGGCTACTTCTCGCACACTGATTTTTGAATTCTATGAGTTTGGACATACTACACATCTCGCATACTGTATTTAGTGTACTATATAGTATGGAAGTATGCGATTTCGGACGCAGCCAGTCAGTCCATGTAGCAGTGCGAGACTGTCAGACGCGCTCCATGGTGATAAATAGATGCTGTGTCCCAAACGGATTCTGACGCGTTTTGAAGCGTAGCGAAAGTGGACACTGGGTTTTGGGTGCATGTTTGAACATACATGTACACATAATAATAATAATAATAATAATAATAATAATAATAATAATAATAATAATAATAATAATGATGATAATAACATCTAATCATGTTGATTTTGGTGGGTTTTCTTTTAAACACAACTAATTTCGACTTAAAAAAGCATAAAAAGTTAGGGGAAAAAAGCAAATACTTTTATTATATATTTGTGCATTTTTAAAGAGACACCTCTGTTTTTTAGAGGATATGCCTTATTGTCACATCCCATTTTTGACAGGTATGGTTGTGGAGCACACTGACTAAGACCTAAAAAATGTTATTTTGTTTTCACGGTATGTCAGGGTTCTGCCACTCTGGTCTTGTAAATTCTTGTTTTGGTGGCAGATCTCGGACACTACCTGTGTCTGGTCCTGTTTCTGTCTCTGTGTGCGCGCGCGCCGTCGTGGGTGTAAGCAGAGTGTGCGCGCTCCTGCTTTACGCGGCCGCGCGCGCGCTCTGCGTCCCTCAGATGCGTGCGCTCTTGTACTCGTGTTTGTGTTTTCGTCTGTCAGCAGCGTGGTGTTTCATTCCCAGCGTCTCAGTCTTGTTGGTTTCGGTTTTGGTCGGCGCTGGGATGAAGCATGCATGCTGCATGTGTGAGCGCACGGTGAGTGTTTTTATTCATCGTGTGCTCGTGTCTTGCGTCTTTTGTCAAAGCACGTGGCTCGGTGTTTATATTGTGTTCACGTGTTTTTGTCGTGTGCTTCAGTGTTGTGTTATGTGAGGGCATGGCTTGTATTGTCTCTCTGTGTCATGCGCTCTCCCGTCTATTGACTAGTCCCACCCTCCTTGTTAACCCATTATTAGTTAATTGTGTTCACCTGTGTGTCAATTTACTTTTTGCTTTATAATCCCCCTCATGTTTTCAGTCCTTTGCCAGTTCGTTGTCTACACTCCCCGTGTTCCTGCTCCATTCTTGCCTTGTCTTGTCAGTCCAGCTAAGTTTGTGTGTTTTGTTAATGTTTTCCCCCTCGGGGTAGTTTTGTTTTGCCTTTTGTTTTTACTTTATTATTACTAAAACCCTTATTTGTTGCAATTGAGTCCTCGCTCCTTTTCCCCTCACCCGACCTTGACACGGTAACTTTAAAAATGATGTTTTTTTTGTTGTAAAAGATTTTGGTTTTAAAATAAAAGCAGTGTTCATCAAAGAATCCTGAAAAAATTGTTAATAAGCAGCAAAACTTTTTTCACATTTGTTAAAATATTAAAATGAATGTTTTTATTCTGTTTTTATGACTGGAGTAATGATGCTGAGTATTCGTCTTTGGATTAGAGGGATGAATAAAATATTAAAATGTGTTAAAATAGAAGTTATTTTACTGTACAATATTTTACTGCAATTCAAATGTTTACTGCATATGTCTGTTTTTACTTTATTTCTGATCAGATAAATGGAAAATTGGTGAGAGATTTGGCCTTTTAAAGACATTTTTTTAATCATATATCCCTTTGTAAATAGATTTTTTTTGTTTGTTTCTTTTTGCAGGAGACAAATATCGCTCCTTTCAGAGCTTCTTCAAACCTCGTATTTGTGAAATTCTCGGCTCAGTCTGCTGTTCTTCCATCAGGATTCAGACTCACCTGGAGCAGCTGAGAAGAAATTATTTTAAATATTAATAATATTCACACACACACACACACACACACAAACACACTTGGCGATCATGTAAACAGTCTCATTAAGTGGCAAATCAAACATAATGTACAAATCATCCATCATCTGTAGATAATTGTTTAAAGAATGAATTCATGTATGTATTTTAATGTCTTTTATTTGAAAATAAAGATGTTTGATGTAGTACTTGAGTAACTGTTGTGAAGACAAAGGTCCAGTTTAGCAAACAGGGTCTAGGAGTCTAGGCCTTAGTTAAATTAGGTTATAATTAGGCACATTTATAAAAATGGCCTTAGAAAATATATATGACCGGTATGCACCTGGAGACCAAAAAATGACAATGACGTATTTTGAGAAATCTCACCGCAAGTTATTTTGAGTTTAGATATGCAATTTAATCTTGACTAGCCTTAAACCTTGACTATGAAACCAGGGGAAAGAGTTTAAAACTGTGCCAGACGTTGCTTCTTCATATAAGGGTGATATTTGCTCTCCTGATATTGATTTAAAGAGCATTTTCCCTTACATAAAAACGCATTATTCTGTAAAAATTCTTACTATATTCTGTGTAGTCACGTCATGTAGTCATGTCAAGTACTTCTATCACACCAATCAATTTAAACACTATAAACTTGTACCATTCATTTATTCATTTTCCTTTGGCTTGGTAACTTCTATTATTAGGTGTCGCCACAGCGGAATGAACCAGCAACTTATCCAGCATATGTTTTACGCAGCGGATGCCCTTCCAGCTGCAACCAAATACTGGGAAACACCCATCCATACTCATTCACACACACTACAGCCAATTCAGTTTATTCAATTCACCTCTAGTGACTGTGGGGCAATTTTTTACTCTCCCTCAAGTTGTTCCAAACCTTTATGAGTTTCTTTTTTCTGTTGAACACAAAGGAAGATATTTTGAAGAATGTTGGAAACCTGTAACCGTTGACTTCAATAGTGAAAAAAGCAAAAACTATGGAAGTTAATGGTTACAGGTAACCAACATTTTTCAAATTAACTTCTGTTGTGTTCAACGGAAGAAAGGAATTGAGGTTTGTTACAAGTGAAGGGTATAAGGCCGTACTCACACTAGGTACAGTTGCCTCGAACCGGGCCAAAGCACGCTTGTCCCCCCTCCCGTCTCCCCCGACGGCCCGCACTCACACCACAAACGTGCTTCGGCATGCTTACGTCATCGCTGCTGCGCTGTTCAGTGAGAAGCGCTCTCTCACTCAGCAGCACAGTGGAGATTTCTCTAGTTATATCGTTTCAGTCGTTTGATATGCTGTCAAATATTTCGCCAAACAGTCCTTAGGGATGCGGGGACACGCAGTCAGATATTTCGCTGAACAGATCCGCCACTTTTGGCGCTCATAAACAATCATACAGCCCTCGTGCTGCAGGAATGAGGAGGTCTGCTGAAGGTGCGCAGCTGTCGTGCTGTGAGGAGTTCTCGTCTTTAATAAACTACGGCAGTTTGCGTTCACTGAACAGCAAGAATGATTAATAAATCCATATGAAACAGCCCCTTAAAAGTCACGTCTCGCTTTCAGTTTCGGGCTTTGGCGCGTTTTGCACTCACACACAAGCGTACCGCGCCAAAGCCCAAGTGAACCGCGCTCTTGCACACCTCTTCCAACCAGGCCAGGGCCGGCCAAGTGAAACGTGCTTGAGCCCGATTCAGCGCACTCACACTTCTCAAACGATCCGGGAAACAGGCCTGGGCACGGTACGGATGGCATAGTGTGAGTAGGCCCTAAGTCAGGGGTGTCCAAACTCCGTCCTGGTGGTCCGCTGTCCTGCTGAATTTAGCTCCAACTTGTGTTAATAACTGAAAAGCAAGAGCTTGATCAGCTGGTTCAGGTGTGTTTGATTAAGGTTGGAGCTAAATTCTGCAGGACACTGGCCCTCCAGGACTGAGTATGGACACCCCTGGTATAAGTAAATGATGACAGAATTAATTTGTTTTGGGTGAACTAGCCCTTTTAAGGAGTATTTTCCCTTACATAAAATAATTTTATAAATAATCACCTCATTTTAATCTGTGTTGTCATGTATGTCAAGTTCTTAAATTACACAAATCAACCAAAATACTACAAATATTGCCATTATTATTATTATTATGTTTATGTGATAGTATGTAAATTATTGAGGATACTTAGTGTAGAGCTTATGAAAGATTAGGAAATCACTATTGTAAAGTATTATAGTAACGACTATTAATACCGATTAACAGCTAGAAGTAATGCCACGTCATAATCAGGGAACACGAATGAAACTTCTCAATCCTTGAGGTCAATGTAACGTGAGTTATGCAAAAAATAAAAATCAGAAATAATACCTGAAACCGCGAAATAAGCCTCGACTCTTGTTTATGTTTGGATAGCATTTAAAATCCAGTCAGTGAGCGAGTGCCACTCAACGAATTCCAGCATTTTCAACAGTAACCAATCTAACACCTCTGATTGGCTGCTGCGTTTCTAAATTCAACAGACATCTGCATGATTGGTTACAATGCACAGCCTTGCGAAATAAAGTAAAATGCTACTTAAATGAGCTGCATTGGTTTACTTTATACACGCAACAATATTTTATGTCTGCTTATCTTGAATTTACTAGGCATTTTGAAGCCAAAGTCTCAATTAATTTCAGAATCTGAGTTTAAAAAATGTTTAGGGAGGCATACATGCGCTAAAATCATCTCATTGCTATCTATAAGAAAAAAAAAAATAACTGGCATTAAAAGACTTCTTGTGTTTTAAATATCTCCACTGAGGTCAATTTGCATTCTTGCACTCATTCCAAAAGCTGTAAGTGTTTGGCATTATTTGAGTGTTCAATCTAGTTGTAACTGTGATATGCTCTTCTCTCTGGCCTTCATCCAAACCTGCCATCTCAGATCTGCTGAATTATTCTCAACACACTCAAAGCAGTAAGACTAAGGGTGACAATAGAGACTGAAGGGAGATTAAAAGCTGTCTGAGGCAGATACAGCCTATAGAGATACTATGAATGGATCTGCTGTCTTGTTTTTTGCCTTTTCAGATAACAAACATTTCATGCAGTCTTTCATTTATAAATCTCTGCAAAATGTTCTCGTAAAGTCAAAGAGACGTCTGGGAAAAGTGTCCCAGCTGTCTGAACTGGAATGAAGGCTTTTCACAGGGTCAAAGTTCATGAGAAGCTCTGTTTAAAAATATATTTTTTTAAAAAATAAGATGTTGACTTTGGAAACAGAGCGGAAAAATGAGCTCTGTGGAGAATTTTATTTTATGATTTCTGTCTATTACTAGATTTATAGCATGGATTTGAGTCATACATTAATATTTATTTTATTGTAATAGAACAGAGATGCCCAAACTAGGGCCTGCAGGCCAAAGTTGGCCCATGATCACCTTTGATTTGGCCCACCATCCCATCTGAGAAGAGAAGGAGAAATATAAGGATGGTTTAGAGCAGTGGTCACCAAACTTGTTCCTGGAGGCCCAGTGTCCTGCAGATTTTAGCTCCAACCCTAATCAAACACACCTGAACAAGCTAATCAAGCTCTTACTAGGTATATTGAAACATCCAGGCAGGTGTGTTGAGGCAAGTTGGAGCTAAACCCTGCAGGGACACCGGCCCTCCAGGACCGAGATTGGTGAACCCTGGTTTAGAGCCTGTGATTTCTAATTTAATATAACCTTTTTTTTTTCTTTTGTTGGTTTTATTGCTACAAAAAAACTAACTTAAATTAAATGTTTCAAGTAAATGTTTTAAATAAATCAGATATTTTTTAAATGTACACACTGACACTTGAGGGATAGAGAACAATGCAGAGACATCAGTGAGCAACTGAAGGCAAAGGCAAATTCTGCAAATTCTTTACCGGTGTATTCAGCATTGAACTCTACGGTTGTTTATTCATTCATTCATTAATTTTCTTGTTGGCTTAGTCCCTTTATTAATCCGGGGTTGCCATAGCGGAATGAACCCCCAACTTATCCAGCAAAGTTTTACGCAGCGGATGCCCTTCCAGCCGCAACCCATCTCTGGGAAACATCCACACACACATTCTCACACACACACTCATACACTACGGACAATTTAGCCTACCCAATTCACCTGTACCACATGTCTTTGGACTGTGGTGGAAACCGGAGCACCCGGAGGAAACCCACGCGAAGGCAATAATTTATATGATTTAAAGTCATGTTTTTATTTAAATAATTTTCATTAATGTATTTCATGTAGTTTAATATTTATTTTTTAACATTCCTTCATTCATTTTCTTTTTGACCTAGTCCCTTTATTATTCAGGGGCCGCCACAGCGGAATGAACCGCCAACTTATCCAGCATTTGTTTTACGCTGCGGATGCCCTTCCAGCCGCAACTCAACACTGGGGACACCCACACACTCTCACATTCTCACACATACACTATGGCAAATTTAGCTTATTCAATTCACCTCTAGCGCATGTCATTGGATTGTTGGGGAAACCGGAGAAAACCCACACCAACACAGGGAGAACATGCAAATTCCACTCAGAACTGCCAACTCTCCCAGCCGGGGCTCGAACCAGCAACCTTCTTGCTGTGAGGCGACCGTGCTTTAAAATAAATTAGGAAATTACCTATAGAAACTTTAACTTTCAGCCCAAGGCTCTCAATATTTGATTTTTGGCCCTTCATAAGTAAAAGTTTGGGCACCCCTGTGATAGAGTAACCAATGATTTCATTTATTGTGCTTAATTATAAATTACATCATTCAAAATTCTAATAATCCAGAAAGTATTCATAGTGCATCACGTCCACACATATGGACAACACAATATCTATATCAAGTCATTTTAGCATGTGAAAGTCACATTTATTATTAGAAAATATATTCCAAGCAAAACAATTGTGGCTAGTGAAAATGGCAAGTGGCTAGTAGTGTTGGAAATCTACTAGCAGCCACAGTGGCTAGTGATCAACAAAGTTAATGTCAAGCCCTGCTTCTTTACATGTGATTTTTCAGCTTTTTTATTTTTAATAAATTTGCAACAGTTTTAAAAACTCCTTTTTCACATTGTCATTATGGGGTATTGTGTGTAAAATGTTGAGGAAATAAATGAATTTAATCCATTTTGGATTAAAGCTGTAACATAAACAAATGTGGAAAAAGTGAAGCGCTATGAATACCTTCTTGAGGCACTGTACATCA